GTGGTTTTGGTTTGAAAGCGTAACAAACAAACAAACTTTCACATTTATGATATAATTATGGGTATATATATGGGTAATCTTTGTTTTATTTACACATTGGTTGCCATCTATGAAATTTAAACACTCAAAAGTAGAATAAACAGAGAAACTAGGCCTAGAAACTAACCAAGTATAACTAGACAGTACCAACATATCAATAGGGTTGTCAATTTCTATAAGTATTTTTAATACTAGTTTAGTATATTACTTTGTCCGTAGTCCGTAGTATTAGGTCCGTGTGGTGACGGATTAAGAATACAAAATATCAACACCCCTATTCATCCCGTGGGTGTCGTAAGAGCCGACTAAAGGAGAAAACTACGCAGAACAACAGCACTGCAAAGAGAAGGAAAACATGACACGAACCCAATACCAACCCGTCTGGTCAGCGTGGTATAGTAGGCCAAAACCTCCTTCCTAAGGAGAGGCTTATGTCCAGCAGTGGACTATTAAAGGCTGTTGATGATGATGATTACATTACTATTAATACTTGTATCATAATGGATGGATGTTTGGTAGTCAACCTCTTTAATTCCTCCTCCCCGTATGGTGGGCGGTTCCTGTCACTGCACGTAATCAATATAGTTACATATTTCTAATATTTTTTGTTTACTGTATACTTATGTGCATTAGGTATATATTTAAGATGACACAGTTCTGTAATAATAAGACTGAGTCGAATCTATACAAATAAATAAAATTGGAGTGTCTGTTTGTAATATTAAAATAACCGCATTTTACTAAATGCATATGTATGTTTAGACGGTACATATGCCAAAATAACATTTTTTACATTTTTTGTCTGTCTGTCTGTCTGTTTGTGCCTTGTAATCTCTGGAACGGCTGGACCGATTTGGACGGGACTTTCACTGGCAGATAGCTGATGATATAAGGAGTAACTTAGGCTACTTATTTTAGACTAGCTTCGCCCCGCTGCGTTGCCCGCGGTTATAACAACAAACGCGGGTAACACCAAATTCTCTTTCTTTAAACGTTACGTTATGTATTAAAAAACGGTCTCCAAAAACACAATAAAGAACGGATGACACACTAGAGTAACCGACTTTTAAATATATCTGCCTATTTCTATTATACTAGCTGACCCGCGCAACTTCGTCTGCGTCTCTCAATAGTAATACATTTTCTCCGTTTTTGAAACATTCTTCATTGGTGCTCCGCTCCTATTGGTCTTTGCGTGATGATATATAGCCTATAGCCTTCCTCGATAAATGGGCTATCTAACACTGAAAGAATTTTTCAAATCGGACCAGTAGTTCCTGAGATTAGCGCGTTCAAACAAACAAACAAACAAACAAACTCTTCAGCTTTATAATATTAGTATAGATTTATTAACAGAATGTAAGCGTATGCTTATCATGTAACAAGTTAACGTATTTAATTTAAATGTATGGTAAATATTCAAAATATCTATGTTGTACGATTACGTAGCTATCTCAAACATTCTTAACATAAAAATTCTAAGTACTAAACATAAAAATTCGAGTTTGAAACCGTCAATTTCATATTAGTTGAGTGATAACCGCTTCTGCTATTTAAAAAAACAAGATAATATAAATGTATTCTACAGAGCTAAACGACCTTTTTGATTTTTTGTCTTTGTAAAACAAAATTTAAAAAAAACTGTTAAGGGGGCAAAGGACGTATGACTTGATGGTAAGTGCCTACCTCCGTCCATGGACACATGCAACTCAGGAGTCACAAATGCGTGGCCGCCCCTTGTTTGCCCGTCTCCCCAAAATAATAATAATAATAACTTCACACACGGCCGTCTGATCCTAAACTAGGCAAAGCCTGTACTATGGTAACCAGACTGCTGATAAACATACTTATATATCTTAATACATATATATATCATAGATAAATTACACCCAGACACAGAATACACACGTGCTCATCACACACAATAAAATTCATCAGTTATAAAAGCCAACTTCAAAGGAAAGGAAAATTTGACACAAACCCTATATCAACGCGTCTAGCCAGCGTGGTATAGTAAGCCAAACCTTTCTTTCTAAGGAGAGGCCTATGTCCAAATGTCCACTATTAAAGGCTGTTGATGTGATGTGATGGGCGGAGGTAACCATGAGATAACCCGTGTGCTCGTCAGCCTCTATACCTATTGAGTAAAAAGGTTGTATGTTCACTATCACGTCCATTCTAAATAAAAATAAAAGCCATCCTTGTTCTGCATAACCTCATTTCACAATTGATGTCATATACTCAGCTTTCTAGCGAGGAATGACTCACTAAGACCATAACACCGGATAATCAGTCAGCCATGTTGTCACCGCCTCTGCTTACTTCAAATTTGTGTTATTTTATGATAATTTTGACCGAATATTTCACAGTATTTTTATGTGGGTGCTATTTTCTAAGGAACATTTTACCTAGTAAAAGTTTTAGTATATTCATTATTGTTTTAGAGTTCCCTAGTCAAAATACATCAGCTTGTCAAGCTCGTTTAAGTTGGCACGTTTGTTACACAATTGTTTGCACAACTATGTAAAGATCCTGGCGATCGGAATTGACGCGATATTAACATTCACATCATACATTAACTGTCTCCAGTTGTTTACATGATGACACTAAGAATTTCTCTTGTTCCCAAAAAGGGGAACTACAAACCAATCATTTTAAAAACCTGATTCACCTTTCTGTCAAATATGGATTATTTAATACGTCAGTGATGTTTCGATTTCTCTTGACATAACACTTATGAAGGTTTTCTATAATATGAAACGATTTTAAAGAAATATCCTGATGATCTTTCGGAATCGATGGATTAGGATGACTACAACACGAGAAGTTAAGATACTTAAATATTTTTAAATAAGCAACTAAGAAAACACTTTCCAGAAGTTAGTTTCGCCATTCTTTCTACAAACGTGGGAGAGCTATGGCTCGGCTTGGGCAGTCTCGAACGGGGTGATACCACGGCCTCACAGAAAACTGCAGTGCTATTATCTAAGGAAACAGTGCTGCCACAGCGTCGAACTTCAAACTAAATTCAAATTTCAAACGTTCGACTTTCAACTTCTTACGTTGCTATTTACAGAGTGAGTGAGTTTAACGGAGCCTAAACACCCCTCTCCCTTCTGGGAGGTTGCTAATGGGGCGGCTATACACTTTTAACTCTTTAAGGCAGCTGTCTGCTCCATATTACATTAAAAAAGAAAAGTATTTTTTATATTAAAGAAATCATATTATCGGTTAAAATGACAAATGTCATGAGTTGAATTTGGTTAAACGTGCTAATCTCAGGAAGTAACATACTGAAATGATATTTATTTCTGCAAGTAAATCTTTTCAGATATTTTTACAAGTTGGAGTTATAATTAGTGCCTCCGGGCCTTTTCCCAAACAAGATTTAGGTCGGCTTTAAGTCTACGGCTGAAGTTCGATTTCTTACGCGGAGCGGCAGTCATCAGACCTCCACAATCCTACTTGGAGGTCTGATTGCCATTTCGAAGTTCTGTAGAAAGAAGTCTTCTTCTTTTCAGAAACTACTAGTTCGAATATGAAAACTCTTTTAGTGCTCGTCTACCCTTTTATGGAGGAAGGCTATAGGTTATATAGCCATGAAAATATTGCAAACACGGGAAAAACATTCCTTTTAAAAGATGCAGACGAAGTTACGGGGGGTTAGCTAGTTAAGAATAAATACTAAGTTAAGTGAATTCTTTTGGTACAGAACTCAAAACATTCATGTAATCTGGATGCCAATCACGTATATGTTGAAATTAAAAAGCATTACATGTCACAACATTTTAAAATTCACTTTAGACGCAGCCATTAAAATATTTAAAACGGTGTCTGTAATACTTTTATACAACATAATACTCCTGAATGTCAAAATTCAGAGTCACCATATAAAATTTACCCATTAAAACTAAGTATGTAAAACATTCCAACTAAAGACACCTGTGTAACTTTTCCCAGAAAAAATATCAGATAGTCCAATTTACAAAAAAGAATGCAAGTTTCTAAGTCTAACCAACATCTCTCTAACATCTCACCCACTATTAAAATCAACCGACATACCAACAGGACAGTGCAGGGTACGGCACTGTAACTCCTTATCACAGGCTGCTGAGTAGCCTACCTAGGAGTGCAGAACAAACCCAAGTTTAAGTTAACATTGCTAACATTGTCTTCTATTGTACTGAATACCTCTAAAATGTTTGTTTAATAAATTATTATTATCTTTCCTCTCGACATTTAAGACATATATTCACAGAACTGTATAGTAGGGAACCGGGGAAAAGCAAAGTATTTGTGTAAAATCCTTTTCAGGACTAAGGTTGATAAGTCTCTCCGCCAGCCGCCTCTCGTTCAAGATGAAAGTTCGAGCTCGCATTCTAGACACACTAGCAGATTCCTTACAAGTTTTATACATTATATACATACGTCATATATACATTATTATTCATTGTATGTTATTAATTGCCGTTGGGGAAAACGAGTTCTTGAGTGGAGACCGTGTGTCGGCAAACGTAGTGTAGGACGCCCACAGGCCAGGTGGAGTGACGACTTGCGCAAGATGACTGGCAGGAGCTGGATGCGAGAAGCCCAAAATCGATCTAAGTGGCGTGCAATGGGAGAGGCCTATGTCCAGCAGTGGACTGCGATAGGCTGATGATGATCATTTATATGTAGGTTTATGTATGTATGTAACTAGGTAAGTATTTATGTGCGTATGTGTTTGGTACGTATGTATTTATGTATATTTATCGCATTATTTCTGTCTAACTTATCAATAATTTTCTTTTACTTTAAATATCATTATCTAGTGCACCTAGTCACACATTTCAGCACCACCCTAAGGTAGAATGGGAGAAAATGCCTGTGGCATTAAGTCCGCCGTTGTACAACTCATACTTGTGCATAAATAATTAAAATTAAATTAAATAAGTAATCTAACTGTTCTCTCTTTGTTCCAGGTACCCTACTGCTAACAACAGTAAAATGCCAGTATTTAAACCATCATCCGGGTAGGTATGCATCAGTTTCTCCAAACAACCTACTCTTGGCACCACCCTGAACCAATTTCACACACATTTATTTCCTTCCAGTATCCTTCGTGCGGAGATCAAGTAATTGGCCGAATCCCCATGTACAAAGAAATCCACCGTGGCATCAGTTCTCAACACCCAGGAAAAGATCCCCAGATCATTTACCAGCTTTATCACCAGACCCGTATTATGTTCAAAACCAATACAATCCTGCGGTACAGCAACAGGGCTACAATTTTGATGATCCTTCGCAGTACTATGATAGCAGATCATCTGTTTTCCAATCTAGAAATCCTGATTCTGGACCAAACGATCCAAGACTTCTATCAGAATCTGCATTTACAAAAATATCGGAAACTCTTGGTGCCATCAACACCGTAGGTCATTACTTGGTGGACATAGTCAATGATTCTCGGGAAAAGAATGAATCGGATCCAAAGTTACAGCAACTCCCTCAAGCTATCTATACCATAAGCAAAAACGTGTTAGGCAGAAACGTTACTGATAAAATTGCGCCAATTGTCAAGAAAGCATTACCTAAAGTCTTACCAGATGCTCCAATTACAAAGATAGCTACCGCCGACAGAATAGACGATGACGCTAAATATTGTTCCACACCTGAAGGCGAAGAAGGAATTTGCGAAGACCTGAGCAACTGTCCCCAATTATTATTAAACTTGGTGAATCTTCGTGAATCCTTGTGTTTCAAAGACTTGTTTGTACCTGGAGTGTGTTGTCCCAAAGACGCAATCTTACCGTCATCAGAAAAGCCTATAGTAGCAACTACAAACAAACCTACTTACCTGGTTCCTGTAACAACAAAGAAGCCGAAACCTGTGACCACGACAAGACCTTCAGCTGTCTTAGTTTTGACCACGAAGAAGCCAAGGCCACCTTCGACCACCAAAAGACCGGCAACTACGAAAACAACAAAGAGACCTTCCAGTACCACTGTGACTACACCAAGGACGTTACCCACCACTTCTTACTACACCGTCGCCCCACCTGTGATTAGTAATTTCTCCAATATTGTTGATATAGAAGGTAAGAATTTGCTGCAATACGCATGTGTTTAGAACTTCCAAAGAACAAAATGGGATCAATGAGTATCGACTATACTCGTAGTTACTTAGAAACAATATATTTTTAGTAAACGTCAATGCTATAGGTATGACGCGTCACTTTACTGTAGGTAAGTCAGTGTTTTTTTAATAATAGTAATACTTATTGTAAATCATAGGTACATTGTATAGATGTTATAGTTATCGGTATTTAGTCCGGCTATGTCCCACCCATTGGGCATACAATAGAAAAAATTATTAGAATATAGGTACGTGCAATAAATAATAACATTTGTTATGTCAATATGAATCACATTGACACAGAATATGTAAACAGGCAATAATAATATAGACATACAATAATAAGAGTAGAGAACACTGAACACATCATGACTGGGGTATAGAGTATTTTTTTTTCTAAAAAGACAACTCTCTCATGAGGAATATATCCCGTGTCGCGGGGGACCTTACAAACATACATGAAACGGACACAAAGAACACCCAGACTAAGAACAACAATTGGATGTGGATCACACACAGTGTCGTCCCATGTGGGGTTTATATGTAGTAATGGAACAGAGACCTGTCGGTCATGTAATCTTTAACTGTATAATAACATTAATTTAACAACAAAAGCTATGTTTTTAAGGTTAATTTGAGGACCAGTGTTGAGCAGTACTTTTATTACTTTTCAGTAAGTGCGTGTGGTTACAGGAATTCAAACACTTCCCCTTCCGCCGTGGGAAGGAATGGAAAGACAATGCACTAATGACTCTTTCAGGTTGCAGTTGTAGGTGTCCATAGACGGCGGTGGTTACTTACCATCACGTGACCCGTCTGCTCGTTTGCCCCCTATACCATAAAAAATATACCTTTAATATTTTCGGACGGTTTTGTGGAAATTAATGGGTGTTTGTTTGTTACTCTATCACGCCAGAACGCCTGCATGAAATTTGTCACAGAGATAGATTATAGAATAGAAAATAGGCTTCTTTTTATCTGGGGAAATATAATAAACGTAATAATTGTTGACACTAGCGTAGCTAAGGGTAAAAGCTAAGTATAAAAGAAATGAAATACCATAAAGTAAATGTGATTTTGACACTTAAATTATTTTACGCCGGATGACGTAGTGGTTTGTGTAACAGTCTGTTACGACAAAGGTCGCGGGTTCGATTTCCGCTCAAGACTAACATTTGTGTGCATGAACATTTAATGTTTGATTTGCTGTGGGTGTTTCTTTGTGTAATATGTATGTATTTACAAAAAAGTATATGTGTATTTATATCAGTTGTCTAGTACCCATAGACATGCTCTGATTAGTTTGGGACTAGATGCCCTTATGTGAATGTGACACAAACCCTATACCAACTGGGATGGCCAGCGTGGTATAATAGACCAAAACCTCCTTTCTAAGGAGAGGCCTATGCAATGATGCCTATGAATGATCAAAAGCTGTATATTATACTTTTGATATCTTTATTTTGTTATCCAGTTTGACAATTTTTTTTGTGTGATTGAAAACGGACTGTCTGAAAATGGACTTAATTCATTTCTCAGTCCATCACAGAATGCCAACTATGCAAGATACGCCACTCTTTATAGGACAAATAGATACTAAAGTAATCTTAAATCGTCTTCAAAGATCGTTGATGCAATGAACTATAAAAATAAAAGGAAACCCTATTCCAGATTGTGGTCAAAGAGAAGATGAAGGAGGCCGTATAGTTGGAGGCACAGAGTCAAAGCCCGGGGCTTGGCCCTGGATGGCAGCAATATATTTGCACGGCAGCAAGAGGAGGGAGTTCTGGTGCGGTGGGACTTTAGTAGGCAAACGGCATATTTTAACAGCTGCCCATTGCACGAGGGACTCGAAACAGAGGCCGTAAGTTATTTTGATATGTTTTTGTCTTGTGCCTCTATCGAGTTCAATTAAAACAGCACTGCAAAGAGAAGGAAAACTTGACACAAACCAACCCGTCTGGCTATCGCGGTATATAAACCCTCTTTCTAAGGAGAGGCCTATGTCCAGCAGTGGAATACTAAAGGCTGTTGATGTGATGATGATATTCTTTGTACCTTTTCAAAATAAATTATTTAATGTAGAAGAAAAGCAGTAAGCTAAATCTTTTAACTCGACTACATAAAGATGTGGGGATTCGGTTTGTATTTGAATCTGTCGCGGTTCAAAAGTCTACGTACGAGTATTCATAATATATAGTACCTTAATATACTCAATCAATGGTTAATGGAAAATAATATTCAAAACGGTCAAAATTTGAACACCAAGCGATCGTTAGTAACCATAAAAGCGCATTCTAAAAATTATTTGTAAATACAACTTAGAACTAGTCATCATCATCATCAACAGCCTTTACTAGTCCACTGCTGGACATAGACCTCTCCTTAGACAGGAGGTTTTGGCCTACTACACCACGCTGGCCAGACAGGTTGGTATAGGGTTTGTGTCAAGTTTTCTTTCTCTCTGCAGGGTTGTCGTCTTGCGTAATTTGCACTCTTAGTCGCCTCTTACGACGCCCACGGGATGAATAGGGGTGGTGACATTCTGTATTCTTAATCCGTCACCACACGGAATCTTAGAACTAGTACATAATAATTAAGAGAAAATAAAAAGTAAACTCATTTTTTTTATCAACATATTATTTAAATTATTTTAGGTTCCCAGCCCGTCAGTTCAGCGTGCGCCTGGGAGACGTAGACCTTGCCAGGGACGATGAACCTTCCCGCCCCGTGACGTTAAGGGTGATAGCAGTACGCGCCCACGAGGACTTCTCCAGGGTCGGCTTCTACAATGATATCGCTATACTTCTGCTGTCTGGTAAGAATACCATTGGAGATCACCATTATAAATAAAACAAGCGCATTCTTCTTTGCTTCGAATGCCGGCAGACAGCACCTCTCCCGGGTACCGTTCTTGTCCCCCTGTGCCTCGTAGGCGAGAACTCATTTAACTCAATCTATAGTCATATCAAATAGTGAAGAAATGTGTGTATTTTTACAAAATATTTGTTTTGTATTTTCATGATTTTATACATTATTTCACCGTGTGGTGACAGATTAAGAACACAGAGTATCACCACAAATATTCATTTCGTGGGTGTCGTAAGAGCCGGCCAAGGACAAAGCGAAGGAAATCATGACACAAACCCTATACCAACTCGGATGGCCAGCGTGGTCTAGTAGACCAGAACCTCCTTTCTAAGGAGAGGCCTATGTCCAGCAGTGGACTATCTAAAGCTGTTGATGGTTATAATGATGATGATGATACATAATACAAGTGACCAACTGACCACACGACTGAAGTAAAACTTCTCGGCTACGAGAGAAAGAGAAAAGGAAAATGTGTGCTCGCACCTCTCTCTTACAGTAATATACGAAACGTAACTCTCTCACTTTCTATCATCACTAACTTATATCGCCCTCTCAACTTCCGTTCTCCTCGTCGATCACACTTTTCGTAACGCTATCGTCACGCATTCACCAGCTAAGCCAAAAAAGTTTTACTCAAAAATATATGTTTTTAGTAATATACCTGCCTGGCCAGCGTGGTATAGTAGGCTGTTGATGTGATGTGATGAGTAATATACCATGAGTCTCAGTCTTTCCGAAGTTTAGTTACCATGGTACAGGCACTGCCTAGTTTTGGATCAGACGGTCGTGTAAATTGTAAATTTAGAAACAGGCACACGGTATTTGTTATGATCATGAGTTATGAGTATAAACTGGTTAAGATTGTTTTACTTCCAGATATTCGATCCTGGCCTACTAGAGCTATTAGTTACTCACTCTTATCCCCATAGCATAGCCATAAATAAGCCAAAAATGAAAATACTTTTTGTGACAGTTGCGACATCGAGAGTTGATCGGATCTGAATTTTGACCGACTTTTATTACGAGAATTGGTTTTACGATGGGAAGTATCTACTTCTTAACTGTCCTGCAGTATTAATAGTTTAGAATCTAAACTATTAATACTGCAGGACAGTTAAGAAGACATCTAAACTTTAGATAGAATTAAATGCATTTATAGAAATAGGTATGATACTGCAGAACAAAAATAACTAGAAAAAAAACGCAATAAGTTTATTTTTCGTGTCGTTCTCATGATATCAACTTTAAGTAGTACAATTTTAATGCCAATCATTTCAGACAACGTTCAAAAATCAAAATACGTCATCCCAATCTGCCTGCCCCGCGGTGACTTGACTCGAAACTTATTCGACGGTTCAGTAGCCACAGTGGTGGGGTGGGGCACCACGCGGTATGGCGGAACAGAGAGCTCCAAGCAGCTGGAGGCGAAGCTCCCGGTGTGGAGGAATGAAGAGTGCGATAGAGCTTACTTTCAGCCTATCACAGAGACGTTCCTCTGTGCTGGGTATGCGAGGGGGGGAGTTGACGCATGTCAGGTATTTTGGTGTTATGTGTTTATTTATTTTTTTAATACAATTAAGTTTTTTAAAACAAATGCCAATCACTGAATTTTGTTGCTATTTTAAATAAAGGGAATCATTTATTAACTTTGTACCTAAGAGGTCTGAGAATGAAATGTTTAACTACCCTATAAGAATGAAAAATAATGGCTATTTCAGAACAAAGCGTTAAATGTATATACAAGAAAGAAACAGTGAAAAAGAATATTAAGGAAAACTTACGATCTAGGAGGACTTCGACAAAAGTTACGTGTTTATGTCAGAAAAATGAGCAAAATTGTCTTTGGGTAATAATAAAAAAAAAATATAGCTAATCGCCAGCTGTTATAGCCTCACATCTCCAAAAAAATACACATTTATCGTGACGAAGCGTTACACCTTTCATTCTTTAAATCATTAAAAGTAATGGATATTATTATCAACAATACTTATACGTGAAAAATTGTACTGAGGGCGAATTAATAAAAGTTGTCGCCTTGCACTAGACAGTATAATATTTAGTGAGAATGCTGAGGTTTTAATCCCATGCACGATGCAACATCTATGATCCTAAACAGTCTGAATATTCTTTCTGTAAGCTGTTTGAATAATTCAAAAGCCTTCTGCGACATAAAAGTGATTTATAGTAGAGAGTAGCATTTTTAGCATTCCTAATTAAAAACGAGCATCATCATATATTCATCTCTTTCTTTCCCAGGGGGACTCTGGCGGTCCTCTAATGCTTCAGGTGGAAGGTCGGTGGATGCAGATCGGCGTGGTATCCTTCGGCAACAAGTGCGGCGAGCCTGGCTACCCTGGAGTCTACACCAGGGTCACACATTACTCCAGCTGGTTGAACCAGAATCTTATTTAAGCATAGTCATTTCATTTCTTTAAATTAGAGTTGATTACAATTAAAACAAAACGAAATATTGTGTTAGAATATTAGCACGAAGTACATTGATAATTAGAGATCTGTAGGTATCAATAAAAGTGTTACATTCATAAAACCTTACCATTTACAAAGAAAATCGATTTAAATCGAATAATTGTAAAATAATTACTGTAACATAATTATCCTTAATTATAACATAGTTGCCAGAAACGAATTACTTTTCTTCATAACATAATTATTAGTAATTGTAACACAGTTACTAGTTATTAATATGTAATACGCCATAGTTGCTGTCAATTATGTTATGACTACTGATTTGGTTATTTTAATATTGATTTACTACTAGCTGGTAAATATTGAAGGGTTTTTCTGAGATTAAAATTGCCTAAGTTACTCCTTATATAGACAGCTACCTGATAGTAAAATATTATAAAAATCGGTCCAGCTGTTTACAAGATTACCCGAAACAAACAGACAGACAAAAAATTTAACTGGTTTTTAGGCATAGGTATCGTGCAAATAACCGTTTGAGCATGAAAAAACCTATTATTTTGACATTTTAAACAGACACTACAATTTGAGACTGCAAAACCTTAAATTTTTGTACACACACTTGGTGACATTTTCTATGGTGTTGCCACTACAATAATTATTAATTGTTTAAATTACTTACCGATGTATTTCTCTAACTAGTTACCAAATGAAATAATATTTTAGACATGGTTTAAAGTAAGTTACTTTAACTATTTAAAGAAGCCACGTCTTATAACTTATTATTTTCACTATTGATATACTTATTTATTAATAAAATGTATTACAAGTAACAATGAACATTGTTAAAGCAATGTATTGTGATAGTGTTTATAACTGACTGTTAGAGATAAGGTAAATAAATAATTTAAAATTATTTCTTTTTTATTATCTTTCCTTTTTTATTATTTCTTTTTGGACGTTTTTGAGAGAAGACTCTTGTTTTTGACAGCTTATTTCATGTTGTACTTTTACCTGTATTGTTTGATCATCGTCATCCTCTGAGGCTTTTCCCAAACTCGGTTAGTTTTGGCTTTCAATCTACTACAACATGGCTGAAGCTTTATTTTTTACGTGGACCAACTACCATCAGACCTCCACTACTCAATTAGGCGATATCGAAGTTCTGTAAATGGACTGTTGTCGGATTTCTAAGGCTTCAACTAAACGTAGCGATTGCCGTTGATCGTCTGGTAACAGGGACCGACGCGCGACCGTTTAACGTGCTCTCCAAGGCCCGGAGGGTTCTCAATGTGTTAAGAATCTGGTCATACATCCATAGATATACAAAAGTTGTAAAAAATTGTAGCAAACAACTAACTCCTTACATTTCTAGTGAATCTTTCATTAGAGGGACTTTCCCTCAAAAGTTTAAGTACTCAGTTGTAAAACCTCTGTTCAAAAAAGGAAACAAAATGACAATGAGTAACTATAGCCCAGTTAAAATACTGCCGGTGTTTTCAAAAATATTTGAAAAAGTTATGCACGAGAAACTTACATCTTTCTTCAAGAATTACGGTGTTATTGTGAGGAACCAATTCGGTTTTCAAATAGAACAATCTACCAGAGATGCAAATTTCTTTTTGGTTAACGAAATCTTTCAGTGTCAATGAAAAAATGGACACAACAGTGATGTTTCTCAATATGTCTAAGGCATTTGATTTTGTTCCAGATGTACAGCTTCTGATGAAACTTGAGCATTACGGTATTAGGGGACCAGCTTTAGATTGGTTAAAACATACTTAGATGATAGATATCAATGTGTTGGTGTGACACAGTTAACCGCTAAAGATTGTGTTGAGATAAGGAGAGCCAACAACGGTTTAAATAAATTTGGAGGTCCCCAGGGCATTGTTTTGGGTCCGCTTCTCTTCCTTGTTTCAATTACTGATTTGCCAGAGGTTACTCACCATATAACTATACTATATTTGCCTATGATGTGTCAGTAATAGTAACTACAAACAAAAATCTGACAATTGTACATCACGAAAATGACATCAATAATACTTTGACATTAATTATTGATTGGATAAATGATAAAAATTTACAAATTTATTTATTAAAAACGCATGTAGCTAATTAATTTCAATAATTTTAATGACGATAACATACATGTAAATTAAAATGGACTAAGCATCTTGTAGCCATCAACACGATATTTCTTGGCATAGTTATAAATGATAAACTTAACTGGAAGGAACACATAAAAAAAAAGCGTAAACAGGATTAATGGATTCTCTTTCGCTCTGTACAAACTGGCAAAAGTCTCTTGCCAAATTCCAACATATACAGCGTACTTTGCGTATGTCGTATCTGTGTTAAGGTATGGGTTGTCGGTATGGGTCAACGGTATAGATATAGGCTTTTATAGCACAAACGCGCCGGACGTATCTTGTCGGCCATATTTAAAAAAACTAAAATCCTCTCTTTACCGTGCATGCTTCGAAGATGGTATATTTATAAACTGATCGTCGAAGATTGGTTATTTATCTTTTTTATGGGGGATCGGTTTGATTAGGAGATTTAATCACAGAAAATGTGTTTCAATATTTCAGTTTATTCTGAACGAACAGAAAAATGTCAAAATGTCACACGTGATAATATAACATCATTTAAAGCCTCTAGTATTTTTAGCATTCAGATTATACTTACTTCTTTCCAACACCTGTAATTAGATAGGGATGGCATGTGTGTGACGTTTATCTCTATCTCACTGTTAACTAAATTGACATTCCGCTATGACTACTCTCATTTTATGTGAATAAAACAAATAAACATGTTATAATACCATGAACATACATATAATATACCTTATAAGAATTTAAGGATACTAATTATATGATAAAAGTGATTTCATGAGGTGATCACAAGAGAAAGTTATTTTGATATATCGTCAAGATGAAGTATTCAACATCTCCTACTCCTATGAGTAACTATCCTCGGAGTACGTCTCCGTTGCCAGCACCGGCTAACTATAGCAATTATCAGCCTACAACAGCTAGTGCGGCCGCTAAACGTTACAAGTACATCAGAAGACTATATAAATTCAATCAGATGGACTTTGAATTTGCTGCATGGCAAATGGTTTATCTGTTTGTTGCTCCACAAAAAGTTTTTAGGAATTGCAATTATAGGAAACGTAAGTACACTCACAGCTCAGACTGTTTTTACTATTCATTAAATGTTAGTAACTGATAAAGATGAATTTAAGTATTTTAGTAAATATCTAACACACTTAACTAATAGGGCTCTTAACCCATAAATATGGAGTGAAGGTACATCAAAAATTTATGACAGCTTCCATTAAAAGCATTTTATGCGCACAGTGCTAGCTTCTGTATCGGCATCCAATTGAAAATATTTGCATAACTGCATGGATGGTCTAGTCGTTTAAGCGGTCCCTACATGGGACAACACTTTGTATGATCCACAGATTGTCGTTCTGAGTCTGGGTGTTGTTTGTGTCCGTTTCATCATGTATAAATAATAATATTCTACCACATACACACAACGCCATCTAGTCCCAAACTAAGCAGAGCTTGTACTATGGGTACTAGACAACTGATATAAATACATATATACTTTTTTTTTTTGTAAATACATACATATTATACATAGAAACACCCAGACCAAATCAAACATCAAATGTTCATGCACACAAATGTTTGTAAAGTCCCCCACGACACAGGATATATTCATAGTGTGGGATGAAAAGAAAAAAATAATAATTTCAACATTGATCATAAAAGCAATTATTTTATATGCATGTATATAAAACAATTGCTCTTCTCAGAAGGGTTCACTGACCGTTCCTCTTAAATTAGGGTTACCTGTGACTCAGGAGTCAGTGTTCTGCTGCTGTTTGTTTACACTACTCATATAATACTCTTTCTAAATTATTATTTTGTGTGTCCGGTGCGTGTGTTTATGTGTGTAAATGGATATGAATTAATGTGATCTATAGATTTTACATATCTTGACGGGCCTGTTGGTCTAGTGTTTAGTGACCCTGACTGCTAAGCCGGAAGTAGTGGGTTTGATTCCCACCCAGCACAAATAGGTGTGTGATGAGCGATATGATTTGTTTTGTGTCTGGGTGTTATTTATCTATAAATTTTATTGTTTTAAAAAAATATATAAAAGTATGTTTATGAGCAGTTTGGTTACCATAGCACAGGCTCTGCATAGTTTGAGATCAGATAGCCGTGTGTAAAATGTGTGAGGTATATTATTATTATCTCTGTCTATGGTGGTCCTACGCAGGACAACAATACTGCAAAGAGAAGGAAAACTTGACACAATCCCTATACCAACCTGGCCAGCGTGGTATAGTAGGCCAAAACTTCCTTTCTAAGGAGAGGCCTACGTCCAGCAGTGGACTGTTAAAGACTGTTAATGAAAATGAAAATGAATGGTGAACCCATTTTATAAGCAGCAACATTGACATTAATACCCATTATGGTCAGACTGCTGTCTAGTACAAATATTTGCTACAACAAAGTTTTATTACACTGATAATGAAAAAAACCGTAATAACATTTTGATATTTCGTCATTTATTTACAGACACAAAATCCCAGTTTGCGAGAGACGATCCAGCTTTTCTAGTATTACTCAGTGTTTGGCTACTATGTAAGTATTGCTTCTAACTAGAAAAAAAAAACAATCTTATCTCTATGTTTTCTGTTTATCTTTATCAAGATCTAAACTAAATAATACATTGGGCAGTGGCACATCAACTTACTAGAACTCAGTTTACTTGACAGCAATCTGATAGTAGTATCAAAAGATAAATTTTTCAACTGTTCTTTGAAATATTACAGACTAACTTTTGCCCGTGGCTCCACCCGGGTATATGTCGTTTATCGTCTGTCTGTATGTCTTTCCTCAAGAATCACACTCTCCATGCTAAATTTAATTAAAATCGGTTCATCAGTTATTGATTTCCCATACTAAATTCCACCTCCCTTTTCACCCCCTAAAAGGATGGTTTCTGGGATAAAAACTTACCTATGTCCTTTCCCGGGACTCAAGCTATCGCTAAACCAAATTTTATCTAAATCGGTTCTCTGGTTTAAGTGTGAAGAGGTAATAGACAGATAGACAGACAGACACACTTTCGCATTTTTAATATTAGTATGGATTAGAATGGATGAGATACAGGTAGTTCCTACAAACAAATATATGTCAAAACTTATGGTTTACAAGTAAATGTCTTACTATCGCACCTTTCACCACACAAAGGAGATATCCAGAAATTATTTCTTTTTCTTGAAAAATTCCAGACATATTTCTACAGACTTTCTAAGAACTAATATTATACAAACTGAAATTTTAAATGACCGCAATTTTTAAGAAAACATCGTTTTTACTTTGGCATATTGTTAGGCTGAATGCGAACAAAACTTTTGCTACCAATGCCCGATAAAAAACAAAATGACAAGTTTGACAACTGGCTCTGACTCGTCTGACATATGAATAATGATTATGTTTACTTTGAGTATGCATGAAGAATTGTGAGAACTCTACAAATATAAAGAGAAATTTATAGACTACTAGCTGACCCGGCAAACGTTGTTTTGCCAAAAAAAAATTTAGGGATGGGTCACCCTTACCATTTAGGGGTATGAAAAATAGATGTTGACCGATTCTCAGACCTACCCGATGTGCACACAAAATTTCATGAGAATCGGTCAAGCCGTTTCGGAGGAGTACGGGAACGAACATTGTGACACGAGAATTTTATATATAAGATGAAATGTGAATATAAAACAATATTATAGAATAAATTTAATTTGCCATCCTCTAATAAAAATATCTACTCACATAAAATAACTTTAGTTTTTGAAATCTTGAGTGCAGGCTTTAAAAATTATTGTAAAGTTTTAACTGTTTTATATATTAGTGTATTTGAGCCACAATGGATTTTACTTGGAATAAACAACCAAAGTACATACAAAAGGCAGACATCTCCTTTTTATCTCGCGTGGGAATTGAACCTCCGACACTCGACGTAGGCGACCGCTTCAATATATCCTCTAGATACAGTGTAAAATAACTAGGTTTTAGGCAACATTTAGCATTTAATTAAAAATAAGAATTTTATTTCCTTTAACCGACTTTAGAAAAGGAGGAGGTTGTTTTTTTTTTACTTTTTAGTAAAAATTAATTTGTGTATAAATTAACTTTTATGTATAAATTAATTTGTAATATTTTTTGCCATATGTATTTTTTTACATATTTATTTCTATCTATCTTCAAATAAACTGTTTGTCGTGTATCTTAGAAATATGTTTTCTTTCTTTCTTTTCTTTGGGAGACTACTTCTCGTTTCGTCCCATTTAAATTAAAAAAAAAATACTACCCCCTTAGCGGGAAAATTAAGGAATTAAAAAAAAAGGCTTAGTAAAATATGTATTCTACTAATTATGTGAGTTACTTTTAAAAACTTATTTTAAAACATTCCAGTGTCATCAATATGCTTCGGTTTGGCGATGAACATGACAGCAGCGAACGTGGTGGTCTTCGTTATATTTGTGGTGTTCGTTGACTTCATCGGTGCAGGACTGCTTGTCTCTACGATTTTCTGGTGAGTTTCACATTTAAAGTTGTTACAGTAATAGAAATAGTATATAAATAGTTAAAAGTTAAATACATTGTGTCTATTTATGTAGTAATTATGTCTATTTTTGTCCGTGTGGTGACGGATTCAGAATACGGAGTGTCACCTCACCTATTCGTCCCGAGGGTGTCGTAAGAGCCGACTATGGGAGCAAACTACGCCGTACAAGAGCACTTCAAAGAAAAGGAAAATTTGACACAAACCCTTAATCAACCTGTGTGGCCAACGTGATATATTAGGCCAAAACCTCCTGTCTAAGGAGAGGCCTATGTCCAGCAGTGGAGTATTAGAGGCTGTTGATGTGTTGATGTGATATCTATTTATTTATTATTCATTGTATTTGTTCTATTTCCTGCCTGAACTGTCTACCCTTTAAAGGGGGAAGTATTCTTAAATATATTTAATTCAAAAGTTTTCATCAATAATTTGGTTATATTAAGTTTAGGCGCGAAAGGGACAATTTCTCAATGAGTATAATGCACCACATACTGTGGTTCTTGATACACTGCTTCTGGCAAATCCATTTCTGATCTGATAATATAATTTCAGATTATGTTTTTCTTTTTCTTTCGAATGCTGTCAGGTACGTGAGCAACAAGTACCTGCGCCGTGACCCGGACGGGCCTGACGTGGAGTGGGGGTACGCCTTCGACGTGCACATAAACGCCTTTTTCCCCCCGCTGTCACTGCTACACTGTTTCCAAATTGTCCTCTTTAACAGTAAGTAGTAATATAATCATAAAAATTGTCTATATCCTTTAAAAATCTTGATATTCCGCTTGACTGCAAAGTCAGAGGTCGTGGGTTCGATTCTCACCGAAGACAAATAGTTGTGTGAAGAACACGATTACTTGTTTTGTCTATAATTAACCCAAATTTATAAATAATTAGTATGTTCATAGTACAACCGTGTGTAACAATTGTCATCATACCAACTGACAGCTGTCAGATTTGACATGAGCTTATTATAACGTGCAGACGTGTCACCTGCTAATACCATTATAACAAGACACTCTGAAGGCCAATTCTCGTAATAAAAGTTTGCTCTTAATTCAGTTCCCATCTGTGAGATACTGAGATATAGATATTAAAGCGGTCGCCTCGGTCGAGTGTCGGAGGTTCAATTCCCACGCGAGATAAAAAGGAGATGTCTGCTTTTTGTATGTACTTTGGTTGTTTATTCCGAGTAAAATCAATTGTGGCTCAAATACACTGATATATAACAGTTAAAATTTTACAATAATTTTTAAAGCCTGCACTCAAGATTTCAAAAATTAAAGTTATTTTATGTGAGTAGATATTTTTATTAGAGGATGGCAATACTATTTTTTTTCTATATTATTGTTTTATATTCACATTACAAGTTCTCACAATTCTTTATGCATACTCAAAGTAAACGTAATCATTATTCATATGTCAGATGAGTCAGAGCCAATTGTCAAACTTGTCATTTTGTTTTGGTAGCAAAAGTTTTGGTCGCATTCAGCCTAAAAATACTGTCAGAAAAGGTATTTTTGTAGTAAAATATCCAGCGTTGACTATAATGTGATTATATCGTGTTGTGACCTAAAGTTGTATCGGTGTTACTACTGAAATATCTTTTATGAAAGTTGTGAGATTAAAAGTTGATCGGAACTTATTTGTGAACGAACTTTTATTACGACAAAGTGCCGGAAAGAACGGCTTAACGCTTCCTGATGTTATTAGGACAGAAACAGAGCAGAGAGAGTCAGAGAAAGAATATTATATTAGTGCTTGCGAAGCCTCGGGTATAGCTACTGGTTGCAATTTAAACTTTTTAATCTATTTTATGACATCTTTTAAGGGTATGATTCTTCTAAGACATAGAAAATGTCTGATCTTGCGAAATATATAGAAAGAACGAGACTTACAATAGTCTCAAATGTGACATCTGACATCTCGCCTACTATATAATAATAATAATATTTTCACACATCTCACACAAGGTGGTCTGATCCCAAACAGAGCCTTTGCTGTACTGTGGTAATCAGACTGCTGATAAACATACAAGTATATTATAGATAAACAGACTCAGACACAACCAATTAATTACGTCCAGACACAGAACAAACGACCGTCCTGAATTATTTGTCCTGGATGGGAATCGAACCCACGACATGACGCACTAGCACAGCGCGTGCTCTTTTTTCAAATCAAATAGCTTGCGCTTCCCTTCCTTTGCGCTTCCAAAATTTGATGTGAAACAGGAAGCTGGCTTCCTGTAACACATTTCCGTCTCTTTTTAAATAATCACTTTCATAGATTGCAGGAAAGTAAGAAGAAAACGTTAGGTTTAAAGAACTTAATTAATACTCAAAGCAAATTACAGTCCACTTAGTGAGTATAATATAAAATAAAGATAAAGTAATAACAAGCAACAGCGATGGTAGGTCTCTAAATTAATAAATCAAAAAAGTTAAGAAAACAGATTGCATCATGATAATAATATATACTCACACGAAATTATAATTTGTACATATTATATTTTTAGGGAGTCCTTTATGGTTAATCACTGCAGTACACATTCGATTGTTACACATCAAAAACCAATACTTGGTCAACAAATTGTGTAATTCCAAATTCCAGGTCTGCTATTCCACGGCGGTTTCCTCTCGTGTCTGGTCTCCAACACGTTTTGGCTGGCGTCCATCATCTATTATTTATACATCACCTTCTTAGGATACAGTAGTAAGTATTATTTATTTTATTAAATACCCTTCGTATTAAAGACTTTAACTTGTAAGGTGAAGGTTCAAATTAGCTTACGACACATGACTTAATAATATATGCCTGAAGCGGGTAGTTTTAATAAATAATGTTTTAACGTTCCGCGATAGAGTTTAATTTGCTTTGAAAGGAGCTTGGTGTTGTTTTTAAGGTCAACAATCGCCGTTAGTTTAATAGTAGTATTCTTTATTCCCGCCAGTTTTTGGAAGGCGTCATAGTTTCTTATCTGTGGTCTTCTCCGTTTCGCCATATTGTTTCTATATACAGGGTTAAGTCGAACTACTGTAGGAGGTTATAATTGCCATCATTGCTAAAAGATCTCACTATGAAATACCATATCCCAAACATTACCAATATCAAGATATTAGACTTTTAATACTTTTTTTATATCTACTCATTGCTGTAATTTTGACTATTAAATATTTTTTTCTTTTTTTTTTTTGAACATCACTACCACGCCGCTTTCTACTACGCTATCTTTCGACGACACTTTATGTGATCCACGAATTGTTGTTCTGAGTCTGGGTGTTCTTTGTGTCCGTTTCATGTATGTTTGTAAAGTCCCCCGCGACACAGGATATATTCCTGATGCGAGTTGTCTTTAAAAAAAAAGTTCTGCATAAATTGAACACAAATTTTGACTCGCTCGCTCGCTTTTTTTTTAATTTTGTTTCGCGTTACTTTTGTTCCATGTTTCTCATCAATGCAACGATAAAGTGAAACAGCAAAGCGTGACAGATTATAGCTCGTTAATATAAAAGTAGTTTTTTCTATGGCAGAGTCATGCTTCTGCAGATTTGGACGGGTTCCATAGGAGTGGCACCACCACCTCCTAGGAATTCGTGTTAAGCCAATCTTTTGTTGCATTGTTATAGTGAGAGTGAGGTTAAAGGAGAGGTGGGCACTTAAAATCTGGCAATTGTGAATCCTGATTTGCAGGTCTATGGACACTGGATTTGAAAAGCGCTACCTTGGTGGTGTAGTACGGCACGTGACTGCAGTCCATGAGGCCTCGGGTTCGATTCCCGGACCAGGCAAAATTTTATAGGATTTTTCTGAGAGGAAAAAAATAGCCTAAGTTACTCCTTATATAGACAGCTACCTGGTAGTGAAAATATTAATAAAATTGGTCCACCTGTTTTCAAGATTACCCGGAACAAACAGACAGACAGAATATTAACTGCTTTTTAGGCATAAGTGTCGTGCAAATAACCGTGTAAGCATGAAAAAACCTATTATTTTGACAAGTTATACAAACAAGGTACAATTTATTAATGTAGCTGCCAAAGTAGACACATATTCATTCATGCAGACAATACAATTATTATTCACGAGCTTTTGCCCGCAGCTCCCCCTCTTTTTCGTTCCGTGCGAGACTCCCCTCGGATACCACCCACCAGTGGGAGATTATGTCGGACTGCCCCGGCCCCCACTGTATTTAGGCTATCGTTACTCGCTAATAATGAAGCTTTCCATTGGTAAAAGAATTTTTAAAATCGGTTCAGTGGTTTAAGAGTAAAAGCATAACAAACTTATTCACACATCTATACAAATAAATAAAATTGAAGTGTCTGTTTGTAATGTCAAAATAATAGGTTAACCAGTTTAAATATTTTGTGTGTCTGTATGTCTGTCGGGTAATCTTCTAAACGGCTGGCCCGATTTTGATAATATTTTACTACCAGGTATCTGTTTATGTAAGGAGTAACTTAGGCTATTTTTCCTCTCAGAAAACCCTTTAAAAATTTGCACGGTCCGGGATCGAACCCACTACTAAGACAGCGCTTTTCAAATTACTAGGGAACTAATTCGCGGGCACCAGCTAGTGTGTTAAATAAATATTGACGACGAAATATTGACGACCAGATGGCGTAGTGGTTTGTGTAACGGACTGCTTTCCAAAGGTCGCGGGTTCGATTCCCGCTCATGTCAAACATTTGTGTGCGTGAGCATTTAATGTTTGATTTGGTCTGGGTGTTTCTATGTATAATATGTATGTATTTACAAAAAAAAAGTAAATATGTATTTATATCAGTTGTCTAGTACCCATAGTACAAGCTCTGCTTAGTTTGGGACTAGATGGCGTTGTGTGTATGTGGTAGAATTAAAAAAAAAATATGAATGCAGCTGCCCCAAACATTTAAATATATCAAGTCAGACAGACTTCATATTTTGATGGTTGGCAGTTCAGAAGCTGTCTTTTACCTTGCTTCTGGTTTCCTTGTCCAAGTGTTCGCCTGGAAAAAGAGTACAATGTCTATCCAGTCCTTATTATTCTGTATTAAATGTAATAAATGTGGTTTTGGTTTAAACCTCTTTGGCTTCTTACTAAGAGACTAAAATAAAGCGTTCCATTTCAGGTTATGGAAAAGTTTGTGATAATGGTAAGTTAACCTGTAAAATGGGGGTTTTCTGTAATATACTTGTTATGGGATTTTAAATCGTAAACATAATAAAATTATTAATACTAACATGTTACCTTTTGAAAATTAAAAAAACTTCTTGAGTTTTTAACAAAGATATGTAGATTAGTTATTTAAAAAAATTATTTATAATCCCAGTGTCCAGAGTCCAATCTTAAATTGAAGTCTTGTAATTTTGTGACTAATGTGTTTTCCCTGAATGCCGTAGAAGGGTGTTGTTTTACTAAAACCTGTGTGTAAATATCTAGACCTGGAAACGAAAAGCTTAAAAACAAATTCTCTTTCAATCAAATTCAATCAAATTCATTCAAATTCAATCTTTAAGCTAATTAAGGTTAAACGAAAACATTTAAAAGTGCAAGAATACAAATAATTCTTTTCATTATAAAATTAGGGGTTAAAGTATGAAATTGCCGATTTATACTGAAAAATTGAAACTCGTTTTTTTTAAGATATAACATATTTGCTAAATCAAAATATTTACTCTCATTATCTATACATTGTTGCCATCTAAGTGGAAGTTCATTTATGCCTTTACGATAGAACTCTGGGGATCTAGATTCGACAAGCTTTGTAAAAGCATTTTGTAGAAAATTGGCCAAATCACGAAAAAAATGGTAGTCTGTTGGAGCAAGGTCTGGTGAGTACAGAGGATGACGTATGGTTTCTAACTGCAGCTCCTGTAGAGTTACAACGGTTTCACGTGCAATATGAGGTCTTGCGTTATCATGGAGCAATAATGGTGAAGATCGATTCACGAGTCGGGGCTGTTTCACTGTCAGTTTCGCCATCATTGTTCGAAGTTCGGCACAGTAAACATCTGCTGTTATTGCCTGACCAGACCTGAGAAAGCTATAGTGAATAACACCATGGAGAGACCACCAAACAGTTACTGTTACCTTTTTATTGGTAAGCTTTGCTTTAGGGCACTGTTGTGGCGTTTGACCTGGGGTCAGCTATTGCATTTTTCGCTTACGGTCATCATTAACAATCTACTTTTCGTCACATGTCACAATTCGATCCAGTATTCCTTTATTTCTGTACTGATTCAGCAAGGCAACACAAGTTTCAAGACGCATTTCTTTCTGCAGATCAGTCAAATCATGAGGCACCCATTCTCCATATTTTTTTATCTTATTGATTTGATGCAAATAAGTCAATATTGTAGGTAGGGTAACGTTAAACCATATCGCTAATTCCTGGGTAGTTTAACTCGGATCGGCTTCCACCATCTCCTTCACTTCAGCGTTATTTACCTGCGTCGGCGGTCTTTCACGATGTTCGTTCTTCAAGTCGAAGTTTCCATTACAAAAGCGTTTAAACCAAAAACGCACGTTGCTTTCATTAGCAGTCTACTCACTCCAAACGTATCGTTGATATTGCGAGCCGTCTCTGTTAGCACCACCTCAGAACTCGTATTCAAAAATGACTTGGATTTTCGAAGTATCCGTCTTTCACGTCTAAACTGAATAAAAAAAACAATTAAAAGTCGAAAATTGAATGTTGCACAATTTTTAAAAGAAGAACCTCTTAGGTACTATGTAAAAAAAGTTTTACACGAAAATCTCACACCATGTAGGTTTTATGTCAATTCAAAGTATCTATTACTATACAACGGCAATTTCATACTTTAACCCCTATTATCTTTTTGACTTCACGGGTGGCGTTGTGGTTTAAGCGCCCCTTCCTACTGCGCTGAGTATTGTGGGTTCGATCCCCACACTTTGTGTGATCCACGAAGTAATCACCTCCGCTACACAGGATAATTCCTAATGCGGGTGTTGTCTTATTAAAAACAGAAAAATCATTCATTATTACAATCTCTCATTCATCGTTCTTTGTTTACTTTGTAAATTGTTAATGTTATGGTATGTTATTTCATGCTGATTTTATTTAAAATACGAATTTTGGATCTGCTGTTTTATTAGCTGTGAGTGTTGAATTCCAACATGTGTGACGTCACAGTAGGGAGTTAATCCCACACATATCCACAATATATTGAACTAGCTGACCCGCGCAACTTCGTCTGCGTCTCTCAATAGTAATAATTTTTCTCCGTTTTTGAAACATTCTTCATTGGTACTCCGCTCCTTTTACTCTTAGCGTGATGATATATAGCCTATAGCCTTCCTCGATAAATGGGCTATCTAACACTGAAAGAACTTTTCAAATCGGACCAGTAGTTCCTGAGATTAGCGCGTTTAAACAAACAAACAAACTCTTCAGCTTTATAATATTAGTATAGATTCTGGCCAAGCAGAATTCAATATATTTTTATTGAAGTTGGTGAAATAATTCATAGATGGCTCTTTAGGGCAGAAAAAAATCAACCAGGGCTATCCTCTGAACAGAACTAATATCTACTTATATGTCAACTTGAAATACACATCGTCTGCGGTATTTCTGGACCGATATGACCTTCCAGAAAAGTACGTACTCCTTCCTCAAAGGCCGGCAACGCGCTAGTGACTCTTGAGTTGCAGACGTTCATGAGCGGCGGTAGTCGCTTTCCATCAGGTGACCCGTCTGCTCGTTTGCCCCCTCTTCCATCTCCCATAAACAAAATAAAGAATAGGTAGATAAAAAAATTAGTCAATAATTATTTTGTAGTTTCGTACTGTTTGAGTGCATTTTTATTGGGTTTTAGTTTTCGAACTTCTGTTTTTTAAATCAATAATGATTTTTGTGTATGTAATATTTTAAATAATTAAAATATTGTATTTTATTTAACAGATTTGAACTGATATTTGAATTTGAATTACATGCGATTAAATATTTGGTTATTTGTATTTTAATTAAAACGATTGCTTTGCTATGGGTTTTAATGTTATCTGTGTTCAATAAGTATTGACTAATACCGTTTGTGTTTGGGATTTATAGGAAAACATAATGTCTATATTAAAAAAAAAAGAATCAGATAATTGCACCGCACTAGACTAGACCAAGTCTTGTACGATATAAAATCTATTCATTGTCTTATATATATCTACCCATTCCAAACTATTATTTTTAACGGCACTATCTGCGTTTCTAATATTAATCATTTAAGCTTCTAAAACATGCAGTTTTTATAGGACGATGGTACAGAAAATAAGTTAACCATATAAACGAATTCACTTTTCAAAAATCATTAAAGATAAGACACTCACTCCAATGGTGGCGACGCAGTTCTGACTTTTAAGCTGTAGGCACTTAACCATCAAGTGATGCATCTGTTCGTTTACCCCCCTCCCTCTCCCCCCTCCCCATATGTATAAGGTTTTGGTATAAAAAAAGCCAAAACCTTATACATTCAAGCAGGTCAAGAAGATACGATGTTGACAGTTACCGTTACTATATATTGGCACTAGTTAATTCTTTTTTATTGTTTCTAACCCCCTTTATTATCCTTTATTTTACCCCCTTTGGGTGAAATTTTCAAAAATCTGTTGTGGGTGCTTTTGACATACAAAATATCAGCTGTACAAAATGCCAGCCAGCCAGACCAGCGTGGTATAGTAGGCTCAAACCTCCATTGTAAGGCGAGGCCCATGTCCAGCAGTGGACTATTAAAGGCTGTTGATGTGATGTGGGAGGCTCTGCGTTGATGAATCAGTCAGGCCAAGTAGTTCCATATGTATAGATAAAGGAGGTTAAAGATTTAGATCACTTATGTTTGTTTCAGACGTGCCGGTACTGCAGAACGCGCGAGTATTCCTGTTGCCGCTACCCCTCTTGTTCATCACATACTTCGTGACCATACTGATGGACTGGAACCTCAGTTCTATGCTTATGTATTTCTATAAAATGCGAGTAATATAGTCGCCAACAAGGGAAACAATATATTAATATATTCTAAGTAAATGAAGATCATTTGTGGCATTTTTTATTTCTGTTTGAAGACTTTAATTAAGACAATAATTTGTAATATTGCATCAGAATTTTTTTTTGTTAATACAGTGAAACCTGATTAAGTACATATATTAGAAACCTTTTCTGTTGATAATTACAATCAGATCCTAACAATTTTTATTGAAAAAAAACTGTTTTTCTGACAATGATAACGTGCGGTTTATGTAAAATAAATGACCGGATGGCGTAATGGTTTGTGTAACGGAGTGCTATTCCAAAGTTCGCGGGTTCGATGTCCGCTCAAGTCAAACATTTGTATGCATGAACATTTAATGTTTGATTTGGTCTGGGTGTTTCTTTGTATTATATGTATGTATTTACAAAAAAATATAAATGTGTATTTATGTCATTTGTCTAGTACCCATAGTACAAGCTCTGCTTAGTTTGGGACTAGATGGCGTTGTGTGAATGTGGTACAATAATATAAAATATTAATCGACTTATTCTGCACTAATTTATGTTTCAGTGTCATCTTATAATTTCCTTATGTTTCCATTCCATAAATAAAAGGTGGTACTTATCGACCTCTCTTAGCGTGACCTCATCAGATAATTGACAGTTCTGCGAGGTCTTTTCACGACACTTTTTGTGAAATTGCCGCCCGCAGTATTTTCAGATCGATACGGCTTTCAAGCCTTAAAGAAAAAAGCGTAGTTATACCTCAAAGACTCACAGCGTACCTGTGACTTACAGTTAAAGGTGTCTATGTAGTTAAACCGCCGTAAGCTTGGCCCTCCTGATGGTTTGCGGGACGCGGGGCGGGTGATGCGCTCGGCTATACATGACACGATGTACTAACTCGATATCTTCAGATTTATTTGTTTGAGATTTAATCTACACACAATGAAATAAAAATCGAATTTATTTCCATGTGTCATGTAATGTCAGTGTATTGTAAGTTTTTATGATTAATTGTAAAATTTAATACTGTAAAATAATTTTAATAAAATCACCTTATCTTCATCATGTAAATTATATTCAGATACAATTTAAAAATTAAGTAAAATAATAAATATTCTTTATTAGAACTTTAACAGTAGAACCTCTGTAAGCCGAACTTCAAGTTTTTAAATCTTTTTGTGACGCGGAGTCGGCAGATTATCCATGTTGCAAAATAATACCGTGTCTAGCAGTCTTAAGAAAAATAACGCGTACACCCATGTTTTCACGTCAGTCACTGCCGGCGGACAGCGACGCACTAGCTAATTGGTTGAATGCACCCCCGCCCCGCGTCCCCCAAAGCATCAGGAGGGCCAAGCTTACGGCGGTTTAACTATAGCCGTTATCATAAAAAAAAACCTCCATCATTGAAATAAAAGGCTTTTAAACCTGCCTATTGAGGAAAAGCTAAGTCATAACAAATATGTAGGTTCTCTGCGAATTGAGTTTTTTAGGTTTCACTGTAAATATCCAAAATAACCGTAACCACCTTCCAGAAAAAGTAAAAAAATATTTTTTTTGTATACCTTAAGGTAGTTATGGGCCTGTTGGTCTAGTGGTTCGATTCCCACCCAGGACAAAATTGTGTGATGAACACGGTCATTTGTTCTGTGTCTGGGTGTAAATAATATGTATCTATTTAAAAATCTATGAGTATGTTTATCAGCAGTCTGGTTACCATAGCACAGGCTCTGCCTAGTTTGGGATCAGACAGCCGTGTGTGAGATATATTATATTACTTATCATTACTGAACACGATATATGTATGTTACTCTAACGCAATCATAAAACGTATTTGGTAACATTTTAATCCAAATCATCCTAATGAATTAATCCTAATATATTTTCTATACAAACGTAAAAAAGTTGATATCTCCCGTTTAGTTGTTCTATACAATTAAATTATAGTTCGCTTATAACATATTACATAAAAATCTACCTATATTTCTATATATTATGCAATACAACTCTCACAATACCTAATTATGTTAATCTATAGCTATCAGCGCGATCAATTGAAGAATTGCCTAACGTTACTACCAATTGAACTAGTCGTGGTCACCCCCTAACTGGCTTAGTGGTGTGTACGCCCTCCATTGTAGCATCCGTAAGGTAGACAATTCTGCATCTACCCTCACATTTTCAATTTTTCACACATACTAAACAAGTGACTATTCTTTAGGATTTATAGACGCGAAATAGCGTTTTCACGATGTAACACGTATTACGTTATTGGTATTCATTTCAATAAGTTATTAAGATTGACTGAATATACAGTTTGACGGGCCTGTTGGTCTAGTGGTTAGTGACCCTGACTGCTAAGCCGGAGGTCGTGGGTTCGATTCCCACCAAGGACAAATAATATTAATTGTGTGATGAGCGCGATCATTTGTTCTGTGTCTGAGTGTAATTTATCTATATTATGTATGTATTTAGAAATATATACGTATGTTTATCAGCAGTCTAATTACTATAGTACAGGCTCTGCCTAGTTTGGGATCAGACGGCCTTGTGTGAGATGGCTAAAATTATTATATTATTAGTTTTAACTTGCAATACTTTGTATCTTCAGCATGTTATATTCAAATCAATACGAGATTTACATATTATAACTGCATAATTTTCAATTCGCTATAACAGTTCAATACCTAATTATTTCGAAAGGCAATATTATATTATATGTAAAATGTTCATGTAAATATTTATATATAGCATTTCCATTTTCAAAAAATATTGTTATTTATTAAAAGCACTGAAGGTATAGGATATTACCAAAAAAAAACATGTATGTGGAAATATGTTGATTAAAATTATCTTATTATACATTTGTAAATAGTTAAATAATACAATATTTTTTTAAGAAATAAAATACTTGTAGTCTATTGGACTTTATTTATTGATATACCAGTCACATTATATGAGTTATAACTTCTTACGTAATTATTATAAATAGTTATTTTAAATTTTAATCGTCGTCTAGTACAATAACTTCATCTGTGGCAATCGGCTTTGGCCTATCATTACTGAAAGGCAGTGCCTTTTTTGCCTCTGGTTTCTTAACAGGTTTTGATACCGATGTCTTTGTAATAGTCAGAGACGAAGGAAGTTTACTTATAGAAGCATTTATATCCTGGTTCTTTGTAATGGGTAAGTGCTTCTGTCTCTCAGCAAGTTTCTCCTGCAAGGTCTTTCCAGGACTGACTTGCTGGTGAGGCATTGGTGGCTTCGTATGAATAGCCGCGTTTACTGTTGACGCTGTGGACATGTGAGCTTGTGCTGGAACCGTATGTGACGAATGTGATGTTGAATGCACCGCACCGAAGTTCGAAAGACTTGCGGTCATAGAAGCCGGAAGGTTTTGAAGTACCGTGCCCATACTTGGAGTCAAAGGAGTCGAATTAGATTTTTGAAGATTGCTTACCGTTGGCATCGGTTGGCTTTTAGTGGCAGTTGACACTGTAGAACTGAACGACTTTGAGGTCTTCATCTGTGTGTTCAGTTGCGGTCGAATTTGAGCGGGTTTTGGTCCGCGTTTTGGCTTTTTTGCAGGTGGCATAAGGGATGGAAAAGTTTGGCCAATGTACTGCCTATAGAACTCAGCTTGAAAAGTATTTTGTAATGAGTTCTGGATTGATGATTGTAATGAGTTCTGGATTGATGATTGTAGTGAGTTCTGGATTGATGATTGCAATGACGTATAACCAGCTAAAGCGCTTATATTACTCAAGTAAGACAAAGATAGAGCAGCTGCCGTTTGTTGCGTCAAAACAGGGTCGTTTAACATAGGCAGGTAATTCTGGAAAGCCGCAGCCATATCATGTGCTGATATTTTCGGCAGATTACCAGGAACTGAGGGTGCTGGTTGCGTTGTGGAAACTTTCGTCGGTTCAGGTTTTGACGTATGAACCACTGGCGCCGAAGAAGTTGAAGTTTTAGCAGCTTCAGCGGCAACAGCAGCTTTTGCGGCTTGTTTCTTTTGCGCGATTTGAGTTTTGTCCAGACTGGCCATCGTCGCGTCGTGCTTCAGTTTCTGTATTAACTTTTGGCAGTACTTCATACTGATATCGACCAGATTTGCGTTATCTGCGACAGGTTTTGTCGTCACAAGCTTAAAACCATCTATGAGTAGATTCGTGAACTGTTTGGAATTTGGTAGCTTCTGAGCTCTCTGGTACGCCCTATAAATGTCCAACATGAAGCTTTTAAGCGCCTGCCGTTCTACATCATTGCTTTTTAAATCAGCTTGCTGACTAAATTTAGTTAACTGCCCCTTAAGAGACTGAACGCAAAGAGAAAATGCTTGTTGAGCTAATTCTTCTCTGTCAGAGTCCCTCAAATATTTTTTATCCGTATCTGGTATTTTTTGTAACTGTAAGCTGATGTCCAAGAGAGTTTTATAATCATCTATTTCTTTTAATATCTCAAGGGTTAGTAAGACTGAGCGATTCATATGAAAAGCGAATCCTCCGGCTCGTTCTACTTCCGATACTGGTATCTTCCATATATTATTGAAGAAGTTTGAGGGCTTCCTTTCACTGAACAGTCCTCCTAATTTTTGATTTGCCCGTGATGTGAACGTTGACAGCATCAGATCTCTACAACGCTCAATATCTTTACCATTTTTATAATAAAAGTGATAGTGAGCAAGTCGGTATAAGGCCTTGTAATGTAAAGGGAATCGACTGGTACAGTCTTCCAAAGCATCAAGACATGATGACACTATGTTTAAGATTTCAGCATTCGTTAAAGGTTTGGAGTCGTTAGAAGATTTAGACGAGGATTCAGTGTCTCTGCTAGAATCGCTGCTACTGTCAGAAGATGTCTCACTCGAGCTTGAATCTGACGATGAAGATGAAGTTGTGCTGCTAGAACTCTCTTCTTTCTTTTCACCATCAGTGTCTTCTTTTATTTCTTCTACCGCTTTATTAGATTCTCTTGGCTGTTCTTTACAAATTTCTGCATTAGGCAGCGGTGGTAGTGACTGTGGCAATGTCGGTTCTGCGTTCTTTTCTACTGCTGCCTTTGGTTTACTCTCTTCTATAGAATTAACGGTTGTAGTTTCCATTGCTTCAGCGTTCTGAACTATCAGCTCTTTATTTGATGCCATTCTTTCTGTGTCGTAAGATGCTGACCTTCTAACTTTAGCTGCGGCAGATTCCATTTTTAATCTTTTGGCTTCGTGTGATTCTTCTTCGCCAGCGTCGCTGATAGACCGTTTTAGAATATTAGCTGCGTGTACAGGTTCGGGAAGCTTTGGTTCTGAAGTCGTAGGTACACTTTCTGTAGCGCCATCTTTTTTGGGTTTTTTAGAGAAAGGACCTTGCTTCCACTTCTCAATGCAGCTAAAGAATACTTTGCCCACCGATGCTGGTATAGGCTTGCTTTCGTGTTGCTCTATGTACTTAAGAATAGAGGCATGAATGCGATAGTGTAACTCTAACACCTCTATACATAAATGAGTTGGAGTACTATAATTTATCTTTACAGGGTAGGTAGCATCAGTTTCTTGTAAACATGTAACAGCTTTCATATAGTAGGCTAAATATAGCGACGGGGGCTTGTTACGTTTTTCCGCCACTTTCCCTAACATATAAAAGTGAAGCCAGGAGTCTTCACTATCTTTTTCTGAATCTGTACTATTATTTAGTTCATTAATCACAGTATCAAAACATTTCTGTGTAGTATCCAACATATCCTCTTTCTGTTTCTCCAAAGATTCGAAGTCTTCCATGCTCAAGGATTCACTCGCTTGTTTTAGTAACCGAGAACAGAAGGAGTGTACAGTGTAAACGAATAGGCCATACTCAATAAGCATATTACAGTGTGTTGGATTTAACTCCAGAGATCGTTTGAAGCATCGTATCACAGATTTAGCAGGATTTAAGAATTCTCGTTCGTTATTAAGATTCTTGCAGGAATTCAATATTCTATCCAAATTAACTGCTTTCGCTAGCGTAATTTCCGCCCATGACTCTAGACGATCGTTATTCACCACAACATCTAACATATTGTATTTCACACCCAACTTACCATCTTCTTTCTTGAAATAGTAGTCTCCCAGCAAAAAATATATGTCTCTCATTTTATAAGGAATGAGTTGTGGAACCTGTGGCAATTTATCTTCAACTCCTTTCATAAATTTATCTATTTCAGGGAGATATTTAGACGGGTCGTTTTCTGGAGGCAGCAACGCAAGTATACGATGAAACAACTGTTCTGTATCATTTGAAATGCCAGGCACTTTTCCTTCCAGAGCAGGTAATACTGGAGGCTTAAAGATTTCGTATAACTGCTGCGCTCTATTCCAATCTAGGGATAAAGCAGAAGCGTTATGATCAACTAAATACTTTAACTTATGTTTCCGTCCTGGATGTCCAAAAAGACAGTAGACACATTGTTCCATATATTGGCATACTTGTTCCAGAGACTTCGATAAGGCCGGTGATCTTAGTCTTGGGACCACTGTGTCCAAAATAAAGTACAAAAGTTTCCCCTGAGATGTACAACACCAACCTCTACCACCTAATTGTTCATGAGCGATAAATAATACTAGCAGAGGATTAGGTACTTCATCACAGGCAACTTTGTCTTTATCTAAAGTTGGAATGCGGCCTTGATCTTCCTCTCTCTGCAATATGTAATGCATTATGATCCAAGGTGTGACAGTACCGAAGGGCATATCAGTCCCATTTGTCTCTACCTGATGGCCTATTATCCTAATGAGATCTTCGAGCCCTTGGCTGAGCTCTTTCTGAGAAACAGCATCTAAAGTTGCCAAACCTTCCGTACTCAGTATATGTTCTATAGAACAGAGTATTTTCACAACTGTCAGTGTCCATTTGTCATACTCTGGAGACCCTGAGGTGTTCCTAAAGTAATGCTTCAAAGCTTCATGCAAACAAATTAAAGACCACTTTAAACAATCATCTACTCTGTTTAAAGCCCAATATGTATCTAATATTAGCGACAGCTGAACTGCAAAGTCTAGGGACATTTCTTCTTCTTCACTTCTGGCCATAGTCTTGCAGTGCTCAAAAGAGTCTGTTATTATTGTGAGCACTTCTTCATAGCATTCTCTTTCAAACAAATCCATAACTGACGATAATTTCTTATTTCTTTCGAGGAATTTTATACCGGCTTGAATTTCTTTTTCACTAATTTCAGATTTAAATGTAAAATTGATTATGTTTAAGTAGTAGGTGTCATGATATTCATCCATGGCCTCAAATTCATACTGCAATTGATACAAGCAGTCTAGAGCAAACTCATTGCATTTGTTCAACATATGGATGTGCAGCTTCACCCAGAGGAATCTTAACGTCAATTCTAAACAGTCCGTACTTAGAAATATATTATTATGCGGTTTCTGGCTCAGTATAATACCAATAGCTTCTACCACACATAGGTCATGCTTTTGTTTATCACCATCATCATTAGTAGGTAAAATAAGTTTCTCATTTACAGCAAACTCTTCAACAAGAATATTAACAAAGGTGTAATGTAGTACATCTTCATAATTATCACTGGTGCAGGTTGGAACATCTATGTGGTTCATGTAACATTTATTGGCTTCAATAAATATTGTAGAGAGACCTTCAGGCCATTTCTCTCTCCATTTCCCTGCTAAAACATTTAGATAATCTTTCAAAATGTCAATGATATCTCTTTTGCTTTCTGAATACTTCAGAATAAAATTTTTAACATCTTTTTGCTCATTTGTTGATCCAAAGTAATCTTTCTTTTCTTCAGTTTTCTCTTTTTCGTCAAATAACTTGTCTAAATCAGCTATGTCGGGAGAAGTATCTCTTGTTTGGTTTTCTTTTTTTTCAACCATTTCAGGAGCCAAACAAAGAGGAACCATTTTCCTTAATGTTTCATAAATGTTGTCATCCTGTTCCTGTTTTGTCGCAGGCTTTTTACGTCCAGACCTTCTTTTAGTGCACCATTCCCACTGTTGAAGAAAGCTAAGAGCGCTGCCTCTACGCCTAGTAGGGTTTTTCCTAAGAATTTTAGGTTCTGGTTGTGATTCAACAACATTATCTTCTGCTGCAACTGCTGGAGCTACATCAACATCACTCTCAACCTTTTCAGTATCTGTTGCAGCTTTATCCTTGTCTGATAAATCATTATTCTCATTTTCAGAAATATTTTCTAAATTCTTTTCAGTATCTGTATTATCATCTTCTTTATTTTCTACCACTTCTGCTTCTTTAGGTTCGTCAGAAACTTCCATGGGTTCCTCTTTTTCTTCCTTTTCAAATATTATTTCTATAGGACATGCATGACTGTAGCAGTTATCTGTCATATATTTATGCATATGTACTATCGAGTCTCCAACTGATTTCCAACTTAATATAGAAACAGGCTTGACCAACTTTAATTTTGGTACAACATATTGAAACTGTTCTGCTTTCTGCTGTTCTAAGAATGATTCTTGAATATCTTCTGCTTCTTTTAATAGTATTTCAACTTTTTTCTCATCATAAGGCTCATCATCTTCCTCATTCCACTTGTAGATTGGATTCAGATATTCCATAAAATCTCTAATGTATGGATAAACAGTAAAAATGTGTTTTCTATAAGCAAGACCTCTGAGATATCCAGGATCTAACTGTAAAGTGTCATATATAGTAGTTATACATTCTTCTTTATATCCTAAGCCTAATAAGAGAGTCACAATTTTATCTAGACACGGCCAATGGCGAGGATTGCGCTCAGCGCCGCGTTGAAACGAATGTAATGCCATTTCATAGCGTTTGCTGCGTAAGCAGAGCTGTCCCAGTCTGTGCCAAAGGGTGACATCCGTATCATCAAGCTCAGATGCCGCACAATAAGCTTCAATAGCTGCATCCACGTCGTCTGATGCGCTCAGCATTGACGCCAAGTTCTTGTAAGATAAATATTTAACATTGAACAAAGGACCTGGTACTTTCTCGCCTTCCACCGGTTTCTTAATATCATAGAGTAGTTCTGTATCTAGAAGATCTTTTAATAATTGTGTTGCTTCCTTTAAATTACCTTTTCTTTGAAGATCTAGTGCTTTAGCGTACTGTTGTAATGCGATTTGTTCTAATGCCTCTTTAGTCACTTCCTCCTCAGATCCGCTATCTTCCTCCGATTCCTCGTTCAGTGCTGATATTTTAATCATCTTGTGCACTTCAATTTGCACTGTTTCTTAAGCAAAACAATAAATTATAAATAAAAAATAGAAAGCCCGGTTCGCTTCCCTTTCATTTGACAAGTGTGACAAATACCGCTTTGCGTTTAATTTTGTTTTGTTTGCAAAAGCAACGTTTTTACAACAGATGAGAATCAAACATCTTTTTATATTTATATATTAGGTAGAAAAAATTAAAAAATAGTTTTCAGCTTTAAATATCTATTATAAATCATCTTTCTTCTACTTTATTTAATTTTCTTAATATAACTTGAGCGTCAAGGATCGTCAAAAGATGAGCGTCAAATACAGAACAGAAAATGAAACGCTTAGATTAGATCTGTCAAACGCCTGTCAATTGCCTATCAAGTTGTAGGTTATGTGTTTTGTATTAACTTTATGAATGAAATTCCTTTCACAAAAAGAAAGACAATAATAAATGATGTTTTCTCAACACTCTTTGTTAAAACGTACCATGCCAATGTTTATACAAGCAGCTGAAGCACACAGAAAACCGCGATGGTTACCCGTTGCGAAAAGTAAAATTTATCGTATACCGAAACGGCCAGTTATTTCTGAAGATGAACGTTTAGAGCTGCTCCGCTTGAATAATAACTACAAAACTCAAATGCGAGCTATAAGGAGATTTTACAGTGAAGATATGATCAAAGAACAAGAATCGCGTCAGAGTGCCAGTTCAGAGATGTCTCAGCGCCTAGAAGCTGAGGAATGGGCTCGATGTGTCGAGTTAAATGAAAAGTGGAACCTCGAAGTCGCTAAAGAGCGCGAGGAAAGAAGAAAACTAGAGATACAAGCCATAGAAGAGCATGCCTTGAAAAGAATTGAGGCAGATGATTTGAAATTGAAGGAAAGGATTGCTAAAGCCTCTGCAGAAATCAAGCGAGAGAAGGTAATCCACACTAAAACTTTAAGATTTGCTTTGCTCAATTTTATTTTTAAAGAAAATACCTTCCTTTATAATTTACAAGGAAACTGTTTATTACTTCCCAGTGTCTAGGCCTTAACACATAGATTAATAATTATCTGTTTAAATTTAAGAATTCATTTTATTATAATCTGATTGGCCATATAACTAACTCAGACTCAACTCGGTACTCAGACTTCAAACATTCAGATTCCTATTTCTTCTTTTCCCAACAAACTCATTGTACGTAAATAATTTAAGAAAACCTTTCAAGAGTTCTATTACTCAAGCAAGCTAGTGGTTTGATTTTATTCTTACAATGTTCTTCTTTTTACTACAATTTTCACAAGTCTTATTTCTTCTTCAGAAATACATTAAAATCAGTAACATGTATTCTTACATCACACACATCACATCAACAGCCTATAATAGTCCACTGCTGGACATAGGCCTCTCCTTAGAAAGGATGTTTTGGCCTACTGTACCACACTGGCTAAAACAATTAATGTATTCTAACACCTTTGTTTATTTCAGGAACTGAGTTCTACCTTCATTACACCAGAAACCCTGGAAGCTGCGATAGAGCATGCACTTGCCAACCCCACGGATTACAATTTTGCTATTGATTTGAAAGGAAACCTTTATCAAGGCAAAGAAACAAAGATTGAATTAGTAAAAGAGAAGGATACCAGAGTCAATGCTTAAAATATAGATTGTTTTGTAAATAAAATAGCACATTTAAAATAAATATTTAAGATATTCCTTGAATTTAATATAATTTATGCCGCATTAGATTGTTGTTGAAAGGGTATAAGAGAAGAGGCAGACCGAAGAAAAGGTGGATGGACTGCGTGAGGGAGGATATGGCTAGCAAGGGAGTAAACAGTGAGATGACGCATGACAGAGTAGAATGGAAAAATCATACATACTGCGCCGACCCCCCAAATAAAATTGGGAAAAGGGTAGGCAGATGATGATTAGATTGTTCCTAAAATATGTCGATTTTCTTTTTAGTGTGTAAAAAAGTGTGAAATTTTTGTTGAAAAAAAAATTTTTGTGAAGTTGTAGTGTGAAATCCCTTGGGATAACCTCCCCCCCCCCCCCCTCCAACCAGTTGCCTGTTGGGGTACTTGTGTCAGACTCGAACTGACAAAAAACCTATTATCTCGACTAGATGTAGCTACAGCCACAGCTACAGCTTCCAGCTTGGTGGAACCAGGTGTTTCTAGGTTACAACCTAGAAACGAAATGCCTGGTACCCCGACAGAACCGGGGCTATCTACGACTTGCTTGTATCAATCGATCAATCTCTTAACATTAAGAGTCATTGCCCATTTGCAATGACTCTTAACCACCAACCATAGCAACCCAAGCTTGTCGCGCGCCACCGCTTTTGGCAGGGTGGCACGTCTTGTGTGACTAGTAGTGGCTCCAAGTGGTGCAGTAACGCGTGGCAGCTACCAGCGATTTATGCGGCGAGTATATAAAAGTTTGTTTGTTTGATCGCGCTGGAAGTTCTGCGGATCACATATGATGGGTGCTAATTGTTTTTCGCTTAACATCTGTCTTGTTTACAAATAAAACAGCATAAGACATTTAATTATATATTCTAAACTGACATATCATGGAACATGGCTTCCCAACTGGGGACAATATTCAACTTCTGTTGTATGGAACCCAATGCAATGAGGTTGGCAGAACGTGATTCTTCATCCGTGGCGACTGATATCACTTCCTGGTGGAGAGCTGACTTAGTACCCGTGCAGACCTGGCAATGCAGAAATAAAATCTGTTATAAAAACTTCAATATTTTTATTCGCTTTACTTATAAGCTTTATAACATTTCTGTAAACAAATCTTGTAGACAATTTTAAGTATACATAAACTTGTCGAACTATTTTATAGGGCCACCCCCAAAGCGTTAATATTTTTTATTACTTTACCTACAGAATAATTATAATGCTCTAAGAGCCAATTTGAAAAACAAAAGCATATTGAACTTGTTACAAGCCTAGTAAGTTTTTATCATTGGAGGGTATTATCCTATATTGGACAGTTTGTAAATGGTTAATCGTGTAGATAAAATAAACTCTCTGTAGTAAACTATTATTATAAGCGTTCATATGGGCACAACTATATTATCTTTGTCATTCATATATCATTCTTTTCTTCCATTTTTGTGTGTCTGTTTGCCAGGTGGAAAAGGCCTCCTCCAATCTTCTCCATTCTAGCCTTTCTATGGCCACTAACTGTAGATAAACTAAATAACAGATATACAAAAAAGACTAGTTAGATTGCAAACTTTTTAAAAATCATTATACATTTTGTAATATCCAATAAATCTAATAAAACAACTACATTTGTTTGCTGTTGATGCTTTCACAGTGAACAATAAATCTAAACGTATTAAACTAATCCACAAGGCACAATAACTAAGTACTGGGGGTCATTCTTATAACAAATCTACCTCCATGCCCAGCAGCTGAGAGATCTCACTAACCTCAAACATGGTGTCACCGATGACCAGGCTGACGCGACCGGAGCGATGTATCCGCAACTTGCCGATACGACCTTCTTCTAAGTCTGGCAACCGACATCTTGTTTCCGGCTGCAAAATTATATAATTTAAACCCATTTCATACATTAATTACAATTTGGGTGTGATAACTTTATTATTAAATTAAAACTTACTAAGCACTTTCGAAATCGGAAATACGTATAATTTAAAGTTTACAGTAAATAACTATAGCGTTTTAATCTTATATATAAAATTCTCGTGTCACAATGTTAGTTACCATACGCCTCCGAAACGGCTGTACCGATTTTGATTAAATTTTGTGTGCATATCGGGTAGGTCTGAGAATCGGCCAACATCTATTTTTCATCCTAATTTTTTTTAATATTTCCTAGAAATAATTTATATGGCAAAACAACGTTTGCCGGGCCAGCTAGTACTTTATAGATTTTGAAATGTGACGTCACGTACCTTAGGACTCCTGTATAGTGTGACCTATTTTATGCACAAATAAGTATATTTATAAGTTTTTGAAATCTGACGTCACAAGACTTTACACGTTGTAACGTAACTTATGGATGGCCCCTCATCTGCTCATCTGCTCAACTAATCATCACAGTACAGAAAGAACATCATCCAGACAAAAAATACAGTTCCCCAGGTATACCTGGACTGATTGACAGTTTATTACTGTGAACGAAGCCACCAGTAAAAGTTAGTATCAAATAAAAGATATAAGAGAATTCCGAAATACGTCAAGAACTCACAGGTTTCTCTTGCTTGCCTTCTCCAGTTGAAGTTGAGGCTTCATTTTCAACAGTCTTCCGTCTCGGATTTTCGTCTTCCATCTTGCCGCCCCGACCCGGCAGAGAATCTGGTAACTGATATGCAAATAATTAAATTAAATAATAATACAAAAAACCCTATACCAACCCGCCTGGCCAGCCTACTAGGCCAAAACCTCCTTTGAGAGAGGCCTATGTCCAGCAGTGGACTACTAAAGACTGTTGATAATTAATATTTTCACACATCTCATACACGGCCGTCTGATTATAGATAAAGTATATCCAGATACAGAACAAATGATCGTGCTCATCACACAATTATTTGTTCTGGGTGGGATTCGAACCCACGAACCCCGACGAAGCAGTCACAGGGTCATAACCTTTAGACCAACAGGCCAGTCAAAAAAGCGTAAAAAACAGCAGTGCAAAGCCAACGTGGTATGATGATGAGGACTCTACCCACAAACTATTCACTTTGGTGACCTATGTACCAGTAGCCTCCGTCAAGACAGACAGAGAATGTTGATGCTAGCCAGGAATGGCAAGTGTCCCGGGTATACCATAACTCTCTCCCCGTCATAGAATAAAAGAAACCCTAGAATAATACTATAGATATATTTTTCTTGATTCTGCTTACCTGCAATAGTATGAGCGTCGGCTGATCGCTTTTTAATAATTTCACGACATCCGTGTGTTCAAACACTTCCTTCACATCTGGCAAATGCTTCATTTCTACTTCAGTAACTGAAAACAAATTACATCCTAAAATATCCTCTTAATTGAAATAAAAACCATAACCTCTAAGCCTTCTATGGCGGTAATTTATACAAGCAGCAATATTTATAGTGATTTAAGATTGCATCTATGAATCACTGGCATAAAGGTTTTTCAAAAACTGTTACCACGCCGAGTGTTGTGGAATACCCTAGTATGTTATAATTCATCAGCATCATCATCAGCAGACTTTAATAATCCACTTCTGGACAAAGGCCTCTCCTTAGAAATAAGATTTTGCAATACTATACCATGCTGTCCAGACAGGTTGGTATAGGGTTTGTGTCAAGTTTTCCTTCTCCTTGCAGTGCCGTTGTACCTACTGCGTAGTTTTCTCCCTTAGTCGACTCTTTAATTACGACACTCACGTGATGAATTAGTGTAGTGACACTCGGTATTCTTAATCCATCACCACATGGACGTTGTATGGACGATGTTATAATTAAATATAGTATACCCAAACCCCCCTCCCTTTAATTCCAGAGGGAATTCTAGGTTTTTGGGGTCTGATAACCTCACTCGCTCAGTAAAAAGCAGCAACCAGATCAGAATCAAAATCTAACTGATTAACCCACCGTGCAACACTCGACGCAGTACCCATAATCATAATATGCAATCTTAATAAATAATATACTTAAATTATATAATTCCCCTAAAAACACACATAATATATTTACATGTCTTTCGGGATAGCCAGTTTAATAGATAGATCGCTTCATATCTTGATAGAAGACCAATTTCAGGCTAAAAAAATACGGCGTGAGGGTCTATGGACCGCCGGTCGGAACCAAGTTCCTTTCGCTTTTTGTTTGCAGTCTGTTTAAAAATTAAGTGTCGGAAAAAAGTCTTGTTACACATATTTCGGTCTCGCTCCATTCCACTCAAAGCGTGTAACGCGCGATAAGGAACTTCGTTACAATAATTACGCTTTCCCAAAATATATACAGTAGAAATAATTATGATTATTTAAGAAGTATTAATTCCGAATACACAACAGATGCATCGAAATTGTTAAAACAATAGGACATTGTTGTCACTGTAGCCGCTTCAGCCAGCCAAAACGAAACAGTTCGCTCGACGGTGCAGAGCTGCAGAAAAATAGCATGAATTTATACCCAAAGTTATACGACTTTTATAGTGAAGATTTGTCTCTATTAGTATTTATAAATGCGAAAGTAACTCTGTCTGTTTGTTACGCTATCACGGATAAACCGCTGAACCGATATATTTTGATTCCTGAGGAAGGACATAGGCCACTTTTTACAGCGATAACTGACATACACGCGTTCAAAAGTAGTGTATTTCTAAACAGGCAACACTTTCCCCCCGCCACACACAAAAAAAAAAATTAAATAGGTAGGGAGTTACTATTGCTGGTGAATAATTATCCTGTCTATATAACTCTGGGTATCACAAATTTATGATCAATACCGCAGTCGGGATCTTCTGGTTCCTTCTTGATGATCACCTCCTGTTTTACCTTCACTGTTGACTTAACCTGGGACCAGCCTATAAAGAGAATTAAACGTTAGATACTCAGGAGATGCAGGATCTCCGACCATATTTATGTATTGTGTCTATGGCATATGATATAATTTAAAAAAAATACAAAAAACTTATTTTTGTTAATTTTTAACATAATGTTGCCAGCAGACAACCTAACGAAATTAAACCGAGAATAAATAAATAAATAATAAAAACTTTTTATTGTATAAATGAGATTATAGGTTTACACGATTTTACATTTATTAAGATTAGTTTGTGTTACAATTAGAAGTCTACAATAATAATATATTGAGGTTGAGTGTTGTTTTCCCAGCTAGGCTACAGGTGTTAGATATAGGACAGTCCTGAACCCCCAAAAATGGTGGAAACGGGTGTAGCTGTTTTTAATTTAAATTAAAGAAGAATAATAAAATGAAAAATCTATTCCAATAGAAAAAAATCATTATCAAATCAAGTTTAACAAAATTTTTGGTACTTTAACTTGCAGTTATGAATCTTTCTATTTTTTGTTTCTTTATTCAAGTAATAAAAAACATACAACATTGATTATATTATTAACAATCGCCAATGGAAATAGTTACACTACAGACTACTAAGTCTAGACTGCACAAGGATGGTGTATTGGTTTAAGCGGTCGCCACGCCAATCACTACTATGACACTTTGTGTGATCTACAAATTGTTGTTCTGAGTCTGGGCGTTCTTTGTGTCCGTTTCATATATGTTTGTAAAGACCCCCGCGACACACGATATTTTCCTAATGCAGTTGTCTTTAAAAAAAAGTGGTCCATCCACAGTTTGTTAGATTAACCATATTTATTTAATGTGCTTTAGTTAGTCTAAAAAGTTTTTTTTAATTTACTATTTATTGAAATAAAAAAAAAATACTGAATAAAAAAAACAATCAAATACCAGATATTATACAGACTGAAAAAGACACGCTAATCAGTAATACTATGTTAAAGAGTCTTTAAAAATAAACTATAAACCTACCTCCGTCATCCATAGGCAGTTTTATAGGAGCATCTTTTTCTAGAACCTTCTTGAAGTCCTCACAATTGCCGTCGTCGTCCATATTGCACTCACCCATCACAGTTTTTATCTTCTTTTCTTCTAATTCTTTGTCTATCTGTAGAATGAGTATCAATATTAGTACCCCGACACAAGTATTTTAAATAGCTTTCTAGGGTAGTCTCATTTTGTGCTCTATATCAATGTAAGAGAAAAGAATAAAAAAATATTAGAGAACTCGGAGTTGATTAACTATGAGCTCAGTCATACTTATGTCAGCCACTTGAAACAAAATAATTTAGAAGTGGTATGCCCCAGATATTTTATAGCCACAATATAAGAAATGTCTTATATTTTTTATGTTATGTGGGCAAGTGTTATGCATGTGGCAAACGAGCTAACGGGTCATCAGATGCTAAGTGCCCACCGCCGCCCATGAACACCTGCAGCTCGACACAATGTGGCTGAAGAATTAGTCCTATTCTATTCTAATATCTTATATATAAAATTCTCGTGTCACAATGTTAGTTCCCGTACTCCTCCGAAACAGCTTGACCGATTCTCATGAAATTTTGTGTGCACATCGGGTAGGTCTGAGAATCGGCCAACATCTATTTTTCATACCCCTAAATGGTAAGGGTGACCCATCCCTAATTTTTTTTTGTTTTGCAATACAACGTTTGCCGGGTCAGTTAGTTTAATTCTAATATTATAGTTACAAGAACAGGGAGCGTTGTTCACCTTAATAACATCCTTAACTCTAATAGTAGGCCTTTGCATAGACTGTGTGCTATCTGACTCCCTGTAGTACGAGCCGCGGGAAGAATGCCGCTCCACACTTCCCAAACCTGGAAACATTAGAAATTATTTTTATTATATAGTGCCTGTGCTTAAAACCAGATTAATTCAGTTTGATTTGGGCATTGTTTCAGATTTTGAGCCTCTCTTGAGTCACCCTGATCAAATCAAATCGAATAATTTCAGAGCTGAGCTCACCGTATCAGAGAGAAATGGGTAACACTCTACTGGGCAAGTCTATTACCCTAACTGAGTGTACTGCATTTCCATTTCATTTACGAGTACATGGCACTTTTATGTGGTAATGACCTGAGATACCATAACAAGAGCCTCTGTAAACTCAGACCGCCTGATAAACGTAACAGACAGAAATAAAAAAAAAAAGCATTTATTCATTCCAATGCTTCATCATCAGCCTATCGCAGTCCACTGCTGGACATAGGCCTCTCCCATTGCACGCCACTTAGATCGATTTTGGGCTTCTCGCATCCAGCTCCTGCCAGCCATCTTGCGCAAATCGTCACTCCACCTGGCCTGTGGGCGTCCTACACTACGTTTGCCGAGACGCGGTCTCCACTCAAGAACTCGTTTTCCCCAACGGTTATCGGTTCTGCGGCTAATATGGCCAGCCCACTGCCACTTCAACTTGCTGATCCGGTACGCTATGTCGGTGACCTTAGTTCTCTGCCGGATCACCTCATTTCTGATGCGATCCCTTAGAGAAACGCCGAGCATAGCCCTTTCCATAGCACGTTGAGCGACTTTGAACTTGTGGACCAGCCGTACCGTAAGTGTCCACGTTTCAGCTCCGTATGTCATGACGGGTAGGACGCACTCATTAAAGACTTTCGTCTTAAGGCACTGTGGGATCGACGATGAGAAGACTCGACGTAGCTTCCCAAACGCTGCCCAACCCAACCGAATTCTTCTGTTCACCTCGTCCTCGAAGTTGTTTCTACCTAACTGCAATGTCTGCCCGAGGTACACATAATTTTGAACAACTTCGAGAACGGCACCGTGTACCGCAATCGGTTCCGGTAGTACATGTTTGTTGAACATGACCTTGGTTTTATCCAAGTTCATCCGTAGGCCGATGCGTACAGAAGTGTCAGCTAAGTCATTCAGCATTTGCTGTAGGTCCTGCAACGTCTCTGCCATGATGACGATGTCATCTGCAAATCGCAAGTGAGAGATGTATTCGCCATTGATATTGATGCCACGCCCTTTCCAGTGCAGCGTCTTGAACATGTCCTCCATTGCATTTGTGAACAATTTCGGGGAAATAACGTCCCCTTGTCTCACTCCTCGATGCAATGGTACGGGCCTTGTTTGCTGATTCTGTACTTGGACGGACATGGTGGCGGCTTCGTAGAGACATCTCATCACTTGGATGTATCGCCAATCTACTTGGCAACGCTGCAGGGACTCCAGAACAGACCAGATCTCGATCGAGTCAAAGGCTTTCTCATAGTCCACGAATGCTAGACACAGGGGCTGATTATATTCTTCGGTCTTCTGTATAATCCGCCGCACTGTGTGGATGTGGTCTATGGTGCCATATCCGCTCCGAAACCCAGCTTGCTCCGGTGGTTGGAATTCGTCGAGTCTTTGCGCAAGACGGTTCGTGATGACTCTCGAAAACAGCTTGTAGACGTGGCTTAGAAGGGATATGGGTCGATAGTTCTTCAACCTGGTCTTGTCACCCTTTTTGAAGAACAAGACGACCACACTCCTACTCCACGCTTCTGGAGTTCTCCCTTCAAACAGGACAGCGTTGAAGAGCTTTTGGAGCTCCCTTAGTACGGGTTTACCCCCGGCCTTCAGCAGCTCTGTTGTAACGCCATCCTCTCCAGGTGCTTTTCCATTTTTCAGCTGTCCAAGAGCCATCTCGATTTCGTCAATGCTAACTTCTGGCAGGTCTTCGGTGTAGTGACGTGTTAATGTGGCTCTAGAGTCCTCATTTTCGGGATCAGGTCGAGATGCATGCGAAGCGTATAACCGGCCATAGAAGCTTTCCACTTCCAGAAGGACTGCCGGCTTCGAAGCAACGACTTCTCCACTTTCTGTAGTCAACTTTGTCAGGTGGCTTCTTCCAAGAGATTGTACGAACACTTTTGACCCCCGATTTTGCTCGATCGCTCTTTCAATTGAAAGAGTATTGGAGCACCGGAGGTCGTGTCGTACGAGTTTACTGATCTCTCGGTTTAGAGTCCGCTTTGCCGACAAAGTGACAGGTGGGTTTTCACGTCGTTTCTTCATCAGCCCTAGGGTCCTTTCTGAAAGCTTCGACTTCCTGCCCTTACGCTGCATTTCACAAAATCTCATACCTTCTTCCCTGAGGATCTGAACCACATTTTTGAGGTTCTGGTTTACGTCGATTGTGGTTTCCACGGCAGCGAATCGGTTTTCCAGTTTTGACTGGAACGTTTCAGATCCTGTCATGGCTTGGAGCCGAGTTGGTCGGAGCCTGGATTTCATCAAACAGACACGTTCCGCCTTAAAGTTGATATTCAGAGAGCCCCGGACAAGTCGGTGATCACTACCGGTATTAAACCTATTGATCACTGAGACGTCTCTGAATATGTGCTTTCTATCCGTCATGATGAAATCGATCTCATTTCTGGTCATAGCGTCGGGGCTCTGCCACGTCCACTTCCTTTGGGGCTGTTTCTTGAAGAAAGAATTCATCAAAAACAGCCCCTCCCGTTCGAGGAAGCTGACCAGCATTTGCCCCCTATGATTCCTGCTTCCAAATCCATGGGATCCTACTACCGATTCGCCGCAATTCTGTACTCCCACTTTAGCGTTGAAGTCACCCATAACAACGTTGTAGTGGGTCTTAGTTGTGAAGTGGAGGGCCCTCGATATGTCATCGTACATATCCTCCACCTCGTCGTCCGAATGTGCCGAGGTCGGTGCGTACACTTGCACAACCTTGAGGCTATACCTCTCGGTGAGCTTGATAATGAGGTACGCTACCCTGTTCGACACACTGGAAATTTCCACAACGTTGTCAGATAGGGACTTATTTACCAGAAACCCAACCCCACCTTGGGATTGTTGGTCTCCCTCGCGGAAGTACATTAGGTGGCCTGACTCGAGGGTTATGGTGTCCTCCCCCTCTCTTCGGACTTCACATAGCCCTAGGATATGCCACCTAATCTTCCCAAGTTCCACCTCAAGTTGCGCCAGATGCGAGTCTAGCCGTAGCGTGCGTCCGTTGTACGTAGCCAGGGTCAGTCGGTTGTGGTGGCCTCCCGTAGCCCGGAGATTCTTCGCACCCCCTGCCCCGCCTTTACCGTGGTCGCCACCATGACCAGGAATAGCGGGGCCGCCGGGAACTGGGGGCCGTGGCCTTTGTTGCGTCTGCATGGAAGGGGTTTGCCCATAATCGCCACGCTGGGCAGGCGGGTTGGCGATCGCAGGGCGTAGCTTGTCGCACCGGTAACGCTGCTGCCCGTCACCGGCCTGTTGTATTTAGCTACGCCTATTGGGATGGATATACCGCCATCGGTCGGTCGCCAGAGCCTCGTTCGTCGTTCAGCAGGATGCACCGCGGGCAGGTAAGGTTGGCTTGGGGCGAAAGATGGTGGTTCGCCCCTCACACCCCAGGCTTCCAATGCTTACCTTCTGAAAAAACACCACTGGACTTAATAATATTTGGTCCATTTCTAAAATTCTTATTTCTGTCATTCTTTTTGTCTCTTCTCTCTTTGTCTTCTTTCTTTTGGTTGCTTTGTTTGGCAGAAGGTCTGAAATATTAAGAAATGAGAAAAAAATGTATTTTGTACATTTTAAAAAGTTGTAGCTTATTAACTTCCTGAATTAATACTCTATCATTTACAAATTTAATTATTCTAATACTCCTAGAGATTTTCTTATCATATCTTGGAAAATATCTTTGATACCAATAGTTGATACTCTGACTTATGTCATATTTTTATGGTCTAGAAGAGGGCTTACAAGCTGACGGGTCACCTGATGGTAAATTACTACCGCCTGATATTGTAGAAGCCTAGTCTGGCCGAATGCCTCCTCGTCTCAAAAGGGAGGAGGTCTGGGCACCGGTAACCTCACTTATTCGGTGAAAAGCAATGAATGAATTACTTAAGACCAGTTTTTTGTTAGGCTGTTGTATCAATACTGTCGATCAGATCCTTGTGGACCCAAGCATGGAACTCCTATGATAAACTTCTTAGTTTTATTTTATCCGTAGAGATAAAAAGTTATGCTTGTTAGAGGGGGCAGACTAGCAGAAAGGTCACCTGATGTGACTATCGCCGCCCATGAATGCCTGCAACTCAGGAGTAACAAACACATTGCCAGCATGATTTCAATCGAGTTGGTTATTTATTTTTTTGATTGGTTTTTGCATTCCTGCACTTAATTTTTTCTAGTCAAGCCATATTTTTACTGGCTGTGAGAATGAGTAGTGTAATAACAAAAAAATAACATGCAATAAAAAATCGTAGAAACAACTGTACCTATTTAGTGAATAAGTATAAGCTTTAAAAACTAGTAAAACATTACCTTTCTAGCTTCTAAAGCAGAAAACAATAGAGCAAATGATACTTACCCTTTATTTTTATTCCTAGCCACATTTAAATTGGGCGTAAAAACTTTTTTACTAGTCTTTATACCACCCAAAGTAAGATCCCGAGGAGCTTTAAATGAGGCCAGCCGCTGCATAGGGTCAGGACCTACGCCATTTGTTGCAGAAGATCTTTCTTCTGCCATTATTATATTTTTTTAAATATAAATTCTTCTATTAAAATACACAAGATAAACAAGCGTAATCTTGTTTTGAATCCAAAAGTCACACTGAATTATAGATAAAACACTGTAAATCCAAGACACTGAATCACAGATAACTAAATACTAGACCCTGAATCTGACATTTGGACGTGGTTTTTTCTATGGTTATAGTGGATGACTCATAGACTCACCTACTTTCTATGGAAGGTAAGGCAAGGAGAACCATCTCTAATGGGGGGGAAAGTTGAAAAAGTGTCCAGCTGTTTACTGAAAATAGAGGAACATAGATCTCTGTTGTAGACAGAGTGAAGTGGGCAGAGTTAAAATATTATAATACTTTTGTTGTCTAAAAGTTATTAGATACACGTTTATTTATTGTCTGTAAAACTCATTGACTTTTTCGCAGTCTAGTACACAGTGTCTAATTATTATTTAAGCAAAAATAAATTATTCACACTGTTTTTCTTTCAATGTTTATTTTCTCTATCCTACCCTAATAACTTTTGATGCTCTTTTTTCCTTGTGCTACACAAGGTAGCTCCACAAGTTTTCATACAAAAAATGTTTCTCCTTGCCTATACCCTCCATAGTCCATACTACTGACTGACTAGTACTGACTTAGCGCTGTGGTTCAGATTAATTCCCAGACATGTCTATATTGTTAAATTGAATCATGTATATTATAAATATAATTATAAAATAGACGCTCTTAGACAATTATATTAAAGACTAGCTGAAACCCGCGGTGTTACCCACGTTTGTTGTTATAACCGCGGGCAACGCCGCGGGGCGAAGCTAGTCTAAAAAAAAGTAGCCTAAATTACTCCTTATGTCATCAGCTATCTGCCAGTGAAAGTCCCGTCGAAATCGGTCCAGCCGTTCCAGAGATTACCCGAAACAAACAGACAGACAGACAGACAAAAATTGTAAAAAATGCATTTTACTAAATGCATAATATGCAGTTAGTAAAAAGCGGTTATTTTAATATTACAAACAGACACCAATTTTATTTATTTGTATAGAAGATGGTGGTTAGAATAGGTGATCACAAGTCTACTGCTGGAACCTGCTATTTTTAGCTTATACCCTGAAAAAAAAACCTTCTGGTCAGGACACGTCTTATTAACACCGTCAAAACTAAACCACAAAACCAAATCAAATAAAACACTCTTAAGTACCCAAAATTAAAAAAATATTTTTAAAACGTCTTAACTTTTTATTTATTTTTATTAGGTGTTTCTATGTATAATTAGTGTGTATTTACAAAAAAAAAATGTAGTATGAGTACAAGTTCTGCTTAGTTTGGGACTAGATGGCATTTTGTGAATGTGGTAGAATATTATTCATTTTTATTCTTAAACGGCAACCCCTGTAGCCGTTGTTTTCAATGTTTCAACGTACATTTTGCAATTCAATTTTCAACTGCTTCTAACGATTGTTTTCGTGCTTATAGTGACGAATTAACATTGTGAAATATATATTTTCATTGAGTTAAGTACTGTTCTTGGCAGTAAAAATTTGAACGATATGGCGGAATCGCTATTTGATATTTTTGGTGACCATCTCACAAGGCAGGCACTAAAAAATGTTTCGCGCCAGCCTTTATCCAATATAGGTAAAAATATTGTTTGTATATAATTCTAAGAATTATTTTTTTTAGTAAATTTAATCACTGAATCTAAAACCTTAGTTTTCCACCTTTCAATACAGATTGTAATATCTGTTTTAAAACTATCTTGGACTTAAAGATGGTATCCTAAAGTTTTGGTATTTTGTAATCAAGAAAAAAATACTTTTATAGGCAAAACTAACTTTAATAAGGAAAAGACTAGTTTTATAGGTATAATGTGGGTACTTTTATTAAACTATTTAATATTTAATGGTATTTTCAGAGAATATGGGCAAAACTCTATCTTCAGGGCCCATTAAACCTAACGAGCCTATTAAGAAGTCGGAAGGCCCGAAGAAATCGTTTCTATCCAACACTGGTAAAGCGTTACGGAATACACCATCAAGGAATGTGTTTACACCTCGAGCAGTTAACGTGGGCTCCATGATATACAGTGATGAAACTAGTGTTCAAGGAATCTGTCCAGAAGATATTGAATTCCACAGACCTCCAAACATATATGGTAAATATCACACATCATCAACAGCCTTTAATAGTCCACTGCTGGACTATACCACGCTGGCCAGTTGGGTTGGTATAGGGTTTGTGTTAAGTTTTCCTTCTCTTTGCAGTGCTGTTGTCCTGCTTAGTTAGCTCCCTTAGTCGGCTCCTATGACACCCGCGGGAGGAATGGGGGGGGGGCGACATTCCATATTCTCAATCCGTCATTACACGGGTGGCGTAAATACGACCATGCCACGATATGGTAAATATAAGCAGGTTTAATAACAAGAACATCCATCTTAAAAAAATGTTGAACTGACATCAAACAATACTAACAAAGAGCACTAAAAATCTAGCAGCAATTGCAGTTCATTTGCTGTCAATTTTTGAAGATTTCCGTTGTCTGTCTCCGAAACTCAACATCAGATCTATATGAAATTTAAATGGGACCATTGCAGAATAAACCCCATTTGCACAAAAAAGCCAGCTATAAATGACAGAGTTATGCCATCTTAATTGATAACCTCCTCCTTTTTGAAGTCCGTTAAAAAGTGAAAGAATCATATTTTGAAATGAACTTCTATGTTCAGCTAAAGCAAGTTTATTTTGATACTTTTTGCACAAGAATGAAGTGGTGGCTAAGGTTGGTAAAGAATGACACAACCTAGGTATTCTAAACTTAGTGAAAAAAAATAAAAAAATAATAATGAGAAAGTAGCAATGAGACATATATTGTAAATGTTCATAAATTTATGAGGATCATTTTTACCCTTTATATATTTTGTTTCGTTATTACTGGACTGTGGACTTAATGCTAAAAGCATTATCTGATAGTCTGCAATTATTTTTACTAACTTGATATTAGTAGAAAAATCCAAATAAACTACTAATATTGCTTAGAGAATGTACAAGAAGTAAGTATATGACAATTATAAAAAAAAATGCTTAATCTACAGACAATTACCACCGAGATCTATTTGATTATCTCCCAGTGCCTGAGCCAGAAATTAAACAGCCGTCCACACCACCAAAAACACCTCCACCCTGCACAAAGAGATTCAGCATGGAATTTAACTGCTCTTATCAGGATGAGTTCTTTAAAGGTGAGTTTTAACTATTATGTTTGTCCTTCAATTCTTTTTAATATGTAACTTTATAAAGGTAAAGGTATTATTATGGTCGGGGCAGACAGCCTTTAGCCCGCTTTAGCGGCGCCGCGTCATGTCCTCACTGCACTCATCGGAGAGTAACTCTCTCCTATCGTCATAAGCTCCATGGCCAGTAGCGTTAGATGTTTTGAGATGTTTTAAGTGTTGATGTTTTGACGGCTAGGACCCAGGAGGAAAATCTCCACTCGGATCCAATATGCCCTCGGTGTACCGGCCGCGGCATGGCGCGCGTTTCCGCGTGTGGCCGGGACGAGCTTTCAGCAGACGAGCAGAAAATCGAAATAAAAGTTTTTAACCGATTGTGATGCCAACGCTATTGCCGACAGGGCTCCAACAGCTGTTATTAAGACATCCTAATAACAGCTGTTCCCGGATCCCGATCCCCTAGTCGGTTCGATTCCGATAAACCATCCCTCCCCAAACCCAAGTGAGGTAACGGCCCGAGGGGTCTCCACACGGAATGTAATAAAAGTACACGTCCTGGAACCGGACCTCTTGCCTTTTAAAGCGCAGGCATCACCTTCGAGTAAAAACTCTCATTTAGCGACTGGTCCAGTCACATATGGACGTCGTGTGCGTCGCCTCCTAGCGGAGCGGCTGTGCCACCTACTGTCAGCCTGTACCTGAATTAGCTCTGATCTGTATAGAAAATAGATAATTCTTTGCTCCTAGACCACCGACAACTTACGTCTATTTTTCTATTACAGATGACTTTTCAGTAGAAAGCATTCAAGATGATGACCTAGGTCTTCCAGACTTATATTAGGTTTTTAGTAATATACGTATAGGTTAAAGTGACCTGGTGTTCACACACCAACTACTGAACAGAAAATATTTTTATACATTCTCAGCAGATAAGTGTTGTAAAGAGAATAGTATAATGTAAGGTGTTGTTTAAATTTAATAAATATGATTCAATATTGTAATTTGTTTATTTTTAATATTGATATCCTGGTTACTAAACAAAAGGTTATGGGTTATTGTGGTACGAGGGTTGCTATTTATGTATCCGGCACTGGCCAGTTATAGAACTATATTAAAAAAGTGATTATAGCATTTAAAAATGGAACTCTTTGGCTAAAGAATTTGTTTCATGTAGCTGTTATTTGTTTATCCTTTCTGGCGTCATTTTCAAAATTGCGTGTCTTTATCACTGAATTTAACTCATGAAAATTTCCGTGCTATAAGTTATAACGATTTTCGACGAAAAACCGGTCTCGTTTCGAACGCTTTTTTTTATGTTAGAGGGGACAGACGAGCAGACTTATTTCCTATGAATAGCGTCTAATCTATCTACTTAGCAACCCTAACGTACGCAAAAATCTATCAAAAGATCGAATTAACGGGCCATCTGCCGTACAGCCCTGACTTGGTCCCCAACGACTTTTATTTATTCCCAACCGTGAAGAATTAATTCCGTGGTCAACGTTTTTCGAGCCGTGAAGAGGCTGTTGATGTGTACCAGAATCAAAATGGAAAAAGTGCTACGGAAATTAGTTCTAACGTATGCAAAAGTGCATCCATCATCACGGCGAATATTTTGAAAAGCAATAAAACTATACTGCCATCATGAGAAAAAAACACGCATCTAACATTTTTTCAAAATCGTAGGCAATTGTGTGTGTTTAACAAAGTGTTTAATTAGTATTACAAAGGTGCAAGGACGCATCGGTATTCATACATAATACTGATTAATTTTTTATTTCAGTAAGTTGAAACGCAGCAAGTGGCAAGAAACGTTCTTTTATTTTAGGTTACTTTATTTGGTAACGCGTTATTACTTAGTAAGAAAGAAGTACGATAAATTACTACGTAAAAGAAACGTTTCTAGCTAGAAACGTCTTTTCTTTGTAGTATAAAGTATTTTTTGCAATTTTTGTACTACAATGAAATGTAAAATGTGGATTATTTAAATAAATTTAATTATTTTTGTGTAATTTTGCCTCAGTATTATATAGATCAACCTTTAAGGCATGCATTAGCATAAAAAATATTAATGTTTTTTTCTCCGGCTTATCATTTATGTAGATGCGTCTTTTTTCATTATGGCGGCAGTATAATAAATGCTATATGTTTGTTACACTTTGTTATTCCGGATGCATAAATAGCAACCGTCGTATGTAAAATAATTATGATTCGATTTGCGTCAGGTTTAATTTTATTACATATTATTATGTTTATTGAGAGAGCATTCCTATATGACCCATTTTTTAATATTTCCCCTATACCCTACACATCTTATGCTAGGAACCCCCTCGTCAACTCAAAGTTTCTCGTAGTAATTCATAAATATGGTTTTAAATCATTTTTGCTAACAGATAAAAAAAAAATTAGGTCATATTTGGCTATATTAATACAGTATTTGCTGCTATAATAATATTGACTAGGTATGTGACGAAAATCTAAGTCGTCCGTCCTCCCCACAGAAAGGTCACGTAGTATGTTTATGTTTCCTTACCATTGTACTAACTATGCCTGGTTTGGAATAATAAATAGTATTAATAATTTATTATACCCAAATAACAATGTAATATATAATTCTTCTGTGAGTGTGTATGTCACTGAACTTCTCTCAAACGACTGGACCGATTTTGATGAAATTTTTTGTGTGTGTTCAAGGGGATATGGGAATGGTTTAGATTCACAATTTTGTCCGCTGGACAATGTTTTTTTAATTTATTAGTAGTTGTTGATTTTGGAATGTTTTACATTGGATCAGACAGACGGCGCTACCATCGCAGTGTCAAATTTGACAAGACAACGTCTGTCGGGTCCGCTAGTAACAATGTAATTCTACTAATTTGAACGTATAATCAACTAGAGCCAAGCAGTCCAATGTTAGTGAACAGTCTTATTATTGGTAATTAGTCCCATGATCGGTATTAGTATAGTAGGTTTTTGAATAGCTCATCTAATCATGACTACCTGTCACCTGCCTTTTAGTCACCTAAATTATATGTTTAAAATAACAGATGTTTTTGATATAAATATATTTATTTTGAATAATATGTACAACTTTAAGGAATACTTTCGTAACAATAAGTAAAACAGCTTCTTTAATTATATGAATACTTAACTTACATTAGTAAAGGCTCTTAACATAAAGGTAAATTCTATATACTACTATAAAGCTGAAATGTTTGTTTGGTTGAACACGCTTATCTCCGGAACTACTGCTTCGTATTGAAAAAATCTTTTAATTTGGAATAGCCCATTTATTTATTTGAAAACTTAACAGCTATGTTACATATATCATGGGTGAAGTTAAACATTTCAAAGGACTCTTAGCCAATAATAAAGTTTACCGACAAGTAAAAATTGCGTGCACCACTTCAACATAGGCAATATTTATAATTGCCTATCTCTAATTTGGGTTTATCGTGCAGAGTGAGAAGTATTCCAACTTACAAAAACAATCTTGATTTGGATTCACAACTATAATTGCAACCTTTTTAGTGATTTTTTTAAAGGCACTTTTGAGAGGTGGAAGATGTCAATTTCGTCAAAATTATCATTGCAACAGCTAGGCAAACGAGTGAGAACAGCATTCTTACCATACTGGTGGAGGGGTAGACTGAACAGGCGCGTATGTTTAGTACGACCCCTGGATGCCCATTTATCGAGGGAAGCTATATAAAATCACACATTACGATCAATAGGCCCCGAGCACCAATGAAAAATTATGTAAAAATGGGGAAAAGTTATTCCTTATGAGAGACGCAAATGGAAGTTCCCGGATCAGCTACTAGCTAGCTAACTAATATAACTCAATAATGCCGTTATATGTCTTTGCTGATTTACAACCGCCCGTTTCTAAGGGGTTCAGCTTCGTGAAAAGAAGGGGAATACAAGCGCTATATCCACTACTATATCAACAACCAATTCTCGTAATTAAAGTTCGGTCACAATTCAGTTCCGATCAACTTTCGATCTCACAACTGTCATAAACGGTATTTAACAAATTTTTGCAATGCCTGGAAAAGGCTTCTAAGTTGGGACTACTACATATAATATTATAAGATCATTGATGTACACTTGGTTGGCAAATAAAGATTTGATTTGATTTTTTTGTAGTAAAATTACTAAGACTAACAGATTACTGATTCAATTTTCGGTTACAATACGATATAATCACATTACAGTCAACGTTGGATGTTTAATACTTTACTACGAAAATACCTTTTAAATACATACAGCATAAGCTACTGTTTATTGCGATAACCGATGGACGGGACCGAGGGCGAAAGCTAGTACTTTATAAAACTTAAATTAGAATTCTCTCATTACTCTTTATGTAAGAGCCAATACATATTTATAGAAAACTAGCTGACCCGCGCAACTTCGTCTGCGTGTCTCAATTGTAATAAATTTTCTCCGTTTTTGAAACATTCTTCATTGGTGCTCCGCTCCTATTGGTCTTAGCGTGATGATATATAGCCTATAGCCTTCCTCGATAAATGGGCTATCTAACACTGAAAGAATTTTTCAAATCGGACCAGTAGTTCCTGAGATTAGCGCGTTCAAACAAACAAACAAACAAACTCTTCAGCTTTATAATATTAGTATAGATAAAACATCATAAGCCTACACTATGTTAAATACTTTTTGCCTAAGAATTGAACCTTTTTCTCAAAAGCTGGTAGTGTGATAAGTGTGTCCTCCTTGTAAAATGGATTAAGCATTAATTTAATGTACGCCTCGTATACGTCCGTGAAGAAATTCTTAATGCCATCTTCATTACGGGCATCATGGACCATTATAAAGCGCATCTGAAAATATACACTAAAATATATTGTACAGGTTTATTTTTTTATGGTGTAGGGACTAACGAGGAGCCGGGTCGTCTGATGGTAAGTAATGCCGCCGCTAATGGACACTTGCCATTCAAGAGTCACAAGTGTGTTATCAACTTTTCAGTCATTACCCTCAGAATGAGGAGGAGGGGGAAATTGCAATAACCACTCTCGAAAGAACTGCTTAACACTGGTATTCTGTAAGGCTGTGGTATCACTCCAGTCGGAGTCTGGATGTCTTAATAACAGCAGTTCCCGGATCCCTCTTATTACAGGTGCAGAGTGGCAGCACCCCGCTGCAAACCCTGGCGGGGTGACGGCCCGAGAGGTATTCCACACATAAAAAAGAAAATTAAAAAATCCAGTTGAGCTTGGTCCATATGTGCAGAAACATGGCTCTCCAATGACAGGGTTACACATATAGCTTCAATGCAATATTTCAGATACATACATGAAGCACCTCTAAACAATTATGTAGTCACAAATATTTTTTAATTTATAATTCAGCATCATTTTCCTGCCTTTTCCATTTTCCAATATCATTTGGTGGTACATAGTATAAAGTTTTGGCTGGCTGCTGCCTGATCAACCCTGAATATATCCACATTTTATTTGCGATGTGATTGAAGACCGCAACAAGACAATAATGAAATTATATAGTACACCTATTCAGACATTTCCCCACCACCCAAAGGTAGACTGGGAGAAAATGCCTGTGGCATTAAGTCTGCCATTGTAACATGAATTGTTGTTTGTGCAAAAAGAATTAAATAAATTATAAAATTATGCATCTCTTTATTCAAAATTTAAATTTTTAAATAAATAAATCAAAAGAATTATTGTCTTTGTTCAAAAATGTAGAATGTCTTGTAGATGTAGAATAGGAATATTCGTGAATGGATAGAGAATAGAATATGCATTCTCTAAGAGAAAGAAACTTTATTACTTCCATCTGTGCTAAAATATTACCAAAAAGCAAAACATTATTGTTCTCACCTGACTAGCGGTGACAAATGCTGACACAAACCACTGGTTGAACTTATCAACTGACTTCAGGTAAGTGTTAGTAACTTTCCACATATGTTCATCAACAAGATCTAGAGCTGCATGGGCTATGAACTGATTCAAATGCCTGTTATCCTCTTTCTGAAAAAAAGTTAAGGTGAAAAACTTGTTACTTGGTACTAACTTGACGACTACATAGAATATGTAGTCTTCTATTACACACCAGAATAGAATATGTCCCACTTTTCGTGTACCTTTGGTTCTTTGGTGACTGGAATGAAATCCATTTCAAATATTGGGTTGTCTGAATGTCCTACAATCACGAAATAGTATGTTCCTGCCGCCATTCTAAATCTTTTATGATATCCCTAAATATTATTTCGTAGCACATAGAATTATTTTCAATTAGTAGTAATATAATACATATTTTGAAAAATGTAAGCAATTTTTGACAAACACCTACTGAGATAGCAGTGACAGCTGTCATAACTGTCATTTACTATGCACACACGACGCACAGTAAACTAAACGCAAAGAATAACATTATTTGTTAAAGCACTCTTCGATGACCTCGACACATTGTAAAGTAATCACCATAATAGATATAAAGTATACCCTTGAGCAGTCCCTGAGTAGCACAATAGATGGACAAAGTAAGAAAAAAATGTTTTTGTTTAATTTTAAAAACTCAGACACAAAAGAAATTGGAATTTTAAATTCATATTAGACTATTAACGCGGAGGGATGAGGAAAATGTGGCGAAGAAAGTTTTAGGTATGAGTGTTGAAGGGTACAAGAGAAGAGGCAGACCGAAGAAGAGGTGGATGGACTGCGTCAGTGAGGATATGGCTAGGAAGGGAGTAAACAGTGAGATGACGCATGACAGAGTAGAATGGAAAAATCATACATACTGCGCCGACCCCATATAACATTGGGAAAAGGGTAGGCAGATGATGATTAGACTATTAACATGGTACCCCAGTGAAGTGATGACATGGTCCTTACGAACAAAAAAAATAAAATAACTCATTACATCTCAAAAAAATACACTATGTACGAAAGAAAAGGCGGGAAACCTGCATATTGTGTAAATGTTTACAAGTATTTTCAAATCTAAGCCATATAAAATAAAACTATTCTTTGGTGTATTGCATAAGTAGAGGTTTCTACAGATATAAAAAATGAACAGTACCCAAGTTAATCAAAGTACGTGATAAAGGTGTAATTAGTAATATTATTGATGAGTATAAAAGGACTTTCATAGCAGTGTTTTGTATTCAAAATTTAAAATTTTCCGTCTAGCATGTTTGATATTGTGGTGTGATTTCCCTCTAGCATGTTTGAAATTGGGGTGTGAATAATCTTTATTGTAGATATAGCAAGAAGTGGAGGATTTTAATGCACTTCCGTTGGTTGTACATATTCTCTACATTCTAAAATTGACACATTTTTCCTGAAAATTATGCGATTTTCTCATTGACTTAACTATAAAAAAAAATTGAAGGTGTTAAGGTGGAAGCCACGCTATTTGATTTGAACGCGCGTATTTTTAGATTATTCATATTACATATTAATTGCGGCTACTGGAAAGCTTGTTAGTGTTTTTTTTAAATGTATGATTCCGGAATTCTGACGTATCGTACTTATACTTTTCAATTCATTCTAAAATCATGCTATTTATTCCGACCTCCTATTTACATTTAAGCCTCTTTTATACATACAATAGATGCCAGTGAATTAAGGATATTCCTTTTTCTTAAATTTTCAGATTCTTGGAATATTCCTATTGATAAACTAATGGTATGGCGCAACGGTTGGTCTAAATACGATCGTAAGATCTCTAACTTGTATCTCCGAATAGTTTATGACCAACTTTTAATAACAGCAGATACAAAAATATTGGAATCTTTCAACATGCATCAAAAATTAAAAGGAATTTACAAGGAAGACATTTTGATATTGATTGCCAGTGGCAATAACTATGGAGTAAGTTGTAAAACCACTACGCATTCATGACTTTCAAAAGTTAATTCTCACGTGCCGCCGAGTCGTTTTTATTGTTGATTTTTAAATATGAAGATGAAACCCCTTTTTAATCTTCTTATGAACTGGCATTCTGAATGCCATTAATTAGATCTACAATATTTCTTCTAGTATGTATTTATTTAAACGTTACGTGACTTCTAACGTGATGGTAATGACGGAGCAACAAGTAAAACTACAACGTACACTGACCTCCTGATGGGTGACCCGTCTTCACGTTTGCCCCCTAGTCCATAGAAAAAGTAATAAGCAGTGAACTTTGATGATTATTGTACCAGAACATTTTGCTCCTCACAGTTTGTGACGTTTGGACTGACTAATGAAGACTAAATGCGTTTAAAATTTTCAGATAAGAAAAATAAAGTTTCAATTAAAATCAAATGTAATGCAATGTTTAGAGGCTCTGAGCTGTCACTTTCCTGTAGTGAATCATAATGTTTTACAATCAAATAAAGTAATTAACGCTAAATACCGAAATATTGATGAAATTTTACGCCTTGCAATTGAACAAAAAGGTACTTTTATTTACATTACAAAACTATAGTACTTCCTTCTATACTATACTTCCGAGAGGCTTTTGATAGTTGTACTTATAAGTTTCAACATTCAGAAAAGATCGTACGGGACCGTACAAGACTTGTGACTCATTAGTTGGAGATGTCCATCGGCTGCAGTAGTAGCATTTCTTTAGTGGCGTATATCTGAGCTATATCATATAACTAAATAAATATCTTAAAATGGAATTCCACGGTCATGTTTAAAGGCGTTCCATAAGTGTTATATTGAAATGTAATTACATTCAAGGTATTCATTGCAGAGGACACATCGCATCAGCTAAAGCAATCGCAGCTGCCCAAGGAGTTTAAAAATTTTGTGAACCTTTGCCTTCTGGATCCAGCCTTTCCTGTATTTGTTTCTGAAACTGAAAAAATTCTTAATGAGATAACTATCCAAAAATAAAGCGTTCATTGAAATTACATGTTTTCTACATAATTTTTGAATGTATTTGCATTATTTTTTTAACAAAGTAAAGAAAAAAATAGGTATCGAACCGTCGAAGGTTTCATTCGTTATTGTTATTTTAAATTATCTGTAGCTTACTTTATCTACGTTGTCGGTTGTTGTGACAGGAGTTTGAATTTAAAACTAACTATTAATAACGTAAAAAACATTTAATTTAGTACACAAATAAAATCTTTGAAAAGGAAAGCTTTTGTGTACAAATTTACAAAATGCTTCCGTCAAGGTTCGCACCCCCAGGGCAACAAAGTGCTATGAGGAAATCAAGGTATGACGTTTTTTAACAATATTGTAGCTCTACATACAAGATAAAGCCCATAATAATTTTTACCTTTATTACTGTGTATATTGTAAACATACACGGTAGTGAGATTATTCTAATATCAAACTGCACAAGCAAACTACTGTTTTTCCTGCCTATATGTCACATATATTCCATTCGATCATGATCGTAGGTTGGAAACTCAAAGACCCTCAATGTTACCGAAGCCGCGTCGCCCTGGATCAACCGACCGTTTGTCGAGTGAGGCTCGAAGGCCTAGCGCCTCTGGCCATAGATCCAGTAGCGCTGAGCCGGCCCGCGGTACATTTGGAGTTGGGAGGTTGAGTAGAGAAGCTTCTGCAACTAAAGTCCCAATGAACGGCGTACGTAGTTTTTGTCATAATTAAGCTAATTATTATACCTTGGAGTTAAAACTTTCTTTAGTAAAATTTATGAATGATATAAAATGTTGTTCGAAAATGTTTTTTAATTAAACCCAACTAGTGTTTTAGAGCCTATTAAAATTTATATTTTTTAATAATATTCATGTAAAATATCTTCTATTAACTTTGTTAATGTTATTTTGAAATTAAGAACTACCTAATGATAATAATTAAAAACATTGAAGATAGCTGTACATCAATATATTATGAAAACAATAATATTACTATTACTCACCTATTTAATGTTACATTAGCTTTAGTAGTCATAGTTTCTTTGCATGCATTTGTTTTGAAACAAGCAGTCTTAAAATATTAAAATTATTTGTTCCAAGTATTACAATATTAGGATTATATTTTCATAGAGATCAAGATCCCAACAGAGCGAGAAGTTTGGACAGTCGTCTATGACACCTCTTCGGTCCAGCCACTTCTCTAGACCCACCACAACACCTGTGGTAAGTTATTTATATTTTCGTGTTAAAAAAGGATGTAAAAAAAATTTTTTTGTAACTGCTCAGCATTGTGGAATACAAAAAATCCTGACTTTTTCATGCTATCATAGCACTGTTTGAATTGTTGTGTTAGCCATTTTATAAATATGTTTAAGATGTGCCAGTTCTGATTTTACAGTGTAAGCTATGAACACCATGCTGTTCTAGTGTAGTATAATGACTTAAATATAGTTTAGGGTAATCTGCTATTTAATAATTAATAATATTTATAAATGACTGCCTCGGTGGTACAGTGTAGTGTATGCAATTCCTGTGCTGAGGTCTCAGGATCAATTCCTGGGTCAAATCAAATGTTTGTATGATCTGCAAATATTTCTTTCAGAGTTAGGATATTTTCTATGTATAATATACATAAATTTACAGAAAAAAAGCATATAAATATTCTATCAATCAATCTAACTTTAATTGTACAAGCTCTGCTAGGTACAAAGTAGATGGCATTGTGCGTCAGAAGACTGAAAGTATATATTTCTTATTAATATTATTTATTTTCTTCTTTCAGAGATCTCCATCAGTTGATCGTGGTATTCGCAGTTGGGCGACATCTCTGGAGAGAGTATTAGCCTTTGTTACTGTAAAGGATCAGAGGTACGGAAAACACTATATTTATTTCATTGACGTCCAGGCTTCATTTGCAATTAATGATAATTTTGTCAATCAATTTTACCGGGATAGAGTCAGCCCCTATAGATATGGACAGATCATTTTTATTTTACACGCTTTATATTAGCTTCACTTGTATGTTTGTTTGTATGTTTGTAACCGACTCCTTTGGGCGTGATTTTGACTGACTTTAAACGGTCAGAATTCGTTGAAACTTTGTAGATATATCGAGGACCAATGACAATACACAAATTAAAAAAAAAAAGTTTAAAAAAACTAAAAAACACGCTTTTATAGAAAACCAAACTGAAAAATAGAAAATAAATTTTAATAAATTTGAAAAAAAAAATGTGGGGTGTTTTTTACTATTGACAACCGGCACCAAACGCTTTTTTTCAAATTTATTTATTTGTGACTTGACTTGACGTCAATTAGTACATTGCACTGAGGATTGCTTAGTATTGTGCATAATGTGGCCCATAGACCTATCTCGTCAGTGGCTTGGCAGCGTGCAGAGTGTGCTCGTGTGGGCGAGGCCTTGGCGAGCCGCGGCGAGGGAGGAGGCATGGCCCTTATTCGTCCCCTCACTATCGCACGCTTCGTGGACATCACTGCAGCACTTCTCACTGCCATCACCAGGGATGCTAAGCTGAACACTGATAACTATGTCACCAAGGTAAGCCGTCTCAAATCAAAAAACTGCAACTGCATAGGACGCAGCTTCAATTCCCGCTCAAAGCATACAAAAAATGTGTCTAATTGCATAGATCTAGGTGTTATGAATTATTACACTGTGCAATTCTCGCTTATTAAAACTATCCTTATTTGTTTAATCATAAAAAAAAAGTAAGTTATGTATTTAAAAGGTACAATGAATATTAATATTTAATCTCTTTCTCAGCTGTGTCTCAATCAACAAAATATAATAATGTTTACCATTTTTGGCTAGCTACCTCACCTCTCCAAGCGCCTGTTATACCCTGGTACAGTCTCCAAGTCTTGGTTGAAGACAGTGAACACATTACATGCATTTCCACATGCACTCGCTCTCATCGCCTATCTGCTGGATTTAGTCACCCATATTGTGAGTATATTTTTTTCCACTGTATTTTGCATTTAATATACACTTCATGATAAATTAATCAGAAGTAAATATCAATGAGGTTTTTACCTCCTTCTTTTTTTAAGTAGATTATAAAGAAGAATAATTAATGGGTTGTCACCTCATGGCACCTTTAAATTCTGTAAAAATGGATTCATTACTTTTATGAAATAATGATGTAAGGCCTTAAATTTTTTTAATCTGAGTATTTCTTAGGAAATTGTTTTATTATTACTAATAAAAAAAATTGTAGGTTAATTAAAACACGATGAAGAGATTAACTATGGTATTAAATCTGCCATTGTCAATATGTGCATTATGTTTTAAAATAAATAAATAACAAGAACAAACATAATATTAAAATGTATTCCTGACTATTTTAGGAAATGCCCGTATCTGATGAATGGTTATATGTAGGCAAGGATGAGTTATCGCGCCTTCGCCGAGATTATTTATACAAGTGCTGGATTAGATTCCAAGATCCTGGCCATCAATTTGGAGACTTGAACGAGGAGTACCTACAAAACTTAACCGTGTTGCTGGGCAACGATGAGGAAAAGATTGTAGAACTCACACAGGTTATAAAGAGTGAGTATTCTTCTAGTCATATAATATTCTAGTTTCTCTTTAATTTAAATAGGCTTAGTAAATAGGCTTCTTTAAAATCGTTTCAAATTATAGAAAACCTTCATAAGTTAGCTATGTCAAGAGAAATCGAAATATAACTGACGTATTAAATAATCCATTTTTGACAGAAAGGTGAATCAGGTTTTTTAAATGATTGGTTTTGTAGTTCCTCTTTTTGGGAACAAGAGAAATTCTTAGTGTCATCATGTAAACAACTGGAGACAGTTAATGTAAAATTTCCGGTTGATATCGCGTCGAGGATAGTTGACTCTATTTGAAAACTTGGTTAATTATATACTTATCTATTTTATCTCAAAAAACCTATATTTTAAAGAAAAAGCAATATTTACATTACGTATTTTGTATAAAAAAAAAACAATTTAAATTTCCCTTTAAAACGCTGAATTTAAAGTGTCATGGTGTCTTGAATGACGTCACAGTCTGACGTCGAAATACAACTGTTAACATCTGTGACCAGTGTCAACTGTTTTCTAAAAATGAATATGAATAAGGAATAAGGAGTAACCTGCTCTGTTGTATGAAAACGTCAACAACAACAATGATGTTTTGCGTGGCGTGACGTAACGCTTTCTGATTGGTGTTCGCTGTCACGTGACTTAATGCCTATTTTGTACGTATTTATTTTTTAAAATATAAATAATCTTTAACTTTTATGAGAAATAGACCTTCTTTTTATCTTTATCTATGTCCCTTCATTTATAATTTGAAACTACTATTAGTGGACACTAGCCTATTTAAGCGGTTTAGGCTCTGCGTACGAATTAGTCGGTCAGTAAAGCTAAGTAATTTTATATATCAGATGATATATTAATATACTAAGTTGAGAGCGTGATGTGCCTTTACTTGTAGGGCTAGTCTAGAGTCGTAATGACGTTTATCTGCAGAATACGAGGCGCGGCTCAACGACGAGGAGGAGGTGGCGGCGCGCGAGGCAGAGGCGCGGCGCGGCTCGAGGCGGGACGCTCTCCTCGCCTCGCTGCGCGGCGTGCGAGCCGCTCGCCTCGACACGCGCGCCGACATCGACCTGCAGGCCTCGCGCCACAGGGACCTGGCCGACGCCAGCAAGCAGGCCGATGTGGAGGTGGAACGCGCCAGGTAACTCCTCCCCACTGCTCTACAATACCCTACACTTATTCAAGATTTCTTTACTAGTTGGCTATTGACGATTAATCACTCCAAAGAAGAGCGACTTGAATCGTCGATGGCCAAAAGATCTCTTGATCGGCTCGATCCCTTATCGTTGCGTAGAAATGTAGCCTCGCTCTGCATTCTCTATCGTATATGTCATATCATTCATCCACTTAGATAACTTTCACTTCACCAGTGTGAAGAAAAAAGCGTTCTCCTTCCTAAAACGCCGGCAACCCGCTTGTGAGTTGCAGGCGTTCATGGGCTGCGGTAGTCGCTTTCCATTAGGTAACCCGTCTGCTCGTTTACTCATTATTCCATAAAAAAAAAAATTATACAAGGGGTTTTGTAAGCTTTCACAAATCTCCATATTTTCGTACTAAAAATATTTTCTTTATTTCAACCTTACGTAGGTTGTAATAAAAAAGTATAGTAGGTTGAAATATTAAACCGTGTAATCTGTTATTTAAATTTTTGTGATAGGCTTTACGACAGACGGAGCTGACAAATCACCTGATGGTAGGTGACTACCACTACGCCGTCAGAAAATTTTGGAACCAGGAGGGGATTTAAACCCCCTCCTGGTTCCTCAGTAAAAAGCAACAAAGAAAGGAATTACTTAACAATTATTTGAGAGAGCTAGCCTATATATTGCAAAGCATGGCTTTCTCTCAACTTTATGTGTTATGTTCCAGTGTTGACATACAGCAGCTCAAAGTAGAATTAGAGTCACAACCGATGACTGTGGAACAACGCACTAAGCTGTTAGGCGAAATTGAATATGCAGTTCGTGTTCAGGAATCTAAAAGGAATCTTGCAGAGCAAATCTCTAAGGTGAGTTTTGTTCATTTATACTGTAGTTTTGTATGTTTTATTAATAACTTAACACATCTCACATACACTACTCTGATCCCAAACTAGGCAGAGCCTGTGCTATGGTAACCACACTGCTGATAAACATACTTATATAGTTCTAAATACATACATATTATAGATAAATTACACCCAAATACAGAACAAATGATCATGCTCATTTAATGATCACACAATATTTGTCCTGGCTGGGAATCGAACCTATTACCTCCGGTTTAGCACTCACAGGGACATTAACCATTAGACTAACAGGCCTGTCAATAACATGTGGCAAATTGAACTTGTAAACTAAATACATACATATTATAGATAAATTACACTCAGGCACAAAACAAATAATTGTGCTCATTATACAATTATTTTGAGTGAAAATCTAATTCATGATTTCTGACTTAGCAGTTAGGGTCAGAGTGATGAAGGTCTTGATCGATGAGTTACTATTTTCTTAAAAGTGGAATGAACGAATGGAATAGGCCAGTCTATCCTATAATTTTATTAGCTACTAGTAAGAATATACTAGCAACTTTTCATTCATTTATTAATTTTAATCTTCTTTCAGTCGTTAAGTGAGATTTAAATAATGAGAGATTTAGGTACTCCTTTTATTACTTTAAAATCTCTGTTACCATAGTGGCGAGTAATCGAGTAGGTATCACACATAAAACTTTTATTTTCTTTTAGTTTCTTCGTCTCTGTATTAACTTGCATTTCTTTTCATCGTAGATGGTGGTCAACAGAGAGACAGAGTTGGCGGAATGGCAGAAGAAGACTCTGGACAGCTGCGTCCAGTACAAGCAGGGACTCATACATCTGTCTGCACAGTTTCCGGACCTCGTTTCCTTGGCTATCGACGAGAAGTGAGCGAATTATTCAATAACAGAACGAGGTTCATATTCGACGGTGCCAGTATTAGTTTAATCGGTACGTGTGTGCGCAGGGAGCTGATGAGCGCGGAGTGCGCGGCGCGCGTGGGTGGCGCGCTCGACGCCCTGCGCGCGCGCACCGCCGCGCTCGCGCAGCTGCGCACCGACCACGCGCGCGTCAAGGCAACACTCGCCAGGAGGCGCGCCGCGCTACTGGTGAGTACACCTATAGTACTGAGCGCGGAGTGCGCGCTCGACGCCCTGCGCGCGCGCACCGCCGCGCTCGCGCAGCTGCGCACCGACCACGCGCGCGTCAAGGCAACACTCGCCAGGAGGCGCGCCGCGCTACTGGTGAGTACACCTATAGTACTGAGCGCGGAGTGCGCGCTCGACGCCCTGCGCGCGCGCACCGCCGCGCTCGCGCAGCTGCGCACCGACCACGCGCGCGTCAAGGCAACACTCGCCAGGAGGCGCGCCGCGCTACTGGTGAGCACACCTATAGTACTGAGCGCGGGGGAGTGCGCGCTCGACGCCCTGCGCGCGCGCACCGCCGCGCTCGCGCAGCTGCGCACCGACCACGCGCGCGTCAAGGCAACACTCGCCAGGAGGCGCGCCGCGCTACTGGGTGAGTACACCTATAGTACTGAGCGCGGAGTGCGCGCTCGACGCCCTGCGCGCGCGCACCGCCGCGCTCGCGCAGCTGCGCACCGAACCACGGCGCGCGTCAAGGCAACACTCGCCAGGAGGCGCGCCGCGCTACTGGTGAGTACACCTATAGTACTGAGCGCGGAGTGCGCGCTCGACGCCCTGCGCGCGCGCACCGCCGCGCTCGCGCAGCTGCGCACCGACCACGCGCGCGTCAAGGCAACACTCGCCAGGAGGCGCGCCGCGCTACTGGTGAGTACACCTATAGTACTGAGCGCGGAGTGCGCGCTCGACGCCCTGCGCGCGCGCGCCGCCGCGCTCGCGCAGCTGCGCACCGACCACGCGCGCGTCAAGGCAACACTCGCCAGGAGGCGCGCCGCGCTACTGGTGAGTACACCTATAGTACTGAGCGCGGAGTGCGCGCTCGACGCCCTGCGCGCGCGCACCGCCGCGCTCGCGCAGCTGCGCACCGACCACGCGCGCGTCAAGGCAACACTCGCCAGGAGGCGCGCCGCGCTACTGGTGAGTACACCTATAGTACTGAGCGCGGAGTGCGCGCTCGACGCCCTGCGCGCGCGCACCGCCGCGCTCGCGCAGCTGCGCACCGACCACGCGCGCGTCAAGGCAAACACTCGCCAGGAGGCGCGCCGCGCTACTGGTGAGTACACCTATAGTACTGAGCGCGGAGTGCGCGCTCGACGCCCTGCGCGCGCGCACCGCCGCGCTCGCGCAGCTGCGCACCGACCCACGCGCGCGTCAAGGCAACACTCGCCAGGAGGCGCGCCGCGCTACTGGTGAGTACACCTATAGTACTGAGCGCGGAGTGCGCGCTCGACGCCCTGCGCGCGCGCACCGCCGCGCTCGCGCAGCTGCGCACCGACCACGCGCGCGTCAAGGCAACACTCGCCAGGAGGCGCGCCGCGCTACTGGTGAGTACACCTATAGTACTGAGCGCGGAGTGCGCGCTCGACGCCCTGCGCGCGCGCACCGCCGCGCTCGCGCAGCTGCGCACCGACCACAGCGCGCGTCAAGGCAACACTCGCCAGGAGGCGCGCCGCGCTACTGGTGAGTACACCTATAGTACTGAGCGCGGAGTGCGCGCTCGACGCCCTGCGCGCGCGCACCGCCGCGCTCGCGCAGCTGCGCACCGACCACGCGCGCGTCAAGGCAACACTCGCCAGGAGGCGCGCCGCGCTACTGGTGAGTACACCTATAGTACTGAGCGCGGAGTGCGCAGCTCGACGCCCCTGCGCGCGCGCACCGCCGCGCCTCGCGCAGCTGCGCACCGACCACGCGCGCGTCAAGGCAACACTCGCCAGGAGGCGCGCCGCGCTACTGGTGAGTACACCCTATAGTACTGAGCGCGGAGTGCGCGCTCGACGCCCTGCGCGCGCGCACCGCCGCGCTCGCGCAGCTGCGCACCGACCACGGCGCGTCAAGGCAACACTCGCCAGGAGGCGCGCCGCGCTACTGGTGAGTACACCTATAGTACTGAGCGCGGAGTGCGCGCTCGACGCCCTGCGCGCGCGCACCGCCCCGCGCTCCGCGCAGCTGCGCACCGACCACGCGCGCGTCAAGGCAACACTCGCCAGGAGGCGCGCCGCGCTACTGGTGAGTACACCTATAGTACTGAGCGCGGAGTGCGCGCTCGACGCCCTGCGCGCGCGCACCGCCGCGCTCGCGCAGCTGCGCACCGACCACGCGCGCGTCAAGGCAACACATCGCCAGGAGGCGCGCCGCGCTACTGGTGAGTACACCTATAGTACTGAGCGCGGAGTGCGCGCTCGACGCCCTGCGCGCGCGCACCGCCGCGCTCGCGCAGCTGCGCACCGACCACGCGCGCGTCAAGGCAACACTCGCCAGGAGGCGCGCCCGCGCTACTGGTGAGTACACCTATAGTACTGAGCGCGGAGTGCGCGCTCGACGCCCTGCGCGCGCGCACCGCCGCGCTCGCGCAGCTGCGCACCGACCACGCGCGCGTCAAGGCAACACTCGCCAGGAGGCGCGCCGCGCTACTGGTGAGTACACCTATAGTACTGAGCGCGGAGTGCGCGCTCGACGCCCTGCGCGCGCGCACCGCCGCGCTCGCGCAGCTGCGCACCGACCACGCGCGCGTCAAGGCAACACTCGCCAGGAGGCGCGCCGCGCTACTGGTGAGTACACCTATAACAGCGGCGTGCACAGGATTATGACACTAGGTATGCAGAGTAGTCGGTCACCAAAACTTTTTCTTTTATAGATTTTTAGCATAGCCACAGCCACGCGATGGATCTCCATGTCGGAAACCATGCCAACAAAACGAGTCTTAGATGTACTACTATCCATGTACATCTTCAAAGGGAACGCAGACAAAACAGCGATAGATCGTCGCGGCGGTAGAAATTCTAATAAGTAAAATAATAAGCTAAAATATTATAACTACTCACCTGGTCATCTTCAATTTTCTGATTTTTACATATTCAAGGTTCCGGTTACACACATTTTCCACACGTACCTCACAATCAAATAACATTTTAAAAAATCAACGAAACTCAGTAATAAACTGTTAAATGTACACACTTTCAAATGTTAAAATGAAAAATAAAACTATAATTATACTGGCGCAAACAAAATAGTAAACAATATGGCCGCGAAACACACGAAACATATCTGCCTGTTTAAACGAACACTTCCGATTACTCCCGAACTAACTTCGGTAGCCTGCCGCTTGAACACACATGCGAACAAATGTCCTGCGCGAGGCGACGGCATGAGTTGCTTTGCGCTTGCTTTTCGGTAAACACCTGGCAAACAATGTTTGTGTGGTGCTATTTTTAAATAGTAGGCGTTTTTAAGTTATTATATTTTGTTTTTTCATTTATTTACTATTAATTAAAGTCATCTAAAACGTACGAACGTTTTATAAAAATGTCTGTGAATAGCAAGTAAAGCACTGCATTTCTGCCTACAGGGAGCGCACACCCCTGACCTATAGTACTGAGCCCAATATAGGAAACTTCCTCACTTCAATAAAATAATTAATAAAAAGTACAGAACCTAAATAATGTACACGATAGACATATGCAAAACCGTGTTAACCGAAACTTTTTTTAATTAAAATTAAAAAAAAAACTTATGCCATCGACAGGAGGAAGTGCGTACGAAAATCGCCGAATTGAAGAACGCGGTACAACGCGAGCAGGAGGCCCTGGACATGGAGACGAGCAAAGATTCACTGGACGCGGCCACCGCCACGGCCGAGATACGAGCCGTCACCGCCCGACTGCAGGAGCTCAAACTGCAACAGGACGAACATGCAAAGGTTGACAACGAACTCAAATTCTGGGAGCAGCAGGATCAACTGTTAGTTTCGCATCTTACTAACTAATATTAAAAATAAAAATATTTCTTTCCTTAACTGAACAACTAAACCCAACCTCTCTAATTCTAATTATTAAGCAGCCAATCAAAAGGCCAAAAAAAATAATTATTTACCGTTTTGTCTCTTACTATCCCCAAAAACGAGGACAACTTAATTTTAATTAACATGCAAAAGATATTAGGGTAGGCTTTGTAAGATCCACAAATTGTGGTTCTAAGTCATGAATGTTTGTAAAGTCCCCCGCGACACAGGAATATATTCATAGCACAGTAGTCTTTTAAAAAATGCTGTTCTATTATAGTTGGCGAACGAGGCTACAGTCCCTGCAGGAGCACATCGAAGAGAAACGGCTCGAGATGCAACGGCTGCTGGACACCGCAACACAGAAGCGAGTTCAACTTGTGGTCGACTCCATACGGGAGTGGAACCAAAAACTTGAACTTTAGGTATCTTTTATTGTTAAGACTTTATGATATTTTAATCTTTAATTATTGTTATACCCTTATGTAATATAATTTAAATGATATACATAAAATAATAACTTGTTTTATTGCAGTGAAAATATCTGTGTACATTACATTTTGTGCTCGAGAAAAACTAGTAGTGAGAAAATGTGTTAGTTTATCAACATCAGCCTCAGGAAATAACACTAATCCATCATGCTTAAATTCAAAACTTGTTAACGTCAATGAGAATGTGTGTGGTATGTATCTATCCATACTAATATTATAAATGAATGTCTGTCTGTTACCTCTTCACGCTTAAACCGGTTTAGATGAAATTTGGTATAGAAATAGTCAGAGTCCCGGGAAAGGACATAGGCTGGTTTTTATCTAGGATGGTAGTGTTTAGTATGGGGAATCAATAACCGCTGAACCGATGATGATTAGATCCAATTTGGTATTAGATATTAGATTTTTGAGGAAAGACATGCTACTTTTTACCGCGACAACTTTAGTGATACTAATACGTGGCATTAGTCCGCCGATGTAGGTATTAATTTGTGCATAAAGTTTAATCAATCATGAAATTTTACAACAAACAGAAGCAGTACATTGGTCAATGCCGATTACGGAATCAACTTTTAATGTTTGATAAAAGCAGACAAAATTGTACCTCAATTCTAATCTGTATCGTGACGTTATTCATTTCGTATCACATCACATCAACAGCCTTTAACAGTCCACTGCTGGCCATAAGCCTCTCATTAGAAAGGAGGTTTTGGCCTATTACGAGGGGTGATCAATAAGTAATGATAATCGAGTATTTCTAGAACGCACAAAAACCCAAATTATTTTTTTTCTGCTTGCTTATATATCCACTACTTCAGCTTCAAAAAAATGTATAAATAGGACACCATTACCGGGAGATACATTCATTTGAATACGAACTGTCGAAGAGAAAACATCAAAATGGAGAAAAATGAAATAAGAGCTGTCATCAAGTACCTCTGCCTGAAAAAAATGTCTACCAAAGACATACACAGCGACTTAGAGGAAACATCGGGGGAGTCTGCTCCTCCAAATTCCACAGTCGCACGCTGGGCAAATGAATTTAAGCTGGGCAGAACCTCCACTGAAGATGAACATCGCGAGGGACGCCCTTCCACATCCCTTACTGGAGAAAACGTCAAAAAAGTGGAAGATATCGTGTTGGCCGATCGAAGGGTGACCGTAAGGCATGTAGCTGAGGTCACAGGGATCTCCTATGGCAGCGTTCAAAAAATCATTGTCAACAAAATGCATATGGAAAAGGTCTCTGCGCGTTGGGTACCGAGAATGTTAACCGACGAGCAAAAAAAGAAACAAGTCGACATTTCGAGGGTGAATCTTCAAAAATTCCAGGCCGATAAAGAATTTTTTTTGTCGCGTTTTGTGACCATGGACGAGACCTGGATCCACCACTTTGATCCCGAAACCAAACAACAACCAATGACTTGGAAACGAGCTTACTCACCAACGCCGAAGAAATTCAAAGTGTCAAGTTCAGCGGGAAAGGTTATGGCGTCTGTTTTCTGGGATGCAGAAGGAATTATTATGGTGGAATATTTGGAAAAGGGGACCACTATAACAGGCTCTTACTACGCAGGCCAAATAAGAAGATTGCGAGAAGCTATTAAGTCAAAAAGACGCGGTAAACTGCGCGCTGGAGTGCTGTTTCACCAAGACAACGCCCCGGCTCACAAAGCCGCAGTTGCGATGGCTGCCATTGAAGAAACGGGGTTCAAACTGCTCGAACACCCTCCCTATTCGCCAGATCTAGCTTCCAGTGACTTCTACCTCTTTCCTCGGCTCAAAGAACACCTCCGGGGCAACAAATTTGAGGACAATAGTGAAGTGATGGCCGCAGTAGAGGCATTTTGGGAGGATCAAGACAAAGTATTTTTTTCTAAGGGAATCATGGGCTTAGAAAAAAGATACACTAAATGTATTAACTTGCAAGGAGACTATGTTGAAAAATAAAATACTTTTTTTTAATCTAATAGTTCTGTTTCATATTGATTATCATTACTTATTGATCACCCCTCGTATACCACGCTGGCCAGACGGGTTGGTTTATTTCTAATTAATAAAAAAATAGTAAAAGAAAATAGCTATTTATTCAGTTATCTTTCAGTAATGATGTCCATGTTAACACTATTTTCAACAGTTTCACAAAATTCTTTCAAGGAGTTTTGTGCCCAGATGTGGGTAGGTGTGATTTTCTTCTGTTTGAGTGTCTCGGTACGTTTGGGAGGCGGCACGGCGGGCTTGAACGCCATTTGCGATCCGTCGTATGCTTCAAATATTTGTAGAGGAGTCCTGAAATTAAGTTAATTATTTGATGAACGTAGTAAAAATGTCAACTACTTCAGGGCCATTTTTAATAAATGTTGTTGGTCCCAATATATGTTGATGGTCGCAATAAATGTTATTTTGAAAGAAAAATCATATTGAAATTTTAGCTGATGATGTTACTGGTAATGCATTTTAAGACATTTATAAAATATCAAATATTTAAGTCAGGAATGAGTATGAATCTCACATTTTTTACATCTATAAAAACAGTAAATTCAAATTTTAATTTTTTCTTATCCAGTTGCATGTTTAAACAGTCAAAGACAATAGCATATAGATTTATGATGATGATTGTATGTAAAACTTAAAAGTTCTATACTGTACGAGGTCTTTATGTACTATAGTTGACGAGATCTTTGTTTCTTTGTACTGATCACTTAGATAGAATAAATATTATTTTGGCACTTGTTGTATTGAGGAAGGTTCTATGATAGGCAGGTATCATCGAGCTGGGACTCTTAGGAGAGGAGCATAGTGAGTGTAGATGCAGATGAAACAGTTATTTCGAATATAAACCAGGAGTGGTGTATGGGAGGGAAGCAATCTCACATGTTGTTGTGGTCGGTCGGGGCGCCCCGCAGCAGTAGGGCGGCGGCGCGGCTGAGGGCGGGGTGGTGGTGGCGGCGCAGCGCGTGCAGCTCGTGCAGGCGCGCGCTGTGCGCGTTGCAGTGCTCGGGGGACGACAGGCTCGGGTCGAAGCGCCCCGACCCCAGCTCGCCGTCCAGCTCCAGCAGAGATGCGACGGCCTTACTTTGCTGACGATTAACATACTTTATTTAATATGCATATTTCACCTTAAAGTTGTAAAGTCCTCATTTCTTTGTTTTATAAATCCAGATCGATTGTCAAAGAAAGAAAACCAATTGGTTTTTGTTAATCTCAACAAAAAAGTGTTAGACTAATGTTTAAACATATAATTGGTCAGAAAAAAACTGATTTTATGTTTGATTTTAGATAACAAATAACCACTCCATATGACCCTTCAAAAGAATTTTCTTTGAATCTTCTGTATAGTAATATCAATTAGCCTCTTTCAGAAATACAACAAAAACTGACACAGTTATGTGATTAAAAAAAACTAACATTGAAAGAGTTATGTACTCGTGATGGTAGATCGGTAGTGCGGGGACTAACCTGCGTGAGCGCGTGCAGCAGAGAGAGGCAGGCGAGGGCGGCGTTGTGCTGCAGCTGCGTGGCGAGCGTGGCGAGGCGCTTGGCGAAGGCCTGCAGCACCCCCGCGGACACGCGCCGGGCGCGACCGCACACCAGGCTCACCGCCTCTATGACTATGGGCGCGTGCTCGTGACTACAACCTGCAATATATATTGTTATGTTAACGCGACAATATTTATAAGATAAAAAACTTTTCATCGCATCATCAACAGCCTTTATTATCCACCGATGGACATAGACCTCTCCTTAGAAAGGAGGTTTTGGCCTACTATACCACGCTGGCCAGACGGGTTGATATAGGGTTTGTTACAAGTTTTCCTTCTCTCTGCAGTGCTGTTGTCCTGCGTAGTTTGCTCCCTTAGTCGGCTCTTACGACACCCACGGGATGAATAGTGGGTGGTGCCCACTATATTCTTAATCCGTCACCACACGGACCAAACTTTTAAGGATACTCAACGTTTAGACCGAATTATACCGAAATTCGTCCCATCACTATTTATAATATTTCTACATGTAACCGACATTGTTAAGAACGCAAAATGTAAATAACGCTGTTTTATGTAGAAATTTAGTTTTCCAAAGAGAATTTAGATGAATTTTTTACGTTAGATGTGTGGAATCTGTTGAAATCAAACAGACCTAAACCATACTATGGTTCTGATTAAGGCTCCAATGTTCAGAACGAAGGTAACAACGAAGGTTTAACATTCAAAGGAAAAGTTTTTAAATTATTGCTAATTGTTTGGAAATGGCAATAACAACGTAATATAAATTTATCGCACTGTCGCATTAAGCATATATCCTGTGTCGCAGGGGAATTTACAAATATACATGAAACGGACACAAAGAACTCCCAGACTCAAACTTTGTTGATCACACAAAGTGTCGTCCCATGTGGGGATCGGACCCACCACACTCAGCCTAGTAGGAAGCGGCGTGGCTACCGCTTAAACCACTACGCCATCCGAGCATTAAAAAAAAAGATATATCTATTGTGATAGATAAAAATTTAAATTGAAGTGGTTTATCTTATGTTCATGTTAGTAGTCACTTTCCATCAGATGATTCCTCTGCTCGCCTGCCCCCTAATGTATTTGCAGGGCGTATAATAATCGATCGAGTAGAGAACCTCCTTTTTAGTAGGTTAAAACATACCAGCATGAACTCCGAGCATGGCATAGTAAAGGTAGGCGTGGAACTTGGCGGGGTCCACGTTGAGCGCGTCCCCGGAGCCGGCGAGGATGGCCAGCACCGTCCGCACGCACAGCAGGCGCTCGCGCGGCCCCACCAGCTCGTCCGACAGCAGCTGGCCCAGGATCGACACCAGGTCCGAGTAATACTCCAGGTTTATCACGTGGGTGAATCTGTGGAAACAGTCAATGTACAACCCTTTACTTTAAGTATAGCTTCCATTGTTGTCCTACATGATCAATTCTATGTTTTAGCACGAAATTTCATGACAGAGAGGGGGGGGGGGGGAGAGAGAGAGAGGTATATTATTATATACGTAACCGTATTTATTGATTTGATATCTACAAATCAAATTATTTATGATTTGACAATAGTTAAGTATGACGGTATTTTATGTTGCTACATTGTCTTGATTACTAAAAGTATTGCCAGAAGCAAAAATACATGTTACTAACTTGGCAAGTCCGTTTAGCGCTGCGGCCAGCAGCTGCGAGCGAGGAGCTGTCTTCAGCAGCCGGAAGTAGATGTGGAACACCGTCTTCGTCACCTCCGTCAGCTGCTTACGCCGCGACATCTCACTCTCCTGCGCTTGCGTCTCTAGCAACTCTCGCTCTACTTCTTTCAGCTTTTTGGAGCGCTAAAACATTTGAAATGAAACTTTTAAATGAATACATATTGGAATGGAGCTTTGAGCGTTCTGTGTGTGTACTGATCATTGTCAGACCGTGTTTCTCGTAACAAAAATTCTTTCGAAATTCGGTTCGGATCTGCCCTTTTTTTTTTTTTCCGTGCGGAAATCCCCTCGGATACCACCTGTCGGTGGCATGTCGGACTCGAACCGACTAAAACCGCACGCTGTCTCGGGTACTAATAGCCGGGGAACCAGGTATACCCTAGAAAGGAAGTCCCTGGTACCCCGACATACCTCGGGTCATCTACAGACGAGTAGACGACCCCCCCCCCCCCCCTCCGTGTGGGAACCCCATGTTCCCTGTGCTCGCTCGCCGCCACTCCGGCCTGCTTCTGCTAGGGTGACAGATGGCCTCACCTGTCACCCCCAGGCCTGCGCTTATGGAGGACGGAGGTCGTTCTGCGAGTTCGGATCTGCCCTCGGTCTCACAAATGACATAAAAGGTGTTCTCATAGTAAGTAAAGTATTAAATATCCAACGTTGACTGTAATGTGGTTATATCGTATTGTGACCTAAAGTTGAATCGGTATTCTGCTAGTCTTATTAATCCATTACTACGAGAATAGCTATTTTTTTTAAACATCTCCCGCATTAGGTATATATCCTGTGTCGTGGGGGACTTTACAAACATACATGAAGTAGTAGTGAGCGGGTGGCGACCGCTTAACCCACTACGCCATCCGTGCAGTCAGTGTGTGACATTTGTGACAGTTGGGATATTTGTGGGATAGATCGGAACTAAAATTTATTACGAGAATTCACCTTCTGATATGTTATAGGGGCAGGCTTGGTGATTAGTGAGTACCGCCTTCCATGGACTACAACTTAAGAGTCACAAGTGTGCTGCCAGGCCTCCAAATATATGAAACACAGGCACTCAACCCTCCCTTTCATATATTTGAAGGCCTGTTTTTTGTGAAGCTGTGATATCGCTCCGGTTGAGCTATTCCATGCTCTCCCACGGTTATAATCAAAAGTACAAATTTAATACTGAACCTTTTTCTCTTTCTTAGACAAGTTAACGATTCTCTTTTTATGTTTCTCGTCTATACGCTTTTTGTTCTTGATTTCGGCCTCAGCATCCATATCGATGTCCCGTATCTTTAGGGTGAGCAGACAGTCCAGGGCGGAAGGAGACAACCGCTCACCGCGACGTTTCACCAGCTGGTTGATTAGCCGGACTATCTGGAATTATATAATCGCATATGAATGTGTTACATCCGATATCTAACGGCCAACTCTAGTACCGTTCGCGCTCATTGGTCAATTCAAACAGCGAGTGATTCCCCGGCTTCTTGTTACACACTTCCGTCCCTTTTTTACCCTATCATAAATAAATAAATAAATAAAAAATGTTTATTACCATATAAGAAATACAACGTGACAACAGTGTCCTGTGGCCCCACACTAGGCAAGCCTGTCCTGTGGGTACCCAATTCAGTTTACACATTTAATTTTACATTGTTAGCTCGGACAACATTTTATCAGAGGTTCAACATTTAGATTAAGCTTACATTAAAACAATTTTATTAACTACATGCTAAGTTAATTATTGTTTGGTAAATACAAATAGATATTTATACAAAGCAAACGTGCGTTATGAGTAAGTATATAAGGTTCTATGTATGTTCATTTTAAGATTTGATGATGTGGATTAATTTATATATACATACATATACACACAGACACACACACATACATACATACACATACACATACATATACACATACATACACACATATATATATATATACATATACATATATACATATGCATACATACACATACACACACATACACATGTATACATAATCAATGATTAATTTCAACATATAAAGTAAATAAGATAGGTGTATATAAGTGTGTGCATAATATATGTATTACAATAAGGGTAACAAAATACTCTCTGTTGAGTCGTAGGATAGAGAGGTGAGCCACTTAAGTATTTTGATTTTTGCCTCTCTTACAGAACATTGTTTGATATCACACGAACTAGCTGCCTTGTTGTATATATAGTTATCCTTAAACGGGGTAAATCGTCTAGCAAAGCTGGTTTTGATTTTGGGCACTGGTAATCTATATACACGAAGTGAAAGTAAGTCTGTGTATTCCTGCGAGGCAATTATTCTTCTGTGAACAGCAAGGACTGTTTTTAAAATGAATAGTTTGCGTACACTCAACACTTGACTTTCCTCGTACAGCTTTGTTGTTGGGTACCGAAATGGCTTCTTGTGCATCACTTTAAGTACCGAACGTTGCGCTCTTTCTGCTTGAATAAGCACTGTTTTTTGTGCACTACCCCAGGAGCCAATGCAGTATGTTATCAAGGACTGGCACAGAGCATAATATACTGTCTTTAAAATGTCTATCGTCGCGGATGACTGTAGTAACTTAAAAATGTTTGCAGTCTTGCGGATTCGAGATGAAAGCACGCTAATATGCTCCTTAAAATTTAAATTTTGGTCAATCATCACACCAAGATATTTAATAGTATCTGTTTTGGTCAGTTCAATACATTTACACAATTGATTTAACTCTGAACAGTCGTGCAGTTTTATGTTAAGGTTTTGGTTAGGAGCAGAGGCTTTAGTTTTATGAAAACATAAGTACTTGGTCTTCTTTGTATTCAAGGTAAGTAAATTTTGTTGCAACCACATAGTCACCCTTCGCATTCCGTTCTCTGCCTTCGAGGACACACCCTGCCAAGAAGAATCATGATATAAAATTACAGTATCGTCCGCATAGCAAATTACCTCCGCGTCGACACTGTCATGTATATCGTTTATATACATGATGAATAATGTGGGGCCCAAAATGCTGCCCTGAGGTACACCGAAATTGGATGGTCGCAAGTCACTTCTATCACCGCCAACCTTAACACACTGTTGCCTATTTGTAAGATAACTCTTAAACCAGTTTAATGCTATGCCTCTAATTCCAAAATTGTTTTCCAACTTTCTCACTAATATCGGGATCGACACGGTGTCGAAGGCTTTCGCTAGATCGAGAAAGACACCTAGAGTTGCCTTGTTTTTATCAAGATGGTCTGATACTATAGACGTCAAAAGAATAACAGCTTCTTCGGTCGACTTGCCCCTTCTAAATCCAAATTGTCGCTTAGAGATCATATTATAGGATTCAATGTACTTTACAAGTCTTTTGTTTACGGCTTTCTCCAAGAGCTTCGAAAAAACCGGGAGAAGAGAGATTGGCCGATAGTTTTCCACATGTTCCTTCTTTCCTCCCTTGTGGATGGGCGATATAGATGCTATTTTCCAGGTATCCGGAAAGATCCCCTGCTCTAGACTCGAATTAAATATTGAGGTGAGAGGTTGTAAAATGGCGTCTTTAATATCTTTTAAAAAGACATTTGTAAGCCCATCAATACCCGGTGCCTTATCATTTTGTAGAGAGAGTATTAGTGATTCTACTTCGCATTCATCAATTGGCTGCAAGAAGAAAGAATTAAGAATTCGCATACTCTTAATTTTTTCAGCCAATCCATCCTGACTAATGTGCAGTTTGTTTAAAATATTGTCGGCCAGTTTCTCCCCATTAGTAGAGAAGTAGGTGTTACAGGTGTTTAGAGAGTCTTTGGCGCTTATACTACCCCTAAGTTCAAGAAGTTCTGTAGGTTCCTTTTTGTTTTTTTCTAGATGGCATACAGTTTTTATGGTCTTCCACAGTTTTTTGGGGTTTTTTACGTTATTTGAAAGCTCCCTACTTTCGTATTCTGCTTTCAATTTGCGAAGAAGCTGGTTACAGAAGTTCCGGTAACGTGTGTAAATGGTCTTTAGTGCGGTATCTTGTGGAAATTGTCTTGTTTTAGCATGTAGTTTGTCTCGATGTTGTGTGCATCGAATTATTCCTGGTGTGATCCAGGGCTTAATATTATGTTTCGAATGACTTACGCAAACTTTTTTCGTATATTTGTTCATTATCTCGGTGAGTCGATCACAGAAGATTTCCACTTTTTGGTTTGTGTCTTTGGTGTCAAGCAGCAGCATCCAGTCTACTTCCATTAGTTGTTTCCTTATAGCTTCAATGTCTCGCTTTACGATTGTTCTGGAATAGGTCTTGCTCTTTAACTTGTTACAAGCTAAACATAGTATTGCCATGTCATGGTCAGTTATGTCAGAAGAACATATTAGACCTACAGCATTAGAGACGCTGTTTAATAAAATATGGTCGAGACAAGCATCACCCCTTGTTGGTTTAGTTATAGCGGGAAAAAGCCCATGTTCAGCAGTAAGACATTGATATTGTAGGTCACTGCTACTTGTCACCGAGAGTAGGTTTATGTTTATGTCACCTGCTATAATAAGAGTACTTTTTTTATTTGAGTATTTTGACAGTATAAGATCCAGTGAGCACAAAAAATCATTCGTACGAGTAAATGACGGGGGTCGATAAACCCCAAAAATAGTGATCATGTTGGATAATGTTATTTGCAGGCAATTTGCATCATCAATATCCGGCTCTGTTACGCAGCCATTTAAAGTGTTTATCACGTAAACAACGACACCGCTGTTCTGGTTTATTGTTTTCTGCGTTCTATAAGGTGTATAGAGCGAGAGCTGTGGTATGATAGTACACTCGTCGAGCCAGCACTCAGTTAAAATAATTACATCAAAGTTACATTCAAATCTTTTTAAAGTTATTTCAAAGTTATCAAAATTTTTCTGCAAACTTCGTATATTAAAGGTTAAAATTTTAAAGTTGTGGTATGAAGTTATTGCAGCTTGCATTTGTTCAGGAGCTGATATTGTGTGGCAATTTATGCTCAATGAGTCTAACTCCTTAGTTATATTTTTGTTCATCATAGGTAAGTAATATAAGGATGTATACAAAACATTGTGGTTCTATCCATTTTGCGTACATAACTGCCAGATAATACATTTTTCATATAACAGACGTATAGTAACCTTGTCATCAAATTGAACGAATTTGTGTTAGTATAGTCAGGTACATAGCCAATCCTGCATGTGTAATAATTGTTGAAATATAGTTTCGATTCAGTTGAAATAATATACAGTATAATATCTAGTCTCAGGTTTAGAGTAAAATTAACCATATTTATAAAATACAAGGTAAAAAAAATATAAGTTATAGAATTAATATTAAAATGTGGTATAAGCACAGTTGAGGACTCTGCTAAGTTTATTTCAGTTTTAGGGAGTACAAAATATGCGAGTAAGGTCATTAAATGTACGCACGTGCAGTGCTGCTTTCCCTTCTTTCTGTTTGAGAAATATTTTACCATGTGTGACCCAGCAGTAGGCGTATTGATGTTCCTTTGCTTTTGAGCGCGCAGTTCGAAAAAGCAATCTATTTTCTTTCGTCAGGCGTTCATTGTAGTAGATTTTATATGATTTGCCTGGTACATCCAGATCGCTGCTCGTGACATTGCGTCTTGTTTTCGAGGCCTTTATTAGTTGATCTCGCTTACTGCGACGTAGAAAACGCACTACAATAGGTCTAGTACTATTTACATCGCTATTGGGATTAACAGCACGCTTAATGTGAGGTCCAGCTCTTGTCACCCAGTCAATGTCGTCATCAGCCAGGTCGACACCTACCTTTTTCGCAGCTAGTAGTGCAATGTGGTGCAGGTTTTCGTTGTTTGATTCGGGGATACCCGCCAGCTCTAATTCGTTGCACAGTTGTTGTTGCGATTGGGTATTTACTTCTTGTTGCAGTTCCAATACCTTGTTTTCAAGTATCTTAACCTCCTTGTCTCGATTTTCCAGACTCTTTATTCTAAAGTCATTGGTGGCTATTGAAGTCGTTAATTCCTCTAGTCTTGCCTGACAGCATGACATAGATGACGTGGCACTTTCTAGGCGCTCCTTTAGTGAAGTTATTTCTCGCGTAAGAAGACGAACTTCTTCTGTGAGCTCCTTAACCTCGGCATGTAGATTGTCCTCGGGCGATTCATCATGCTTTTTCCTCAATGTAATGTTCTCATCAGCCGGCCGAACAGGAGTCAGGCTGTTATCACCACCTTTTTTTTTCATGGCACAGCAGTCGGGGCATCTCCAGTTTTTTTTCTTCTCATTTGACATTGTACCTATGTTTATACACATTGAGCAGAATTGTTTGTCGCAGGCAGCGCCGCCACATTTTATGCTATTTATATCTTTAGATGCTTTCAAACAACCTGAGCATTTCATTTTGTTGTTTTCAAGTGGGTCTATTCTGTACTCCTACTACACTATCTATCTATTAAAAAATACAACGGACACTAACAAAGTCCCAGCTTTAATAGTTTATATTAATTTATTGTAAGGAGCACCGTAACAAAGGCCCACAGCACTCACAGACAATCCTCGCGTCCGAAAGGTCTTAAGTCCGCGGTAAACGGCGTCGCTTACGCGTTCTCGCCGAGAGGACCGATTTGATTGTTCCGTAGGGTATGTTAATATAAGTTTCAAAGCTCGCCAAATAGTTTAGCCTATTTCTAGTCTAAATCACTTGTTTTATGCACTAATTCAGTCACTCAAATGTAAGTAGACAATTTTACTTATGGTTTTACACTTGCACTGCACTTCAATTTGACTTAAAACCACTCTAAAACTTTTTTTTTTTCGTGGAGCGTTTTAAATGCAGCTTATCGAACCGAGCCGAATTTGACCAATCATAAAACGACTGATTTACACTTTGACGACCGGAAGGCGTAACGGACTGCTATTCTAAAGGTCACGGCTTCGATTCCCGCTCAAGTTAAACATTTGTGTGCATGAACATTTAATGTTATGTATTTATAAAAAAAATATTGGATGTATTTATATCAGTTGTCTAGTACCCATAGTACAAGCTTTGCTTAGTTTGGGACTAGATAGCGTTGTGTGTATGAGTATCGACTAAAGCTATATTACTACTTGTATTATTAAGTAGATGTCACCACATACTTGTAGCCTAAAGGCCGAGGTAGACTTGGACCACCATAACCATTATTGAAAGCTGAGGAACACTGTATGAAGAGCCAATAGCTCGGTTATAGCTGCTCAAGAAATTATAAAAAAATATTAATAGATGGAGAGGTACTAAACAGTTTTGTAAAAATATTTTCCATTAAAAATAATTACCACCAGGGTGATATCGCCCTTATTGTCTTCCCGGAAGACGGACGCACAGCAGTCGGTGACGAGTTTGCGAGCGTCTCCGTGCGAGCTGTCGAGGTGCGGCGCCACGCTCTGCGCGATGTTGGGCGCGTAGTTGAAGTAGGGCCGCGCCACCAGCAGCCCGCACATGCACTGGAGAGACACCAGCGCCAGGCTCAGGGTTGGCTCGTCTAGCTTCCTGTAGGGTTCATATAGCTAGTGTTACTGTCGTCCCTACTCGTCATGTTTGGAACTAATCGAATGTCCCAAAACAAGTTCCAATATTATTATTTACTAGCTGACCCGCGCAACTTCGTCTGCGTGTCTCAATAGTTATAAATTTTCTCCGTTTTTGAAACATTCTTCATTGGTGCTCCGCTCCTATTGGTCTTAGCGTGATGATATATAGCCTATAGCCTTCCTCGATAAATGGGCTATCTAACACTGAAAGAATTTTTCAAATCGGACCAGTAGTTCCTGAGATTAGCGCGTTCAAACAAACAAACTCTTCAGCTTTATAATATTAGTATAGATTATTATTATTTATTTATATTATACCTTGGTAACAAATAAATAAATGTCTCGGTTGTGCAGTGGTAGCGTATGCGACTGCTCGGGTTCGATTCCCGAATCGGAACTAATGTTTGTATTGTATGATCGGCAAATATTTGTTTCGCAGTTTGGGTGTTGTCTATGTATAATGTGTATGTATTTACAAAAAAGTATATAAGTATTCTATCAGTCAATTTAGTTTACATTGTACAAGCTCTGCTTAGTTTGAAACTAGATGGCGTTGTGTGTCAGATGTCAAAAAAATTACATTATCATTATTTAATTAAAGACAAGCAACTTTTAGCTGATATGTCTATGTCACAGTGTTCAAGTTCAGAGTCAATACACTAATTTTACCTTAAATTACACATTTTTATTAGTCCGTAACCAGTGGTTGTCTATTTTTAAAACCATTTACTGAGCTAGCGTCACAACACCACTGGCACCTACTACGGTTCCAGTTATGGTTACTAAGGAAGTGGTGTGCAGTGTTTGTAGTTCCTGCAGCATAGGACTATTCTCATGCTATGTCCTGAGGCTGACTTAGTAGGCATTTTTGGTAATAAATATAAATTGCCAAAAATTTGTTTACAGTGACTATTTCTTTTATGGTATAGGTGGCAGACGGGTCACCTGATGAGAAGCAGACATGGAAATTATTGCTACTTTTAAATTATATTAATTAGCACTGGTTAATTGCAGCGCTAGATGGCGCTACAAGTAGTGGGTAACAGGAGATTACTGATACTGGAAAATTCTTATTCATCTGAAACAGTCCATCAAATACTAGCGATCATTTTAGTAATTTCAATGGCCCTATAAAAGCGGAGCGTGTTAGCCGTACGGGACAGTATTGTTTTACGACACGGCGAATTAACATCAAAGCGAATTTCTAGTGCGACTAACGAGTTATAGTATAGTGATTTCTCGTTTGTAATAGTGTGTTAAGTAAGTAAAGTAAAGTAATTAATTAACCGACAACTTTAATTTATTGTATACATAACTCATAACAATATTCTTTTTTTACCTTTTTTTTTTTCTGTGCGGAAATCCCCTCGGATACCACCTACCAGTCGGACTCGAACTGACTAAAAACCGCACGCCGTCTCGGGTACTAGTAGCTGGGGAACCAGGTATACCCTAGAAAGGAAATCCCTGGTGCCCCGATGTACCTCGGGGCATCTACGGCGGGTAGATGACCCCCTCCTGTGTGGGAACAACCATGTTCCCTTGGTGCTCCCAAAAAAGCGCGCGCGCTTTTCAGCGCGTCTCGCCTCTACCCCGGTCTGCTTCTGCTAGGGTGACAGATGGCCTCACCTATCACCCCCAGGCCTGCGCTTATGGAGGACGGAGGTCGTTCTATGACCTCCGGCGCCCGAGATTCTTTTTTCACCTAATTTTTATTTAAATCTTAACACACTACAATCATGTACTAATATTTCTAATAAAGTATTATACCTGTTGTCCCCCTTCCTGAGACGTAACACGCCGGCTGCCTTCTCTAACCTCTGTAAGTATCTTTTGTAGAATTCCAGTAACTCCTTCTCATATTTGTACAGAGATAGGGTGTCCTTCTTCACTGGAAATACACAATAACTAACCATAATTTCGAGGCTGTATTTTTTTTATCATAAACAAGCTATCATAATTTACAAAGATTTCTTTTTAACTTGGAAAGTGTAAGGAAATTGTTATAGAAAAAGAATAGCTCTGCCTGCGGTTGTTTGCATTTATAGTCTCTCTTATGGTTTGTAGGTTGTACCATGATGTGACATAGCCTACAGCATTCTTCAATGAATCCTCTATCCAATATTAACAATCAGTATTGAAACCAATCCCCAGTCTGGGTTTATCTAGTCTAAAAGGTCCAGAATTTAATAAGTTTAGAATAAATATTCTTCAGCAAGGCAAGGTAGTATAGAGAATATAATATGTTTATTTTTTTAAATGATTGAAAGCGACCATCGCCGCCCATGAACGTCTGCAACTTAGGAGTCACAAACGCGTTGCCGGCCTTTTAGGAAACAGTATGCTCTTTTCTTGAAGGTTTGAAGGTCGTTTCGGTCCGGAAATACCGCAGACGATAACCCGTTCCTCAGATTGTTTCAGACTTCGGAAATATAGCCACATATAATATACTTACATTTAATATTAGAATAATCTTGATGCCGTATCATGTACTCCGGCAGGATATCCTTAAACACTTCGAAGGCAGACAGCGTGGCAAGTTTGCGTGTCGAGTGAAGGTTCAAGGTATTATCTTTTAAACGCTCTTCCATTAGGTAGAGAATGGGGAAGAGATTCTTTAGCTGTAAGAGATTAAATGAAGAAATATATTACAACACCCAAATAATATATTACATTTTAGCTTTTTCCTGCGGCTTGGTTATAGTGGTAAATAGTAGTCTATGTCCTTCCTCAAGAATCAAACTATCTCCATATAAAATTTCATCTCAATCGGTACAGCGGTTATTGATTTCCCCATACACACTTCCACCCCATTTTTCATCCTTTTAAAGGATGATTTTAAGGATAACAACTATCCTTTGTCGTTTCCTGAGAAAAAAACTATCTTTATAACTAATTGCATCTAAGTCGGTTCAGCCGTTTAAGCGTGAAGAGTGACAGACAGGCACACATTCGCATTTATAATATTAGTAACGATATACGCTCCATAGCTATTCGCGTCCAGGATATGCAGAGACGTTATTGCGGTATTTACTAGTACAGTGTGAGAAGCTCTGTTTTGATACCTGTAGTAAAAAAACTATTCCTTAAGTTACTATTCCTTTGTATATAATTTACATTTTGATATTTCAAGTATATTTTTTCGAAAATTCCAATGTTTAACTTAGACATCCGACAAAAAGCAAATATTAAAAAATTAACACACAATATGTTTTATAAAACTTATTACTGAAGACAATATAACTTAAGAGTTGATAATTTACAATACTGAAATCATTCATCGTCTAAATCGTCTAAACTTACCTTTTTTTCTGGACTCTCAAGCAGCGAAGAACATAGAGCACCAATTCTCAATTTATCACTCTGTAATTTGTCTCTCCTAGCAGCCATCAGTTCAACAGTGCTGACAACCTTTTGGTCACCGTCAACAAGTGTGTCTTCCTCTCCAGTGCCTCCCATACCTGAATCTGAGTCAGATGCCTCTGAAGATTGATCTTCAGTCTGTTTTATGGATTTCTGAGTTTCCTCACCTTGGATTTCAGTTTCCGATTCTGTGTCTGTTATGAGACAAATAGAATATAATTATAAATTACAGAACAGACTCAGCTCTGCAGCACATGGAATAAGAAAAAGTTGTGAACTGACTCATAATAAAACAGCATGATTAGTCTATTTTAGTTATTTGAATGACTCGGTGGTGCAGAGGTTGCGTATGCGACTACTGTGCTGAGGTCTTGGGTTCGATTCCCCGGTCGGACCAAATGTTTGTATGACCATATTTGTTTGGGTATTTTTTATGTATAATATGTATTTATTTACAAAAAAAAATGTGTAAGTATTCTATCAGTCAATCTAGTTTTCATAGTAAAACGTCTGCTTAGGTTAAAACTAGATGGTGTTGTGTCAGCTGTCCGAAATATTATTATTATTATTTATTTTTAGTTATTTTATAGTAGGTGCCTTTCATTGCAAGGGATTTTATTTTCGTTTTTAATTTTATTTTGTGCGGAATACCAACAGCACAACTAACTTAAGGTAAAACATTATAATAAAGTAAGATCGAAGCTATTCATAGGTATTTGCAAGTAGATTCCAAGTGTGAAACAAGTTTAAATAACTTACCAACAACAACAAAAAAAGTACATTAAAAAAAAAACAACTTATTAGGAATCTCATTTTTGGAAACAAAAAAAAACAAAAGAAAAACTTAGACTAAATTTACTGTCAATATCCAATCTATTTCAGTACTGTAAAAGACTGCAATCAATGCTAGTTGCCAAAAATAATATAGAATTATGCTATTCTCCACATTGATTAGCCAAGCCTGATCACTCACTATTAGTGTGATATATGTCTACCCATATTAATTTCCTACCTGGACCTATCTTGGAACCAAACTTGCTAAGGATATTAAAATATTACCTTCGCATTCTTCAGTCCTCTCCATAAGTCCATCTTTAGTCTTTATAGGCAGGAGCGGCCTCATTTTCTTTACAGGCCTCTCTGCTAGCTCTTGTTCATACTTATCTTCTATATCACTATCAGAGAGTGCTTCACTCTCTGCTCCACTGTCACTGCCCACGGTGTTCAATTTCTTTGGCGGCTTCTCTTTCTTTTCTCTCTTCCGTTTTCTAGAGCTAAAATTTTTTCAAGAATCGATAAGTGATAGTTACGTATTATTATGTCTAGTCTATGGTCTACATATCAGTAGACAAATAAATAATTTAATTTGAGATACCTTCCACACACACAGCCCTCTGATCCTTAACCAGGTAGAGTCTGTAGTATGGAGACCAGACTGTTAAAACATACACTCCATATTACAGGCACAGATCAAAGACCAAGAGGCCAGATAAGTAGCTTAGAAAAAAGCATTAAACTATCAAACTGATATAATTCAGTCACTTCGTTAACTCTTATTTTATAACAGTTACAACGGCAAGTCTTAGCATAAAATGTTAATAGATTTTTTTTTACTTCTTATTTATCTTTTCTTCTTCGGGCACATTGGACAGTAGCTGTGGTTGCTTCGATAGTCGCCTCATCAGATACTGCTGTTCTTCATCGTCCAACATGTCTCCGAACTCATCCCCAGAAGGTTCGCTTTCACTACTGTATTGTACGTCTTGAGTTGTAGGTTGTCCCTGTTTTTGCACCTTTTGTTTGTGCCTTTGCAGCTTCAATTGACCTTTTTTCCTCATTTTGTTTGTGGTTTGATTGTTTCTTTTCACTTTACTAATCTTCATTTTACCTTTTTTCTAGTAAAAGTAATTAAAATCAATAATTAGTTAACTTAACGAGGTTGGAACTATAATATTTACTGTTATATTTAAGGGTATTATTTATTATGATGAATGAGAATAAATACTTACAGCCATTGCTCTGTTTGATTATTATTTCACAGTTTCTCTTAAATAAATAGATTTTTCGATTCAAACAATTAAATAACAAACCAACGTGGGCCTGTAGTTTGACAGTTTTCACAAGTTCTGACAATTATTTTCTAAATTCATCATTTGACAGCTAAGTTGAACCTTGAGGCTGTGTTGGCATTTGTAAAAACTAATTGTTCCTAAAAGTTTACCTATTATTTAATAGTCTCAAATTAATGCACTATAACTTCCATAAAAGCTTCATTATTTTTGTTTAATGAAACTGTAAAAATATTACGTAACCTATTTGTCTAAAATACTAAATGTATGTAATGTAAACTTTTACAAACTTTTGTAAAAAGTTTTAAACGCGTTGAACTTTCTAAACGTCAGTTACAAAAGACCTCGAAACTTTCTTATTTCTCGTTTTTCTAGTTTTCTAAAATAAAATTCTTCTTGTAACGTTCAATTCTGTAGTTCTATTTCTAAGCATTTCAAGTGCTTTATGTGAGAATATTCAAAATGCTTTGTATATGTAGTGTAAATTAGTGAATTAAAGTTTTTGTGATGGTGCCTCAGCAGCAACGAAGGAGACGTCGCCGAGCGGCTCTCGCGAGGACGTCTGAGCGGCGAGTGGTTGTTTCGAGAGGTCCAGGGGGCTTTGGGTTTACCATCGCTGGACAACGACCTTGTGTAGTGTCAGCAGTTGCACCCGGTGGTCCTGCTGAACGCGCAGGTTTACGAGCTGGCGACGCACTTTTAGCTGTCGATGGAGCTAGTGTTGCTAGAGCGCCCCATGCATCTGTCGCACGATTAATAGCTGGAGCCCCGGGAGCCATAGCCTTGTCCGTGTCCCCGCGGGAAGCGCCGCCTACTGATACTGAGGATACGGAGCCTGATGAGAGGGCGAGAACGCGGAGGAGACATCCGCCTCCAAGGCGCAGACCACAGGCCATGTTGCACCATCCATGTATGTAACAAGAGTAATAATTATAATCCTATTAAATTTGCTTTATAGGGGCTAAGGTATAACAATTCTTTTAAATTATTGCAGACATAATTATTCATAATGCAGGCATTATATTAATTATAATTATTTTAGAAAGTACAACTAGGTTTAGTGTCTAAAATTTTTAGTTTGTTAAGTTTGCTTTTCAGATTTTGGTGGGACAATAATAAAAAAGCAATTTTTTTTAAAACATGAATTAATTATTTTTTTTGTAAAGTTTGTTATTGTTGTGTACTTCGAATTACATACAATAGTTAAAAAGTGGCACACACTTCAATTTGTACAAATGTTTTATTTTTAAATTAGTTACAAATTTCAAAAAAGTTACTATTGTTTCCTCTGCTCTGTGACTACTTGGAAATTACATAGAGAGATTGATGACTCCTTGACATACTTTTAAAGAAAGCTTTTCTTTGAATACTTTTTTGTAAACAATATAATTTTTTCCATTACAATTATACTTGGCAGTTGGTATTACATCAAGGGTTGGGATGTACAACCATCTTACCTGAATTGATACTAGCAGTAACAAGATACCTACCAATATATTCTTATTTAATACTGAACGTTTTGCTTTGACAGAGATGTTGTGTCTAAAATTTACATCGCAATGATGAGTCTTGTCTCATAAATGTTTTGAGATTCAACAATTTAACTTCTATAGATGCACTGAATTACGTGTTTCACGTTCTATTATTTACTTTTCCAGATGAATAGAGAACTGAATTAGACTATGTGAGTGAGTGCAATAATTCATCTTTTTAACTGAAGGCCCAATTCTCGCAATAAAAGTTCGGTCTCAATTCAGTTCCGATCAACTTTCGATCTCACAACTGTTATAATCGGGATTTTTTTAGTAACATAGTAAAGTATTACTAAGACCAGCAGATTATTGATTCAGTTTTCGGTTACAATATGATATAATCACATTACAGCCAACGTAGGTTGTTTAATAACTTACTACCAAAATATCTTTCATGACAGTTGTGAGATCGATAGTTTGGAACTGAATTGAGACCGAACTTTTATTACGAGAATTAGCCTTCTGTGTTTATGTTTGTGATAGTTTGCACACTAATTATTAACCATAAACAAAGATCATTAATCTAGGTTAATGTGTTGTGTCCATCACCGTTGTGTTTTTGTGTCAGTCACTATGTTATTATATATAATGCTTTTATACCGTATCAACTAACATAAATGTTAATTAAATATTTTTACATGGCTTTATTATTATTTAGGGAAAAAAATTGATGAAATTTATACATGTCATTTATTTATGTTATAAATATTTTTATTTTTCTTAAACTTATGTGTACCATTTCTATGGTGGTAGAAAATATAGTCAGTCACTTATTTCTATACTTACATACAAAGCAATGTCAATCTATACAAGTCTGCCATTTTCAGCAGGTCCGCATGAAATATATTTGGCATGGTTGACACCTGCCCTAATGCCTCCCCTTAATTACTACAATAAACTTTTATTCTCTATTAAAAAAAGAAAAAAAAAAGATACATATCTTATCTTCTCTTAGCTTGGCATAGATAAATAGATAGATAACTCTTTATTTGCACACATTTTACAAGTATTATGGTACATAAAAATTTCAGACATGTAATGTACAAAGGGCGGCCTTATTGCTAAGAGCAATCTCTTCCAGGCAACCTTAGGATGGATTAAAATGTTTTGGAGAGACAGTAGTAGTTGAAGGTAGACAGTAGTAGTACATACTGCATTAAAGAAGATAAATAGAGATGAAAAATGTAATGAAAATATCATTGTACTTGCAAATTAAATGGTCTTTGTCTTCTTTTCTTTATAGATGTTTATTGCATGATAGCTTTTTAACACTAATTTATTAAGACTTGTGACTTTTTCTATAAAACATTGGCCTTGTGTTATTTCACCTGCACGCAATGACATCACATGACGGCAATGCACAAGTAGTTTATTAATATTGCTAGTGCAATAAGATGACTTCACAACTCACTTTTAAAACAAAATATGTATCCCATACAATATAATACCATAAAAGCAGTAGCTTTAGAAAGATTGTGGTGAGTTTAAAAGTGCAATATTAAACTTTAAAGAACTATATACATTGTATAATATTGTGTACTTACAATCTATGTCATGTTTATTCCAGCCTGTCACGCTGCACCAAGCACTTCAGGCGTCAACGAGATCCTGCAGAATTTGAGCAGGGCTCAGCTGACTCCCAACCATGCCGCCCGTCTAGAATGTCGCGCTGTTGTCGGCTACCTCGGGACCATAGAAACACCGCAAGCTGCCACAAATGCTGCTCCAGGGAATGTTAAAACTGCAGTCAGAAAACTTCGACAAGAAAGACGTCCTGCAGCACCAGTTTTATTATCTGTTCTTCCAAATTCGTTACTGCTCCGTCGTCCAACCGGCCAAATCCTTGCCCAATATCAACGAGAAAGAATAGTATACGCAGGTTGTGGTTCCGATGCCGATAGAAGGTACTTTGGACTAGTAACTTCAGCCGAATCCTCTGACTCTGAAACTTCACACAGCTGCCACGTGTTCGCTGTAGATCCTCGCATGGCTGAACACGACGCACACTTAACGAGAGCAAGGGACTTCCAAATTGCATGTACCAGAGATCCAGTAGCGGAAAGATGCCTGGAATTCCCTCCTTCAGCTGAATATGTTATTGGAGTAATCAGAGGAATGTACTCTTTACCCGCTGAAAATTGCTCCAGTCCAAGCCTCCTGCCGATTTCTAAACTTGCTGTCAAGGGAGACAGTCCAGCTTTGGGTAACTTTTCGAGGTGTAATCGACCAGTGTTTCGCGTGCCTCGTGATCGACGTCCCCCTTGTAGACACGAAGAGCGGGTAGAAGCTCACGATTTTGTTGCGAATTCGCCTCAACCCAGTAATCATAGTGAAATAACTACTACATCAAGTAATAGTGACTCAGGAATAGGCTTTCATAACGATTGCCGGAATATCGCTGATCGTATATTAGTTGTAGACTTTGCTGGGCAACAAGCGGCTCCCAATAGATTCCGCCAAGAATTGCCTCGACGACCGCTTGGTTTGGTCGGATGTAGTAGCTTTGATACAGATGGCTCTTTCTTATCGAATACTACACCTGTGGTTGATGGTTTTGGTGGTCAAGGTAGACCCCTCAACCTGGACGATGTCATCCTAAACGCCAACGATCTACAGCCAGTTCGTCACGTGAGTCCACGAAACGACGATGATAATTACAACTACAATAATGTTTACGGGAATATTCCATCGAGTTCTAGAAGTTACGTCAACGGTGTGGTTTATGATCAGGTGTATACAGAGACGGAGGGTCACCATTATGAGTTTATACCTTCCCAGCTAGATATGGACTTGGAAATTGATAGAGTAGCTGAAACTTTTAATTCTGTAGAAATTTACGAAGAACGACCTCGATACCCTCCTGACTGGCAGTCAAACGAATCAGTGGAAAATGTTACGGTGATATCTGGCGGAACTAGCAAGACTAGTATGGACTCTGTCTCTGTCTATTCTTCGAGGAGTCACGAAGAAGCTCGACCATCGAGGAGAAGGCATATGCAGGCATCGCTGGACGATATGCTTGTGTGTGGTCTTAGGGATCAACAATCAGTCGCTGATAAAGATCACGATAATTTTGTACATCCTGCCAGTATTAAATTCAAGGTGAGTTTTTTTAGATATTTCAAAATATTTGATTTTCACATCACACATCACATCATCAGCCTTTAATAGTCCACTGCTGGACATAGGCCTCTCCTTAGAAAGGAGGTTTTGGCCTACTACACCACGCTGGCCAGACGGGTTGGTATAGGGTTTGTGTCAAGTTTTCCTTCTTTTTGCAGTGCTGGTGACCTGCGTTGTTTTGCGCCCTTAGTCGGCTCTTACGACACCCACGGGATGAATTGGGGTAGTGACATTCCGTATTCTTAATCCGTCACTACATGGACACTTTGATTTTAATTTGATTTGATTTTAATACCACGTAATTCATATATTACCATTTGAAAGGAGGAGGCAGAGATATAAGACATTAACTGGTTACTGTGCCAATTGCCCTAGTGTCGAGTGTTTATAGTTCGGTTCCTATAGAGGATGGTAGGCCACAACCTGCTGCCCAACTTGAGGGGACCCGATGACTCCTGCAGGAGACTCTGCTCGGGGGTTGTGCGGTCCATGGGCCCCAGTAAGGGTGGAGGCCCTGAAGACCAGCAACGTCGCTCTACTGCGACGACCGCAGCGAGTGCTGGCCATCAGGGTCATAACGGGGTGCCGCACGATTTCCTTTGAGGCGGCGAGTCTCCTGTCCGGAACTCCACCGTGGGACCTGGAGGTGAAAGCCCTTGCTTCTCTGTATCAGTAACGCAAGGAGGCGCGGGAATTAAGTCGGAGTCATGAGACTCGAGAAATCGAGGACCAGAAATCCCAATTCTGCCAGGTCCTCGTGGAGGAGTGGAAGGAACGACTTGGGCAACCGAGCGCCGGGCACGCAGTTATCGCGGCGGTAAGACCTGTTATGAAGGATTGGATCGAGAAGCATCACGGAACCCTCTCATACTGGCAGGTGATCATCGAGAAAGGATGCTTCGGAGATCACCTGTGTCTGATTCGCAAGGAACCAACGCCTGAGTACCACCACTGCGATGGCCGGACCGTGGACACGACGCTTAACACGCTTGCAGAATGTCCGGCGTGGGTGGAGCAGAGGCATGGCCTCGTTTCGGCCATCGCAGTGGGAATTTTCTCGCTCGGTAACATGATTGCCGCCATGGTACAGAGCGTAGTACGCCGCCGTCTCCTTCTGCTAGCAAAGTTATGCTTTCGAAGGAGATGGCGGGACAGGACTGGGAGAGGTTTAGAACTCTCCCGGCCCGCTAGCCTGGGAACAGGCCAGGTACCACAGACGACTCAGGCGCCGGAGGTCGCAGAACGACCTCCGTCCTCCATAAGCGCAGGCCTGGGGGTGTCAGGTGAGGCCATCTGTCACCCTAGCAGAAGGAGGCCGGGGTCGTGGCGAGACGCCACAGAGCTAGTATTAAATAATTATCTCAGGAAAAGCCTATATAATTTTGCCCGGCTCTTTGCCGGGAATCGAACCCACTAAGGCAGCGTTTTCAAATTCCACGCAAACTAAGTCGCGGGTATCAGCTAAAAATCTGTAGGGACCAGATTGTTCGTCTCCTTTTTCCGGTTCAGACGATCCCAAACATGGGGGTCCAAATACCCCAAAAAACGTTGAGGGGAGAGAGGGGGAGGTATTTTGAAGGGAACTCAATGCAATTATAATTTTTTGGTGGGGGGGGGGGGGGCTGGATTCGGTCTCCACGCTCAAGACCGCGGTGGTGGTGGACCCGCGATAGAAGCTATGCAACAGCTTAAAAGAGACGCTTGGCCAGAAACAATTTAATTCAAATATATTTCAATTCGTTCAATTATACCACGGCCATTATTATAACTGTATCATCAATGCCATTACGGTGCATATTATAACTGTATGGGCACTTAAAATACATATTTTTGCATAAATACTTGTGATAGCACCTCCCCTTGGCTATTAACTTAAAGAGGGCATTAAATACATCTCAAGAACGCCTCAGTTATTAGTTACGCTTTTTTATAATAATAAAAAAGAGTAATAATTAAGGTTAGCTAAGATAACCTGTCTGCTCGTTTGTCCCCTTAATAAAGGCAAGACAGGCTATCTGATGAGAAGTGGTTACCGTCGCCCATGAGTACATCTCAAGGGTCACAAGCGCGTTGCCGGCCTTTGAAGTCGGAGTACGTCCTTCTCCTGAACGTTTAGAGGTGGTATCGGTGATTTGTTCCACAGATTGGTTGTGTGAGAAAAAGTTTTTTGAAAAGGTGGAGTGCCAATTAATTCAAGTGATGATGAATGTTGAAACATACCTGTAGGTATTTTTCTAAATATATAAATATTTCGTGTCACGGTGTTGTTTGTCACCCTCTTCCTAAACAGCTGGACCGATTTTAATGTTTTTTTTTGCAAATTTGGTAGGTATGAGAATAGTTCGTAGAGTATTTTTTACCACTATTTTTGAATCGTGATGTGATTTTTTTGATAATTTATATGGCAGAACAACGTTTGCAAAGTTAGCTAGTAATACCTATAAATAATACCTACACTTAGAACGAATGAATGTACTCAAGACACAATGTTTGTCCTGGCTTTGAATCGAACCTCTGGTTTATCAGTCAGTATCGCTAGCCACTTAACTTACATACCAGTTTGGCTATTTCATGAAAAAATTGTCTAATTAAATTAACATGTAAAAAACCGCTTTATCCTCACAATATTATTGCAGATGATATATGTATATTATGTAACACACCTGTAACATTGTTAAGTCATGTAAATATCATAGGTAATTGGTTACACAAAGAAAAACATGGCGTCGCATGTCCGTCGCCAAGAATCGCATCGCATCGAAGTGTTGTCATCAATATTACAATAATATTTACTTGATTATGTACTAGCTGACCCGCGCAACTTCGTCTGCGTCTCTCAATAGTAATAAATTTTCTCCGTTTTTGGAACATTCTTCATTGGTGCTCCGCTCCTATTGGTCTTAGCGTGATGATATATAGCCTATAGCCTTCCTCGATAAATGGGCTATCTAACATTGAAAGATTTTTTTAAATTGGACTAGTAGTTCCTGAGATTAGCGCGTTCAAACAAACAAACAAACCAACTCTTCAGCTTTATAATATTAGTACAGATTATTGCACATAGCATGTCACACGCTAAACTGTCTTTTTTATAACTACGGCGAATAACAATATTATTATGTTTATTGTAATGACCAAAAACATGTTAAATAATATCTTAAACTCGTATGTGGGTTTGTTTGTTAAAGTTTCACGACTTAAAGAGCTTGTTGGTCTAGTTGGTTAGTGACTCTGATTGTTACGTCAGAAGTCGTGGGTTCGAAAGCTACTCGTAGTTTTTTTTTATAAACGCCCGCACTAGGAATAAATCCTATGTAGCGGATGACTTTAAAAACATACATGAAACGGACACAAGGACACCCAGACTCAGAAATTTGTGGATCACACTAAGTGTCGTCCCATGTGGGGATTAGACCCACAACACTCAGCGTAGTAGTAAGAGGCGTGGCGAACGCTTAAACCATTACGCCATCCGTGCAGTCAAAAGTATTGAATAAGTTGTATGAAGAATAGTTCGAATATCCTGTCGGTTAGAGAAATAACTGTGCTGGGTTACATCTGGATGCCCTGGTAACAAGTATGGGCCATGTGAAGTTCTTCCTTAATAGATTTTTGTTTTTAAAGAAGCTTTTATGGACCCAGCATATCATGTTAACCAAACAAATAAGCTCAAACTCGATGGTTTTATCTTGTTTAGTTAAGAAATTCCTATGGCCGTCTCCTTCCTCCATCATCAGAACAGCTTCATTTTAATGTATGGTCACTGAAGATACATAATGTATACCAAATTTTAGCCCAATCAAACATCGGGAAGTGGTTCTAATTTAGCCTCCAAGATTTGTGCAGTACACACTACATACAAACATTGCAAGTTAAAAGAAAGTCTAAGAGAACACGATGATTTCAGGTTCGTAAATCAATGAAACCGCTGAATATATTGTCGAAGACGAAGCACATACTGTCTGGCAAGGAACGGGATAAGCAGAAGGAGGAACGTCGGCGGGCTCTGTCGGCGAGTGCAGGCGATGTGTGCGCCGCGAGGAACTCGGAGGGACTGCCAGCTGCAGCCAGCGAGCCAGATCTCAGAGATACACAGGTCAGTTTATATTTATACCACTAGTTGTCCCTAGTACTTACAGTATTTGAACTTTCTAACGATTATTATTGATTCATAATATCAATTCATATTATCAAGCATACTTTCTCCAAGTGTGATGAATAGCTGTAGTTCGATAACGAGGTCGAAAACCTTACACGGTGAACGCTAAGCGCTTCCAACCAGTGTTTATTCATTAACATCCTCAAAAAAAAAACCCTATAGGGTGCGAACTTGTGGCGTTACTGGCAATTTAGGGCGACCAAGACCCACCTTATGGTAGCTTAGTGAACTGTGTACGCTCTACGTTGAGCGAGTATTATCACATCTGGTTCTCTGAGAGCATGGTTTTCGGATTTGTGATATGGAACCGGATATCTTATTTTGCAGCCGTAACCATTGAGTTTTGTGAGTTGGAACAGAGATTCACACACAACTTACGAGTAATATACGAGTATAAGTATTTATTTACTTTAATCTAACCAAATTATAGCTCGATTTACAAAAAACGAATAGCGCCATCTATGAATTGCAAAACTAAACAACTTAACATTTTTTCTTTTGAATTTTGAATTTTTTATACAATTTATTGGCCAGTTTAACTTGAACTGTCATTGTATAGATTATTATACTATGATATGTCGAAACATATACTGGATTTATACAGTTATATAATGTTTTAACACAATTTTCATCTTTGCAGCAGCACATATTGTTTAGAAATTTTAGCTTTCTGCACATCTTTTGCTTACTAAGTATTATAAATATTAAATTTAGGGTTATTATGTTTAAAAAGGGGTACGAAGAATTTTCTTCATATAATATATAGTTAGTACATCTGAACATGTTTATATGTGTTGGTAACATCCGAATACATATTATTTTTTGATTGACATTAATATTAACATAAATGTCAAAATGTAAAAGAATTAATTTATGGCAACCTTTTGCGTTGTGTCTTCATAATGCAGCTAGCATTAAAAGTTACTGTAATAATTCATATCTAGCGTACACAATAAAAGCCAGAGTAATGGTTTTATATAAATAGGATACAATAATAATACACCACAAATAAAATGTAAGGGAAACGATGTTTTTTTTTATGTTAGGGGGGTCAGACGAGCAGACACCCGTCTGCTCGTCTGACCCCTCTAACCTACCTCTACCTACCTCTGACCTAAAGGAAAGTGACTATCGCCGACCATGAACGTCAATTGATTTTTCTTTTTAATTAATAACTAGCTGAGACCCGCGGTGTTACGCGCGTTCGTTGTTATAACCGCGGGCAACGCCGCGATGCGAAGCTAGTCTAAAAAAAGTAGCCTAAGTTACTCCTTATGTCATCAGCTATCTGCCAGTGAAAGTCCGGTCGAAATCGGTCCAGCCGTTCCAGAGATTACCCGGAACAAACAGACAGACAGACAGACAGACAGACAAACATTGTAAAAATGTTATTTTGGCATATGTACCGTGTAAACATACATATGCATTTAGTAAAAAGCGGTTATTTTAATATTACAGACACTCCAATTTTATTTATTTGTATAGATACCAGTTGCCAAATTAGGTTTTGTATAGTGTTTAAATGCTTAATTAACTTACAATACTTGCGACGGGCTTGTTGGTCTAGTGGTTAGTGACCCTGACTGTGCGTCGTGGGTTCTATTCCCACCCAGGACAAATATTTGTGTGATGAGCACGATCGTTTGTTCTGTGTCTGGGTGTAATTCATCTATACTCTATACAAACAAATAAAATTGAGGTGTCTGTTTGTAATGTCAAAGTAATAGGTTATTTACATGTTCACACGGTTATTTGTACGGTGCCTATTACTAAAAACTAGTTTAAATATTTTTTGTCTGTCTGTTTGTTTGTTCCGGGTAATCTTCAAAATAGGTATACCGATTTTGATAATATTTTACTACCAGGTAGCTGTCTAAATAAGGAGTAATTTAGGCTTTTTTCCCTCTCAGAAAAACCCTATAAAATTTTGCCCGGTTCGGGAGTCGAACATAGGCCTCATGGAGTGCTGTCGCGTACCGTATTACACCACTAAGGCAGTTTCAAATTTCACGCGAACGAAATCGCGGGTACCAGCTAGTCTAAAATATGTATGTATTTAGAAATATATATGTAAGTATGTTTATCAGCAGTCTGGTTACCATAGTACAAGCTCTGCCTAGTTTGGGATCAGACGGCCGTGTGTGAGATGTGTGAGGTTATTATTATTATTATAATAATACGACTTCTGTACGTCGGAGAGTCACGCTACGGCATACATGGGCAGGGCCCGCGGCCGTCTTAGAACCACCACCATTCATAGAAATCGAAAATTAATCGATATCTTCGGTACCGAGTACTCGATACGTTCGTTACCGAGAAACAGTTTGAATCAATGCATTCTTCTGTAATGTCGTTTGTTGGTTCTGTGAATGGGCGCTTATTCATAAGCGCACATTCTTGGCTTATCGCCCTTAGGTGGCCACTTGCCACTGAACATTGTTGCCTGTTTTATTTATTTTTCGCATGTCTTTATACATTTTCTTCTTCTCCCGAGTCACTTATCTTATATCCTTGCTGTCTATATATATATTATTATTTGTGGACAAATATGAGTTGTATAATGGCGGACTTAATGCCACAGGAGTTTTCTTCCAGTCTACCTTAGGGTGGTGCTGAAATGTGTGACTAGTTGCACTTGATAGTGCTATGTAAAGTAAAAGAAAATTATTGATAAGTTAGACAGAAACAACGAGATAAATATATATACATACATACATACCAAATACAAACACATACATAAATACTTACCTAGTTACATACATACATAAACCTTCATATTAAAATATATTTATAATAATATATACGGTATATATTAATATATTCGGTTCGGTTATTGAGACGGTTAATTAAATAAAGTAACTGCGTAGCCTTGCTAGTGTTCTTTAAATAAATCCTTACTAATATTATAAATGCGAGAGTAACTCTGTCTGTACATTACGCTTTCACGCCTAAACCGTTGAACCGATTTTAATGACTAATTAATTAAACATTTAGGTTTTTTTGTTTAATCTCTTATGTGTTAACTCTCCTTAGACAACTATAACGAGTTACCTTACGATATTCCCCTTTATGTATGTACACACATACAGTGTTTTATGCATAGATGTGCAATTTTAATATTAAGTCCGTGAATGCGCCCGCGTCATCGGTCCGCTAGCGCCAGCACTACTAATTAAGACAGAATTGATCAATGGATAACAATAACTACAATGTGTTTTAGTTATTCATGACCAGTATCTCATAATAATAATCATCATCATCAACAGTCTTTCATAGTCCACTGCTGGGCATAGGCCTCTCCTTAGATAGGAGGTTTTGGCCTACTATACCACGCTGGCCAATCTAGTTGGTGTAGGGTTTGTTTCAAATTTTCCTCTTTTTCTCTTTGCAGTTCTGTTATCCTGCGTAATTTGTCTTAGTCGGCTCTTACGACACCCACGGCATGAATAGGGGTGGTGACCCTCTCTACACGTCGTAATAATAATAACTTATTAATGCTATATAAAACTTGAGACATGGTAACCAGACTGTTGATAATTACCATGTACCATGGTAACGTACCTCTATATTTCTAATCACATATTAATTATAAAAATACACCATTATTACACGTCATAACGTTTATATACCAACCCGTCTGTCTAGCGTGGTATAGTAGGCCAAAACCTCCTTTCTAAGGAGAGGTCATGTCCAGCGGATGACTAAAAGGCTGCTGATGATGACGTTTATACAACCGACTTCAAAAAAGAAGGAGGTTTTCAATTCAGTTGTATTTTTTAAGCTCAGAAATTCGTCATTTATAAATCTTTTTTATTAGGAAGTAAATATTTCGAGTTGGATCACATTGAAACAATAAATTCTGACAAAGGAACAATGGCGTATTCGTAGTTGAGTATAATTTGAGCGTCTTAAAATGTCATTTATAGGAAACTAATTCAAGTAAATATCTACGTTTTTTGAAACTATCGTCTAAGTCAGTAAACCCCAGGAAAAGAAAGAAAAATATTATAAGCTTATTTGATTATTTTAATTTCTTTTATGTTTTTAAGTGTTACCATTTTACAGCCATTTTTTTCGAGTAGTGGTAATACTGTCTAATAAAGTCGCGTAATATGAGAATCACTTAATAGTAGAATGGTAATCAGATAAAAGTTTTGTAATTCTGTAAAGTAAGTACTGAATCTATAAAGAATGTAGTTTGTGGTGCATTATTTACGTATTTGAAAATCCTGTAGTGGAATGTAAGGAAGTAAAAAAAAGTGGCAACTGTAAGCTGAAAAGAAGCAAAGGTTTTTGGACAACCCCTGACAGACGTTTGCGCTCTGGACTCTTTTAAAAAGAGTTTACAGATAAAAGGAAATGCGGATCGTAACTATAAAAATCAAATGCTAATATCTTTTTACCTAGCCTTTCCCAAACAAAAATTGTTTTACACATAGATGCTAAAATAATAGTCGAATTTAATATTTTTTTCACTACAAGACGATGCAATTTGACTCCAAATTTTTTTTTTGTAAGGAGACCCGCCATTGTTCTTTGTGTTGCTAATGATATTATTTTTGACTGAAAGTCGATTCCAACAATTAGGATGATGATTTAAAAATCTCATAAATACAAAAATGTTTAGTTCTGTCAAACAACGTTTCCTATTCTGAAAACGTAATATTTGACAGGACAAATTTTTTTTTTAGTGATTTTTAGTTATTTTAGAGAGTTTTTGAACAATCTAATTAGCACCATTGTGTAAATAAATTTGAATACATTCATTAGTATCGCGTCCTTCGAAGCTGGAAGCATTTTGTTAGTGAATAAATAATTGTTATTTGTGTTGTGATAACGGGCATAGATCTTTTATCAACATGTTCTGTGCCTGCGCACATAGGGTGACCAACCGTTTGGCGTTAAATCAAGAATTATGTTAACTCTTTTGTGTCTAGCTGTATTCTATGCTTTTATGGTCA